ACTTTTTTGGTGCAGGAGAAAAAAGAAGCACATATATACCCAGTTCAGGATCCTAGAAAAGCCAGTTGTTTGAGAGTAGAATGTATGATTCAAGCTCGATGGTATATTTCATCTGCTCCATACCTTCACATACTTACTCAAAGTCCAGCATGACACCACCACCTTCTTCGGCATCGAAGAACTCATCCTCCTCCTCCTCCTCCTCCTCCTCCTCCTGTTCCATAAGTTTGTTCTCGTTACCAGCTCCTTCAAGTATTGCGATAGCCTTCCACGCGGCGATAGTCTCAGCTTGCAGCCGCTTCACCCCTTTTACCACACCTCCCACATCTTTACCACCAACTCTGACTTGTACCTTGTAACCCATGTTATGAACTCCACTTGGCTTATCTCCTTCGCCCTCACCATTACTCACGATACGAACATATTTCACTTCTTTGTCTACCGCAAGAATACCCAGGCGTTCCTTTGGATGTAGGCAATCCACTCCATCGCGCAAGATGCGTTCAAGGCACTGCAGAATGCCAAGACGTCGAACAAATTCTTCACAGACAGGTAAAGACCCGTGGCTGTCTATATAGAGTGCACCAATCATGCTCTCAACGATATCAGAGAGAAATTTGGGCGGATCCGTAAGTGAGAGAGCGTGCCATGGGAAACGGGCATCGTGCTGAAGAGCTTCGGTAATTTGAATCCGGGCTTCAGAATGTCGTCGTATGGCCAGATTTCGTGACATGACAAGTTCATGGCTTGTGGACCGAAGGAACTGCCATAGAGCTCTTTGATGAGTTTCAGGTTGTAAAGTTTCCTTATTTGTGAAGATTTCTTCCACAGTCGTCTCAAACATACTGTAAGCGAGGAACGAGGCGTTGACCATCGCAGTTCGAATGCCGTGCATTTTGTGATGCGGGAGCTCTGGTCTATGACTATAGAGTCGTTTTGAAACGATGTAGTCGAGCACTGCGTCGCCAAGAAATTCTTCTCGTTCGTACGAGCAATGTGTGTTGAGGCCGCGAAATGTAGGGTGCGTGAGCGCTTCAAGAAGCATTGCCTTGTTGTTAAAAATATGGCCTACGAGATTCTCCACCGGAATGACACCCATCACAGAGTCCTGTTCAGGAGCGGCATTGTAGAGTGTATCATTGGCCTGAGGGATGGGCATCCAATCCTCTAGTGGTAGCAGTGCTTTCACACATGCAAATGCTTTTGAGAACCCACCAACAACGTATGAAGCACCGATCAGTGATTCTATGACGTCAGCGATCAATTTTGAAGACTTCTCTTGTTTGGCTGGTGGGTTTGTGATGGCGAGCACCTGACTGACGTATCTTGGCTTCCACTTCGCCCCTGTAAAGCGCTTGTAGAGAATAAACTCATCAAGGCCTTTGGCCAAGGCAGCCCGCGCCAAATAACCATTACTGACAAGTTTACTCTTCTTCCCTGTCAACATGCCCTCCGGCATACGAAGATGAGTAGCCATGAGATGGAGAGAAGTAATAAACTTGAGAATACAATCTCCGAGAAATTCTAATCTCTGATAGTTCTCTTCCCCGTCCACTGCAGATGGGGTGAGTGCCAAAAGAATTATAGGTAGATGAGAGATGTCGATATTGACACTCTGAAGAACGGTTGTTCTGAGTGCGTTGGCTACCATGTATGTTTCAAGCTTATGAGTGATTGATGGAAACAAGGATGCCAATACAGCGTACGAGGCTGGAAGATCGTCGACAATGCACGATGTGATTGCAAGGCTTTCAGTTCTGGTGTATGCTTCGTTCTTATTTCCGCTCCCAAAGACGGGATGTAAAAAGTCCCTGCGCTTAGGAAAACGCATGGCTTCAATGGATAATTCTTGGACGTTTTGGAAAGCCAGAAATGCCGTCGGTAAGTTGATGGTTTTAGCAATGAATGGTCGCATATCTCCATGTTGCTTTACCAGACCCCATCTTTTCAAGTCAACATTGCCGCGGAGTACAAGGTCCATGGCCGATTGCTGGCTTCCAATCGCCTCATCCCATTCATGGAGTTCGGCTGTTGACATAATGCCGCCTGATGTACCGCAAGGGGTGAGCAGATAGACAAAATCGCAAGTGTCTTCTTTCATATGAACACCAAAGACGGAACGAAGCATTTTCCAAGTAATAGAGCGCAGTAGCTGAAGCTCAGAGTTACTGAGGATTACGCTGTTCAACGGCGAGCTCTTCACGTTGTAGCGCTTTGTTTCGTTCCAATGTAGCAATACATCTTGCATTGCAGGCACAAGGGACGGGGTCAAAAGGATCATTCGCAAGGACTCCTTATCATCTGCCGTAACCTCAAGCAAAGTGCTATGCCACTCAAGTAGAGCAGTTTTGTGATACTGAGCGATGACTTGCCAGGGGTCGATGGTGTGCGATACCGGTATCAGAGAAGGCTGGTTGTCACGGGTCTGATACTTTGTCATGTGTTCAACATCTTCTTCTATCACAGGGAGAAGGTTTTCGTTTACCAAGCCAGCGATATACAAGGTTTTGTATGCTTCGAAAGCGGCGTCCTTTTGCGCCATCCGTTCTGTTTTCCATGTCCTAGAGCTATTTGCAGTTCTTACTGTAAGATCGACACAAATAGGGAGCGAAGCTTTGGCAGAAATTTGACCATTAACGTTAGTGAAATCGAACTCTGGCCGGGCATCTACGTAGGTACCGGAGGACAGGCGGGCACAAAAGTGATATAGATGCTGCATAGCATTATCGAGCGTCAATAAGGCACTGAGGTATCTGTCAGTTATTTTGGGCTATTTCGGGGTTATTCGCTCTCAATAGATAGTAGCTTGATGCTTACCCAGTTGTTTCAATTCTCAGGCATCGTGAGTCGTACTCTTCGATATATTCTTTTTCGAAGGATAATGCTGTTTGACGCTCGTCATCTTCATATGCCTTCCTCATTTGAGCTTCAAGAGATTGCCAAGATGCTGAGGTGTAAGCATCTCCCATGTCCGGAACGAGGATGTAATAACGCGACCTCTGTTGTCTCGCTCTCCCACGTCGTTGAACAAAGCCTCTAAATTGGTAAAGAACAAGTCAGTTTGTGCTTTGGACAGTATGACATACAAGGAAACTCACTTGAGAGTTTTAGGGGCCTCAAAGCAGACCACAAGGTGACAGCTCGGTACATCAATGCCTTCCTCCAAGACACTGGTGGTTAGAACAAGATTGATGATACCAGCCTTGAAATCATCCAATACGGTTTGCTGGTTCTTGAGGTTCGCATAATTGAATATACTTGATTTGTGCTGGGATGACTGCGATGTACCGACAAATGTGCCTATGCGGAGTAGAGTTTTCGTGCGTGGGTGAGAAGCCAGGATCTCGGCAAGAGATGCTACCCACACTCTTTGCTCCACAAACACAAGGCCAGTGAAGTTCAAATTGGTGGCGGCTTCAACGACTATAATGTCAATGAGAACGTTCACTTTGTGTGATAGACTTTCTAATATCGAACTGGATATGCCTGTGGTATGCTGGGTTGGGAGACGTTGAAATATATTCAAAAGATGTCGCTTCTCATCGGTGGACAAGTCGCAAGACTGACCATGGACCAGATTTTGGAAACCGTTAACGCACTGATATACGTAATGTTCCATGGCAGAGTTTCCAAGCTCTTGTGCCATTGCCTCGGCTTTTGACACCAGCTGCTTCAACTGGTCATAGCAGTAAGACTTGCGGCTATCCCAGAGCTTCTGAAGCTGCCGAGAGACATTGCATCCATCTTTCTGCTGTTCCAAGAGTGCAAGTACATATGGGTCCTCCATGAGGTCATAATTCACATATACACTCTTGAGTGCCAACAGCAACATCGAGGGACTTCCAGTGGAAGGCTCTCGAGTGTAATTGACTTGGATTAGCTCTGGTCGGTGGACAGAGCGAAGCAACTCGGATCTGTATAGTTTTGGTGTTCTCACAGTCGCTTGTAGGTTTCGTTCAATTGTCCTTGTACATGTCAGCTGATACGGACCCGTGGGATTGCAGAGATTACTCTAGGCCTTGCTTGTTGGCCGCTGCTCTCATGACAGGGCTGGCGCTCAGGCCGAGAACTCTAGGTAACACGAAAGTTCTGTCGCTTAGCCGAGGCATATAGAAATCAGACATTATCTTGTGAGCCGGATGTTTCAATGTACAGTGGTGAGCTAGGATGCATCAGCGAAACTGATTCTTCGTTGAAAATAGATGACGGACCTTCATCGAATATGAGTAAGGCTAGCTTCTGGAGGCTCATGAATCCATGCGTGAGTGCGTCAAGTAGAATCTGATGCGTTGACATGACAATTCTGACATTGTGTTGAAAAACCTCATTCCAGGCTCTCTGTGTCGTCCAAAGCTCAACGTCTCTTCCGCAGAGAAGCAGATGACCATAGCCAGGAAGGTTGGCTTGGAAAACTTCATACTGCTGTTCGCAAAGCGCGACTGTGGGTGCAAGAAACCAGACAAGCTGAATAGGTGAGATGTAGTCTAGTGTAGTAGTGGGACTTAGCGGTGGATAGGTGGTATCCGCACCTTGTCGGGCTTGCACGTCTCCAGCTCCGCCCGCGCACGTTCGATGGCTCTGCTAGCCTATTAACCATAGGTCTTGAAAAACAAAGTGGGTGGCGTACATGTGCGTTTTTCCGGAACCTGTATCCATGACAACAATGATGTTGGCTTTCATGCTCTCCGCAATCATTTCAGCCTGGTAGCCCCGCAGATGGAACACCTCGTCCGGAGTAACAGCAACGGTCAGACCGTCGTCGCCATTGTGAATTGGCGAGTCCATAGGCAGCACAAGTACTGAAATTGACAATAGCGGCGATAGTTTGTATCCTTAGGGGTAAGTCTTGGGAGGTGTTCGCGGTAGTGATGTTGGCCGACCTGCGACGTGCAGGTGTGTCGCACAAGGCAAACAGCCAACATGTGACGCATTGTGCTTTGGCCAGCCCTTCAGCAGGGGATGCGCCATCAATTAACAGCAGGCAGAGACAAAGGACACATGACGGGTATTGTGGGGCATCGTTTTCGTAAATACTACATAAGTCGCTTCATGCCTTTGGTCATAACTCAGTAAGGGTGGTGCGGCAAGGCGTCTAGCCATCTACAGATTGGTGAGGTAATCCTCGACCTCGGAGGGGCTCAGCTTCCTGAAGCGTGGGCCGACAGCACCTTCGACTCCCTCTACACCAAGTAGTCTCTCCTCCGGCGGTCCAACGATGCCTATTTCGACGGTTTCACCATTCATCTCCCCTTCTATCGTCTCCTTGAGGGTGAGGAGGGCAATGTGGATCGCATCCTCAAGCTCCAGACCGTCCGTGTATCGCTTTTCCAAGAATGTCTTTGCACTCGTTGCGCTCTTGCCTATGGCCGTTGCTTTCCAGGGGAAGTAGCTGCCGCTGGGATCGACCTGATATAGACTGGGCCCACCCTTGAGAATACCGCCCGTCTTGCCACTGACCTTCTTCTTCTCTTCACTTGTCTGTTCGTCGCTCTTGCCCTCGGCCTCGGGCTCAATGCCATCATCCCAGCCCGCAATAAGCAGACTGACGCCGTACGGCCGGACACCGCCTGACTGCGTGGCCTCCTGCATGACCCTCGCCACGTCTTGAACTAATATCCTCGTCGGTGGGTACTCATTGTAGACACGCTTGTATCCAGTATGTGAAACCTTGCGCGCCTTGTCTACGAGAACGCGATAGTCGGGACCCATACCTGAGTAGACCATGCCGAGATTAGGCGTTATGAGACTGATCTTGGACGAGGATTGCGAGTCAATGAGCGGCGATGACGATTTCTTCTCCGTTGCAAGGACGATGCCATTGGTGGCTGCAGCAGTTGGTCAGTGGCGTTGCATAGCTATGGCAGGAAAGACATACCCTTGATTCCTAGTGAGGTCACACCCTGATTGACGGCGTTCAAGGCATACTCTGTTGCAAAGTCAGAACACTGGCAATGGGTCACACTGCAGGAGTGGAAGAGTGCGTGCAAGGCGGCATACCAATCTGGACCAGTTTTCCACTGCAAGAACTGTCAGTGACCATGGCATATGTGCAGGCGGTAGCGCAGTGCATAGTTTACCTGGGAGAGAAGGTGGTGAGGGAGAAGGAGTATCTGTCCGCCATGGCGACTAAGGGAGTTGTGGTCCGACAGGCTCAGTTCAGCGTGAATGATGATGCTGCAGTAGTAATCGTCGTCGTCGTAGTGGTTGTTGTCGTCGTCTTCGTCGTCGTTGTCGTCGGGCGGCGGGGGTGGAGAAACGGCGCTCGCAGTGAACGGCGAGCTGCCACTAGAGCTCCAGGCTACCCAGAGCTTCGTTGCAGGCGCGCCAAGGCCGGCGCTCGGCTTTACCCTGGCTCCGGCCTCTTTGACCAGATAGCAAAGCTGCAACTCTGAATTCTCCCGCCTTCCAGAACTGCAACTGCGTCTTCGAATCACCCAAACCGTCTGCAGCCGCCTGCCACCGTGTCCCCGCAGCCTGCGCAACCCCCACTGTGCGCCAGAAGACACGGCTGTGCCGGAACATGATCCGTATTACCGGGACATTTGAGTTGGCGAATGTCTTCCCCGCGGCTTCTTGATTGATCCCCCTCGCCCTCTTCATGTTCACTTGCGTGCTTCCTCCCTGGTAAGAGTCAGATTGATCTCACCTCCCAGCCTTGATACCTTACCCTCCTGCCCCCCATGTCTTCATCCTCTGGCTTTCAGCCCATGCCGGGATGGTACTGGCCAGATGACGTACCCAAGCATGAGCCTTCACAGTCTGGTGCCGCCTCTGCAGATACATCATCGCGGCAACAGCACACTGATGAATCTGCAAGTGGCTCAAGTTCGTCATCGCAACCGCGTAGTTCCAGACGCACCCACTGGCCCTCCAGACAGTGCAGAATATGTCTCGAGACGGTCCAGCCAACCTTCAATGTCCCTTCGCCAAACCTACCCGGGTTCTTACAGTCTTCCAATGTGGTTTACGAAGATGAGGCTGGTCGCCTGATCCGCCCGTGCATGTGCAAGGGCTCATCCAAGTATGTTCATGACGCGTGCTTGCAAGCCTGGAGGCATGCAGACCCCAGCTACGGTCGCAGAAACTACTGGCAATGTCCAACTTGTGGCTTCAAGTACCGCCTGGCGCGTTTGGGTGTCGGCCGGATTATTGGCAGTGTTTGTATGTTATACCAGCCATTTTCCCTTGTTCACCAATGAAAGCTAACAATCTCGCTAGCTGCTCAGGTTGGTTTGACCGTCCTCATACTGTTTTCCATCATCTTCGTCCTAGGGTTTGTTGCCGACCCTATCATCAACTTATATCTTGACCCCTGGAGTATGCTGCTTCCCTGGTCTGGGCATTCAGGCTCTGATTATTCTTACTACTACGAAGACGAGTCATCTACTTGGTATGAGCACTTTGCAAAAGGGTTTGCAAGCATGGGCGTTCTTGGCTTCTTGAAAGTTCTGCTTGCTAGTCCACTCAGTTATTTTAGGATTGGAGGAGGCGCCCGAGGTCGTACGACGGGTCGCGATCGCTATGAACAGATCAGCTGGATCATCATTCTAGTTGGTGTTGCCACCTTCTTAACGGTATGTGCCAGGACGATTCCAAGTGAAAACGCATGCTGACTCTGAATAGGCAATTTACAAGGGAGTTCGATCTTGGAGTCGCCGAACGCTCGAAAGGGCTGGCGAACGCGTCATGGATGTCCAAGGCGATGACGAGGATGAGGACGAATAGCTACAGTTGTAATCACCATGTATCACCATGTATGATCTAACAACCATGTGTCCTACTTTGGACTAGAGCCGTCTTAAGACCCAATCCGCACTTTCTTAAATTGCCACAAGTTATTCCTCAATACTGTGTCAATTAGTCTACGTGCGAAGATCAAATCAGCCCATGACATCCATATCAGTATTGTACGTTTTGTGCTAGCTGGCTTCTTGGAACATGGCGCTACCTGCCTTTGGCACTCATTTTGTTCTGCCTCGCCAGCTCCTCGGGGCACCTCCCATGGCTTGAACGACATCAGGCCTCTGGCACATTCATGCCCATTTTGAATCGCTTTTCTTTGCTTTGATGGGGACAGACGTCCCGAAATTCCTTTGACATCACAATAGGAAAACGTGGCATGCATGGTATAAGCGAGTTTAGGAGAAGACTCGATCAGTAAAGATCCAATATTATTATTCTTTGACCACAAAAAAAGGTCAATGTGAACCATACGGGAGGTTTCTGGCGTATCCAGCCCCCTTGTCCCAGTGCTATGAAGCATATCCTTCTAATCATGATCCCGTTGAATCCGCCTTGAAAAAAATATACCGAAAGCCCAAAACCGAAAACAAGAGGCCCCTTCGACCTTGCTCACTAGACGCCAAGATAAGAAACGGGAAAAAAAGAATAGCCTAACCAATGAATATGTGCCGAAAAAGTCCTGGGGTATCAAATGTTCTTGTTTTATACACTGCCAGCGCCCTGGGAAAATGGCGCCCGCATTACTCACCAAAAGCGGGATTCCCGCCCTTCATAAAGAGTCTCCTTGTACCACCGACTCTGCCCAAGTCTTTGAATTCCGTCTTCTTGCCACCCAGAGCTCCCCCGGGGCCCGCGCGGCTTCCTGGACGACTGCCACCACTTGTGAGTGGACGCTCGTCGCGTTGAGAGACGGGACGATCGGTTGGAATTGCGTTGGTGCTCACGGTGCGAGCTTGCTTCATCATACCCTCGATCCACACCAGCTTGTCACCACTGAGATCCAACTTTTTCGAAGTGGGCCCCGCAAGCCCGACTTCTTTGCCTTGCCACGAACTACGAGATGAAGTGGTTGAGGGTACATCTGGCTCTTCGCCCCGGTCCGGGGTTGAAGAGTGGAAAGTTGGCATTTGCGGAGGCGTCTGGTCTCTAGAAATACCCACACCCAAACCAGAAGCTTTGACAGGGGTAGTGGAAGGGCTAGGAATCGGGTAGCTAGCGCTGATGCGCCTCTCTCGCCTACTCATGACACTCTCTGGGCGACCAGGTGATTGATCTGAATTCTTGATCTCAAGACCCACAACTTCGAATTTGCCCTCGCTTGCGGTCCGTCGGCCATGGTGCTCAGCGTATTGACGCAGATATTCGCCGAGATCAGACCAGCCACCACCAACACGTACCATAACACGCTCGCCATTCTCGCCCACGCGGCGAATGAATAGCTTGACAGGTTGCTCCTTACCTGGCTGGGTAAGATGGTACAGCTTGATGTCATTGTCGCCTCTTGCTGCCGCTGCAGATCTACGGCCAGACGAGGCGTTGTGAAGATCAAATTCACTCTTGGCAGGGGACAGAACAAGTTCTGGTGCTTTAAAGTTACTCACAGAGCGAGCTGCACGTAGATATGTACGACTTCCTTTCGCCGTCAAACCACGTGCTGGTTTCACTTCGGGGGCGTTAGGTCCAGGGCCTGACGTGAGCCTAATGTGCGCCGGAATTGTTGTCAGGATATCAGAGATCTTACGCTCCAGTTCCTCTGCGCTGTTGCCAGGTCTGTGGTTGAAATGAGATGGCAGCCATGGTGCATTAGCTAGAGGTTGTTCGAGGGTGGTTGAGTCTTGTTCCAATCGCCGCTTTGGCATGGCGCCATTGAGTTCAGAATGAGGCATCCTCATTTCACGGATAGTATGGTTGCGAACTGACGGGGACTCTTCCGCGGTACTGTGCGGGCTTGAGTCTGGAGACAGGTCCGTGGAAAATGATCCAAGGCTTCCTCTCCAGGAGCGCGGTGTCTGGGGAGCGTCAATGACGACATCATCGCGGCTACCTTTGGCGGTGAGGATTGGCATATCTGGGATTGCGAGGACCTTGGGATAATGCTGCACATGGCTTTTCGATGAGTCATCTGGTTTGGGGTGGCCTGGAAACAATGATTCGGACTCGGCTTGAACAGCACCATGTTCCGGGCTCTCGTTGAGAACGTGATGCACAACAGTATCGCCTTCATCAAATTCCGATTCATCGTCAGAGGGTAACGGCTCAGACTTGAAGTTGACATTTCCTGTAAGTATGCTAGACGAGGAGTGTGATGAGCTCTCAGATACAAAAGGCGAATCGTCTTCTGCAGGCGCATCGTAACCCAGAAGAGCCATGTGCTGCCGAGGAGATAAGGCGGGGGCGTTTTTCTGGGATGTTGGTGAGCGTATCTTGGGTGAAATAATCTCATCTATAGACTCGAGAGAGTGTCCCGGCTTTCTGAGTGCATCTGATTGCAAAACAAGGCTTGGAGGTCTGTTCACTGGAGAATCAGAGTTTGCCTCAACGTGCCTGTCTTCACTGGCACTGGATTTCACAAGAGCTGCAGCGATTGAAGAGGACTGATCGATATTATGGTCTGTGTCTGGAACTGCGCTCGAGCTGGGATCTGGTGACAAATGCTGGGTGGTAGCAAGTGCGCTTTTTGGTGCGGCTGAGTCGTCTGCTCGCCTGCGTACCGAGGCATCGATCAGTCTCCTCCTGGACTCATGTTTCCAACGCCCGTAGTCTGCCTCTGTAGCCTCAAAAGTGTCTATCCAGTGCTCAGGCAAGCAATCTTCTCGGCCTTCAAGTGTGTCGAGCATCCTGTCCAAACGCCTACCCAAACTGCTGACTCTCTGATGAAGGATGGTGGAAATGGTGTCTATGGCTTCTTTCCACTGTTCAAAGGCAAGATCAGAGGGATCAGCTGGCGGCTCGATGGCGTCCCAGCCCAGGCGCATGGCCTTCTGCGCGGTATCGAGGTCGCTGATGTAACGAGGAGCCTCGCGCAAGATGGAGACTCTGGCCGTCCATGTGTTGAGACGCTCTTTGAGCTTGGTGTGATGTGGCAGGGCCGACAGCAGGGTCTGGGTGATGAGGAAGGAGAAATCATCCATGACCTTATAGTGCTGGCGAGTAGCTTCGTAGCCGGCAGAAGAGGGCCTGGACTTTGCAGCAGGATGCATATCCAGCACATATTCCTTGAGCTCTTCGACATCTAGTTTGAGCATATCATCACCAATCTCGTCGAGGCGCGCCTCGTGCTGCTCCACCTCGACTGAAAGCAGCGAGCCCCAATATTCAAGCGGCGGCACGGCGTGGTCGAGGCCGAGGTCGAGACGGCCGACGTGTTGCCTGATGCGCAGCTCGATACTCTTGCGCTTCTGCTCGCGCAATTGAGCACTGGGCTCCTCGAAAGAGCCCGACCATCCCCACTGCTCAATCTCAGCGCACCATGCCTTGAGGCGTTGGGCGGCCTTGGCGACGCGCGCGCCTAGGTCTCTCTCGGCGGCGGTGAGGGTGTCGATGCAGGCAAAGATTTTGTATTCGTCGCGCGTAGTATCGAACGGCACGGGAGTGTAGGTGAAGGCGCGCAGTGTCGTCTCGGGCGACAGATCGCGAAGGCGGCCGTCTTCTGAACCGGCGTGGAGGCGGCCTCTCCTGCCACTGGGCGACATGACGGGCGATGGGACTCGTCGGGGGGTATGTGGTGGCATCAAGCGCACAGGGGACGAAAAGGCGTTCATGATGCCGCTCGCAAGCGCTGGTGAAGCGAGTGAGTGAGTGGATGGCTGTCTCTTATAAACAAGGGTCCTGTACGGTAGCGATTGGGCCACTCGGACTGGGCACGCAAGACGGGATGTCGTCTCGGTGTATCTACCGCAAGGATTGTTGGAGCGTGCCGCCCGTCTTGTTTGCGACTAATGGTGCGAGCAAGACGTTTGCGCTGCCGGCAGCTCAGAGTATTTGTTGACTTTGAGTGTATGTACAGTGCTGGCTTGTGGCGCTACGGAAGTGGTGGGTGCGTCGGGGGAGCCGGAAATAGAGTCCAAGACCCCAACAAGGCACTTGCACGCAGTTGATGCAATTGCATGTCGGCGATGTACACGCCGTGTCAAGCTTTTGGTGAGTATTAAATCAAAAGGAAGCACCGGTGCCGTGAGCTTGATTGGCCTACTAAGTAACAGGTCTTAGACGTGGAGTATAGGGACTCGTGGAGGTTAGATATATTTACTGTAACTACTATATTATGTATTTATACTTGAATCTTTTTTATGTACACGATACGATGAAAGCCATGATGCAGAGACAACGATAGGCATGGTAACGGGAAAGTGGCGAGGTCCCGATGCTATAACTTTATATGGCACAAGACTGTTCAATGTCGTCTCATATAAGTATAGTATTCGTTTATGCACAGCTCACAACGCCCGTTGATACAATGATTCAAAACCTGTCTTGTGCTAGTCCCAAAGAGGATAAGGCCCGACCAGTTTCCAGTTCCTTCTCCACACATACATATACGGGCACACGGACACACAGTACCATTCTTGAATACCATGGCTGCGCAAACGCCACAGTAGGGTGACACCATGATGGTCCGAGGCAGTATTTAACCAACTTCAATGTCTTACTCCTTGTCGTTTGTGTTTTCATGAGATTATGTACAGCAGACAAGAGTGAGAACGAGACGGAGAGATATGGTCGTTACGAATGGGGAATCCCCACCGCCCTTCCCCGCACAGCAGTCAGTACATGCATACATACACACACACACACACACTTTCTCTCTCTCTCATACACACACTTGCTTACACACCCCGACCACCAGTATGCCCGTCTTACTGACGCCTTGCGCCCCCGCGTCATTGAAGATGCTCCTTTCGATTCCAGAAGCCGACCGGCTGTCCTATAGCCGATATCGTCATCCCTCACGGCCAAGCACGTCGATGCTGCCTCGCGCATATCCAACCCTGCGACCTTCCGCCCTGAGTTAGTCAATTGCCCGCATATCTCCTAGTACCTGCATTCCTGGATATCAAATACACGCAACCCGCAGTATCCGACGTCACTGCCAATGGCTGCTTTTCGCCGAATCTTTTCCCTCAACGGTATCGTTGACGTTGCTGCGTCAAAGCTTGTCATGTCCATCTGCAAGTATTTAAAGTCATGGATACGCAGGGATTGCTAGGTACACTTTGTGTCCCACCAAGACGTGCCATCCTCGTCCCCTCACTCAGTCTGTCAACATCATGAGGCCATCACTCTTGGTCCTTGCGGCCATCGGCGCTCAGGCCTGCCAGCGTGAACGTGATTTCCACCATCATTCCCACCCGCACGTTAAACGACAGGCTTCCTTTCCCCCCGCCTTGACCCCACATGAGGAGATCTTGCTCAATTCTTTTGACGCCCTCTCCATATCTGAATGGTCATACTACTATAGTTCGTGTCGCAAGCCCCTCCGTAACCACAGCACTGCTAACTTTTCGGAGCTCATGGCGCCCACTTGGCTGGCCAGAACAAATCCATGGGTAATCAATCACCACCTTCGCCAGTGTCCTCAATAAAAAAAGCTAATTCACGATCAAAGCACAATGGACGGCAGATAGGTGGTCCGACTACGGTTTCACTTCACGCTTGGACGAATATTGTAGGCACAGCCTCGACCCAAATCTTGCAACGGCACATGAATTGACAATTTTCCAGACGTATTCTTGAACTATCCTGTGTCAAACTCCCTGAAGCTCACTTATAACAATGGGAGCACGTACACCCCTAGTCTCAAAGAGGCTGTGCTTGAAGAGGACCCAACCACGAGCTACCCAAACAGCGTGCCCGTATTCCACGGCTACTCCTTTACCGGCAATGCGTCTGCAGAATACATCTACGTCGGTAGAGGTCAGCAAGTCGACTTCGATCGTCTGATTGAGCTTGGTGTCGAACTCGAGGGTAAGATCGCATTGGCCAAGTATGGTGGGCCTTTTCGAGGTCTCAAGGTCAAGAATGCCCAGGACCACGGCATGATTGGAGCCGTCATCTTCACCGATCCTGGTGACGATGGCAACATGACCGAGTAATTACATGCCTAACCTGTCCACGTTCCGCTGTGCTAATAGTACCCAGAGCAAAAGGCGTCGCTGCTTACCCTCATGGCGGTGCTAGAAACCCTACCACCGTCCAGCGTGGATCAGTTCAATTCTTGAGTACATACCCAGGAGATCCAACCACGCCTGGCTACGTCTCCAAGCCAGACTCGCCGCGCTCTGATCGCAAAAATATTCTGCCCCAAATTCCCAGTCTACCCATCTCCTGGATTGAGGCACAACCTCTGCTACTAGCTCTCAACGGACACGGTTCAAATGGTACTGAAGTCAACAGGACGCGCTGGATTGGCGCTATTCCAGGTGTAGAATACTACACTGGTGAGGGATCGGGCGCTACGCTTTCCATGTCCAATGTTATGAATGACACATATGGTACAATCTGGAATGTCGTCGGTATCATTAATGGAACCAATGAAGACGAAGTTGTTATTGTCGGTAACCACAGAGATGCTTGGATTGTTGGTGGGGCAGCTGACCCCAACTCTGGATCCGCTGTGCTTGTCGAGCTAGCCAAGGCATTTGGCGCACTCTCAGAGACTGGATGGAAGCCATTACGTACCATCGTACTCTGCAGCTGGGATGCCGAAGAATATGGTCTTGTTGGAAGGTATTTATATCATATGTGACTGTTGGTGTCTTCAACTTACATGTCTAGCACCGAATGGATGGAAGAATATCTTCCCTGGCTCAAGAACGCCGCAGTCTCCTACCTAAATATCGATGTAGCAGTTTCCGGCCCGGTAAGCAACAATTGCACAATGCATGCGTAAGCCATACTAACATTGTCGGCCAATATCCAGATCCCCGATGTTGCGGCCACTCCTGACCTCCATGCAATTGCTACTTCGTTGATGAAAAAGGTCGTATATCCATACCGCAACGAGACCAGTCTCACTATGTACGACGTGTGGACGCACGAGTCCGGCGAAGTTGGCGTCCTCGGCAGTGGAAGTGATTACACTGCCTTCCTCCACCGTGGTATTGCATCCATCGACATGGGAGCTGGTCCTGGTCCAAATGACCCCGTCTACCCTTACCACTCCAACTATGACTCTTATCACTGGATGGCGACCTTTGGCGACCCAGGTTTTGCTACACACAAGGCCATGGGTCAGTTCCTTACCCTTCTACTTTACCATATGGTCTCCGATCCCGTGGTGCCTCTGGAGCCAGCCGACTACGTCTCTGAGCTCAATGCCTACCTCGATTCTCTGAAGGAGGATATCAGTGCCAGTAACTTCACCATTGACCTCAACAATCTGACGAGTGCCATCTCAGCGTTTGAGAGTTCGGCCAAGGAATTTGTCCTTCTTCGGGATCAAGCAGTTGCTGCCAATGATACCGCGCTTATCACCGTACAGAATCACAAAGCTCGAGATTTCTCTCGTGGGTTCACTAGCCAGGGTGGCTTGCCCACCCGTGAGTTCTATCAACACACTATCTTCGCTCCTGGTCGAGATACGGGATATGCTCCCGTGACGTTTCCTGGCATCACAGAGAGTATCACCTTTGATCAAGACGCCGACCTAGCGCAGGAGTGGGTTCAAAAGACCAGCGACGCAATCTTACTTGCTGCCAGTATTCTAAAAACATAGGATAATCCTATATAGATAAGAAAACAGAAACTAGCTTTTTATCTAGTTATAATACATTACATTTACTATATGTTGCTATAATGCCTCTATCCTGCCAAGGATTCTAGAGAGGGCGTTGCATTACACTGTCCGTCCTGCATAGAGTGCTGACAGCCTAGTCTGGCCAGAGTAGATCAACCCTGGTGCCACTAATTTTCTGACGTTTGCACTGGGCTCGCTAGCCATCCCTGTCATGAAATTCGCGTTTCCAGACGGTAGTTGCAGCTGTTCTACGATGATCTATCCGGCAGCTAGCAGAACATCGGGGCACAGTTTTGTCGGCGAACGCGAAACCTGGTGTGGTTATTGGGTATAAGTGGCGAGTGATGGCGTTAAGCATGACACGCCTTGGCAGGAGAAGATCCACAGTACCATCGCACTACCGGCCAGTACATGTTGTTCAAAGCTACTCGTTGATATACGCAAAGAACACGACGTTCGAGGTAAATATCGTGCGGTGAACCTCTTACAAGATTGCTCTGAATCATCACGCTGACCTCCCACTTCGTTAGCCCCATCATTGAAATCAGTATCAACGCAAGGCAATTTGACTGTTGAGAATTTAGAGAAATAAGGTTTGCGCCGATTCATCTAGTGTCGTGGAGATGCCGTTCCACGCTAAGGAAGAAGAGGCTACATACCTACCTCGGATTGATTCGATACGCTCATGAGAAAGCTCTGAAGAGCCACTCATCAAAGGAGTCGCACCTTCGCTCGAGTTCTCCTTGCTGTACTGTAAGATGTTCGAGGAATTTTTCTTACAAATAGCTTTACTCATTGCTTCCCCGCACGCAAGTGGCAAAAGATAGACTTGCTCGCCACCAGAACCTGGCAGACTCACTTGTGGTTAATCCATCAATCGGAGCCGCGCGTGTCGTCTGATTCAGGGCCAGGGCTAGGCTCACACTATGCCTTGTGAGGTTTCGGGCGCTTCAGAGACAATCTTTATGCGAGCTGATATGTAAACTGAGCCACCCCTGTGCAGGTTCCAATGATCCATTCTTCCTGGGTCAAGTGCCCAGGTGGTTCAACTCTGTGACGGTGACTGAAGAGATGCAGATTCGAAAATTGTTCGCAGCTGTGCTGTGTACCCAGCTAAGTCAGATTGGTGCTGCTGTACTGAACGATATTCGAAGTATGGACTTGCGGGCTTTGTCAATCAGCGATATACCGCTCTGCGGTGTGGGTGTCCAGATATCTATTACGTTTTAGAAACTTTCTAAGACTTTGTAGGCTGACATTTCATACAGTTGAGCTGCCTGTTCCTCACTGTGCCGCTCATTGGCTGCGCTCTTGACGATTATGACTGCCAATGCCGGAATGTCGAACTCGCCCACACACTTTCGACCTGCATGCTGGCCAATTGCACCATGGCCGATACCCTGAATACAGCGAAAGTGCAACAAGATATCTGCCACCTCTCCAATGAGTCAAAGCAAAAAGATGTCTACATCTATACAATCGCTTGCTACACGATCGCTGTAAGCTTTGTGCTCCTGCGGGTTATCGGTAGAATAGTGACTCGAAGATTTGCTCTTGACGACTACATCGTGATTACAGCATTGCTCTTTACCACAGTTCCTTTGGGACTCGTGCTTAAAATGGCTGGGGTAGGATTTGGCGAACATCTCTGGAATCTCCAGGAAGGGCAACTACTCCAGAACCTTCGATTCTTCTACGTGGCATGGGTAACATACACCTTTGTACTTGGACTCACCAAAATATCCCTGGCATTGTTATACAGAGAGGTCTTCCCATCGCCAGGCGCTCAGCTAGGATCCTTGGTGTTTTTGGGTTGGATTGCCATCAATACTTTGATTCTGATCTTCCTCACAATCTTCAATTGCAACCCTGTAAACGCATTCTGGGACCGCGACATCAAGGATGCCAAGTGCACTAACATCAATGCCATCGCATACGCGAACAGTGCATCGGCGATTGCTCAGGATGTTGCTCTGCTGATTTTTCCTTTGGCATGCATTCGGACGCTGAATATGACAAGGTGGCGCAAGATAATGGTGGGCATCATGTTCGCCATTGGAACACTGTACGTATTTCGCATGGTCATTCCAGGTAGAAGTGGGCAAACTAACCAAAGCGACAGTGGGTGCATAGCCACGATAGTCCGTCTCCACACAATCCTAGCCTTCAAGACCACAATCGATCCCACTTGGGACTACGTTCCCATCACCATATGGACAGAAATTGAGCTTGCTTGCTGTTTCGCTTGCCTCTCCTTGCCCGCAATCCGCATGTTGCTTGGATGCATCCTGCCCGACAGTTTCTTCTCATCAATTACCTCGCGATACCGCTCGTATGGATCCAGCGCCCCAGATCGGGGAGTTGACATTATAAAACCCAACTCTATACCAGCTGGCAGAGGATTTCGAAGTTGGAAGCAGGTCTCATCGGACCATGAGCAGGATGCGGGAAAGTCGAGCGAAATGGATGTGTTAAGTAGGGCAGGGACAGATGCGCGGAGTGAAAAGAGTCGTGGAGCGGAATCGCGCATCGAAGAGGCAAGGATTTCAGATGTAGAGGATGATATACTGCCGACCCCATGGGGCCATCTATAGACATGTAGCTCTGGACAGGCTCGCCATACATCCTAGGGTCTGCTATAGGTCGATAAGAGATACTATCGTTAATTGTTCTGCTGCCAGAAGACATCATCAATGCATCGAGACGTCAATTTGAGTATTTGGACGGCGACGCACGGCATACGGTTAGGCTTTTGCTTCGAGCGCTTATTGAGTGGGAGTGATGCTCTGCTTCGGGTTGAGAACCTGCTAAGAACAGGACGGAGTATAGGGAGAGGAAGACTGCCCACTAGAAAGAATGGTTACGACGGGAGATGGAAAAGTTGCGGTGGCGATGGTCGCGCGATAACTATGCTCTAGCTCTTCTAGAATACTAGACGTGTTACTACTTCGTAGCTACTACTAGCTTATTGTGACTACCTTTTAGCTATTGTTCCAAGAACAATTATCTGTTTTAACAAACTTGGTAAGTTTTTGTTACTCTCGGCGTAGTATTGCGTAGTATCAGACTACTAAGTGACATTATATACAACTTGCATAGTTTTTTCTTGTAGGCGATGTATTAACAATACTGTCTTGTATTAATGCTATAAAGCCTATTTTATGACCTGAACCATCGACTCTAAGAATAGTGTAAACACATTAGTTTGTCTTTTTCAGTGATAATCCCTCCCAAGTGAATTTCGCTATAAGTACAAGCGCCGCGCATGCAAATAATAGGCAACTTCCAAAGATCCACAGGTCATTATAGCCGCTGTGCTTCTGAATTTGGCCGCCAATAGGTGCACCAATCAGTATACCAATTGCACAGAAAAAGAAAGCCTGGCCCAGGCGTGTACCGATCTTGTTTTTAGCACTGCCGCTTATGTAGATGATAACCGTCGAAGGTAGTGAGACAAAGGTTCCGGAAAAGAACCCGTAGAGCGCCATGAGGACGATGATGCCGGCCGGGGCTGTGACAGTCATGAAGAGTATGCAGAGAATCGCTGACATGAGTATGCATGGTATCATGACATTGAACGGACCAATCTTATCCGAGAGGAGATTTGGCAGAATACCTGAAAACCTTTGTCAGCAAAACGACGCAAAGTGTTGAAGAGAGTTCACTAACGGCCAAAGAGCGAAGTGCTGTTCAAAATGGCGATGAGATAAAACCCCAAATCCGCGTTCGTAATTTTTTCCGTAATTGCAAATATTTGGGCAAAGACCAAGGGTACATTAAGTCCCGCGAAACCTAATAAGAAGCCTAGGGTTATACAAGTGTATGCGGGAATCAAAAACGCCTTGAGATCGAATAGAGTCCGTGTTTGAGGAGGAAGCACACGGACGCGCATGACTAGGTTGGGGACAACCAGTGTACCGAGCACCATGAAGCCAAGCACGCGGGTGGCCCATCCGAACCCGATCTTTGGGAGAAGCTTGTGCAACACGATTGGGTAGATGACGCCTCCTAGTGACGACCCTGAAGCCGCTATGCCAATGGCTGCCCCGATCCTGGTGGTGAAGTAGGTGGAAAGGATAGCGACACTCGGAACGTAAATCAGACCTGCGCCGATACCAACGCAGAAGGCCTGAGCTAGTAGGACTTGCCAGTACGCATGGCAAAGTGACAGCATCATGTGGCCGAAGACAATCATAAAGGATCCAACGAGCAAGAGTGCGCGGAGGTATCCGGCATCGTAGATAGGTCCGGCTAGGGTGCCTGTTACCAGCATAAGGTAGGCCTGGACAGATCCAATCCAGGCGATGGTGGATGAACTTGAACTCTGGAGCAGAGTCGTTTCGTAATATGCCTGGTATGATCCGAATGTGTTGGTGACACCCCTGATCTGGAGTTAGCAAACTGTTTTATGGTCGAAGTGCAAGGGTTATCTCATGCCATGAATTGAATGTGAGAAAGAATGCACCAAAGACCTGCAACCAAGCCAAAGTACCACCGTTGGGTGGAGGAGAGGCGGCATTCGCGTTAGGCTGCTGTGGCTGCGCAGCCTCCAGCGCCGCTCCACTCTCGTCGGGTGTGGTTACCCCCTCGCCAGGCGGTTGCTCCTTCGCTGAAGGATCAAGGACATCCTGTACTGTATTTGAAGAAGAGGACGAGGAGGACAGTAGCTGATTTGGTTTCTCGTCAGAAGGCATTACAGGACGTGTTGATGCCATATTTCGTGCGTCTCAGAGACTATTAAACTTTAGTTCAGTATTCAAGGCTCAAGGTTTAGCAAAAACAAGAAGCTTACTTCTCTGTACGAATCAGCTCCCAGAAGGAAAGCAAAGACTGGATAGTATGCTATGAGTGTGAAGATTACAGCAGGGAAGCTAAATGTATGACTGGGAAAAGTCAAAGCAGTGGAGATGAGATATTTGGATCTGCAGTGAGATCTACTGTAGAGTATAAGAATCTGTAGAGAAATTTAGATCGAAGGCGAGTATACACTATCATTAAATGCAGAATTTTTATCTGCTTCTATCCATGGAGATTGCGTGAGCTTTTTCGGTCTTGGGAAAGTCGTGTTCCGATCGGATCCGGCTTCTTTGTTATTGTAGATCGGACCCCTCATGTCACAGTTCTCGAACGCAGTTACTCTGAAAAGAAGTGCGAAATTTCGGAGCCGAGTGATATCTCCGATTCTAGCATGGCGATTATTGGTGGGGTTTAGAAGAAAGATGCCATGTTCGTCGTAACCACCAAGTCCTCCGAGATCTGATGGCCGATGACCGAAGCGCAGAGTTTATCTCCGAGATGCAGAATTTACGCTTATGACGCCTATTGAACAAAGCCAGTTGTAGTAGACTAGCTACAGACATCGACCGACGGTCTGGAATACTGGGTGCTTCATTTTGCAACATGTTCCCTGTGTTGGGTACACTGGGTTTCCTCTCATACATACAACCTACGTGAGCTTCGCATTGAAGGCGCACACTTGGATTGGCGAAACTCCCAAAATCTTCGTAAACAATATGCTTCGGGATCTTTTTGAGAAACAGAACACTTAATGACTTAATATAGATGATCGTAACGTCCCCTTTGTTCTGATATGTTCCTAGTACTGTGTCCTCTGCCTTGAAACCAAATGCAAAAAGAGTAGATACAAGGGGGAGGGGAGGGCACGTTGAATTCAGAACGAGGCTAAACAACCTAGGAAGTAATCCCCGACACTCCCATGAGCAGACAGGAAAGATGGAAGATGTCAAGGTTTGGAGACGCTAACTCCAAAAACTGCTCACCCTCAACAGTTCGTCCGTCAACATCGACTTTTCCAAAGAGAATGCAACAGACAAATCGGCTGAATTTCTTAGTGTGAAAGCTTAGCTAAATTTGAACAAAAGAAATTCTAATGAGACAGGCGAATCAATCGATCTATAGAGCCGGATCAATCGATCCATCAGACTGTATACATCAAATCCAAGCATAACTCCATCCGGTAATCCAAACCGGTCTTCAAGCAATCCGAACTTACTCTCATCTGATCTGATCTGATCGAATCAGACTAATCTCTCAAACTGCAGCACTAAATGATACCCACCAGTCACCTGCTTAAACCTTCCGGCGCCTCAGAAGCAATGGATTGTTCGGATTCGGCATAATCTGCCTATCCACCTGAATCGGCTCGTACCTCTCCTTCCGTCCATCAGGCATGATGATATCATAATCCGTAATCATCCTAACAAGAATAATCTTAATCTCGTTGGCCGCAAAGAACCGACCCGGGCACGCATGCTTGCCATATCCAAACAGCATATCGCGTTCATTCGAAGAGACAAATTGAGAGCGTGCTATCTCGCCTGTGCTCGCATTTTCACGCATTTTGTAGAACCGGAAGCCGTCGAACTCTTCGGGGTTGGTGAATACGGCTGGGTCAAAGCTGACGGCATCGGAAGGTACTTCGACGATCACGCCAGCGGGGATGTGTTGGCCGTTGGAGAGCGTAAAGGGCTTGCGAACGTAGCGAGCAAAGGAAGCTGGGAGGCTGTTAGTTTTTTTTGCTACACTACTACTATTTCTGGGCAAGGAGAGACTTTCTAATGCTAAAAGGGTACCAGCGGCCGACCTCTTTGATGAAGGAGTCCAGCTTGACTAGTTGCTGAAGAGCGCGCGGTGTGAGGCTTCCGCCATTGTCTTCCAGGACGGTGTGAATCTCCTCGCGAAGTGGCTCGAGGTACTCGGGCATCGCCGCGAGACTGAATAGGCTGTTGGTGGCTGTCATGGCGGTGGTGTGGATGGCTGCGACAGTAAGTGTAAGCTGCTGTCTTATCAGTGACGAAACGTCCATGGAGACACCACTTGATTTGGCACGATCCATCAACCACTGCAACATATCGTCAAAACTCTTCTGGTTCGATTGTTGTCTCTGGCGGATGATAGGCTCGAAGAACTTGGTAGCCCGTTTGTGTCTGTTCTGGAGCTGTTGGATCTCCGAGAGGCGAGAGGCTTTGAACGGACGAAGCCATCTATTGCAATTCTTGACTGCGAAAGCCGCAATAGTTGTTTCATTCGTGAAATTGACTGCAATTTCAAGATATTCAGGATCGCGACAATATTCTGGTCCGACGAATAGGCGGCCAGATACCTGAGCTATAATGGCTGTTATATTTTCGTATATCATCAGTTTAGTCCAGTCCTCGCAAGGAGGCATGAACCGTTCCATAGCGTTGTCGATCTCTGCAGAGATATGCTCGTTGAGGCGTTCTGTCTTTTAGATAAGCGGCAAGTCCGATGCAGTAGTGCACTTCCATACTTAATGAAGGTGTAAGATCAGCCTTTATACTGTGCATCAATGTCGGAAAGTTGGTTTCGTGTTTGGTATATTGACCTTCGAGCATCTATGTAATCTCAGTAATTAATCTAGCTTTTGAAAGATGAACGAGTCGAACTTTTTTAACAGCCGCAGGAAGATCCACAACATCGTCGGGGAGTTTGTTCAGCTCAGGCAAAAACCTGGGTGGTATGACCACATATTGTATGTCATCATCTGCTGCCATACGGTAAACAGATTTTGTGAACTACCAGTTTGTGAGTTCTTGTCTCTGTAGACGATAGGGTTGTGTTTACTTGTTTGTATCCTTTGCGATACAGTTCTGTGCAATATCTTAGGAAATAGGCTCGTTGCTTGTCATTGTTTGTAGAAACACCGAACAATGGCAATTTTGATAACTTGAATTGGAGGCTGAGCTGTGGAAGCAACGCAAGAATTATAATGACCAGAGCAGATACTGTGGTAACTTGCGTGATACCCGCCGATTCTGAGGAGATTTGATTACCCATGATGAAGGAGATGAAGATGTATCAAATAAGAGAAACACCGGCATGGTCTTAGTCGTACTTATAGAACATATTTCGGAGTGAAATATTGCTGTTGTGTCTGCCGGACTCTGGAACTTTCGGCCTCCAGTGGATGACTCGGCTTCCGGTCCGATTAGTTGTTGTCGTCGTCGTACAAGGTTGTTCGCTATACCAGGATAACCGTTAGGCTAAACGTGTTTGTCTACTACAAACGTGCTAAACCTTGTCACTACATAATTCCTAGACGCCCATAAGAACTCAGAGACAAGGATCAAGACTTCCGCGTTCTAATCGGCTCGCACCACGCAAGCTCTTAATCGGCCGGTGAAACCGGAAAACCAAGTCTAAGCAGTCTTGTCTACCAAAATGAGCCACTTTTACTATAAAATATTCGCACTACTATCATACTACACCTATTCAAGACTATGTTAGATAAACATACTAACTCTATATCTACTAGCACTGGTAGTAGTCCTACAGTAGGTACAACGTACACGCAGGCTTCATGCCGTCGGGGCTGGGCAGTTTTATCTCCGAATTTATCGGTTAACTAAGAGGTAAGTAGGTAATTAGGACTTCTGAGCTCCGATCGACTAGTGCCGGGGCGACCCGCTGCAATATATATATGATGCCGGTGATCCCATATTCATACTACATCACGAGTACTTTCTAGGAATTTAATAGAGAGAAGATGGTAGAGTAGGAAACAATCTTGTTATTTTCTAGAATACTTATAGTATTACTGCTCTATCTACACTAGATAGGTAAGTGTTTGGATATCATGCAATTATAAACAAGAGAATGCAACGCCGCGCTCGCTAAATGATCAAAGGGACTGTTTACAAGTCAAGGAAAACAAGGAATGAATGAAGAAAATAATGCTTGGTTGGAACAGATTCAAGCATCATGCTTTTGGTTCTGTGTTGACCGGAGCGTATCCAGCAGGAGTGATGGTCAGGTAGTCTTGATGAGCGACTGGATCTGGACTTAGCACATGAGGGGTCATATCTGGCGTGCTGTGGATTGATTCCATGGCGATGCTATGCTGAGAGGCATTGTAGCCCGAGCTGTAAGCAGTGAGGGGCTTCAAGTCCTCTGGATGCATGCTCCACCGTGAGGCATTGTTCACTTCACTGATTCCTATGGCAGCAGCATCGTGTGGTACATTACTATACACCCCGCCCGTCTCGTGTACAGTAAGGTGTGCATCGTGGTCGTGATCGTGGCCATGGCCATGGCCATGGCTATGGCCATGTTCGTGTTCTTCGACTTCGAGTGCGTATGGCTTCCCACTTTTCTTGAGCTGTTTGTTACACCACAAGCAGCTTAGTTTGTCGCAAACGAGGATGAGGAAGAGAAGTACGACACAGACTGGTAGAAGAGCGGGCGATTCAATGGCGGCGTAGATCTTGGCGTCGTTGGCCATGAGCGCCAGCATTGCCGCGCCGACACAAAAGGCACTCATGCGCGAGATGACGGATGTGTAATCGAAGAGGTCAGCCTTGTGGCGGCGGATGAGGAATAGGAAGATGACCAGGCACAGGACGAGGATGCAGAAGGAAGTCCAAAAGTACAGGTAGACGAGTTTCCAGGCATGGAGGCCTACCTCGAGCGGGCTGTGCTTTTCGAGTTTATCCATGGGGAGCTTCATACCAAGGCCGGTGTACAAGCCGTTGCTGATGGCATAGGACAGGTCCTTGAACGCAGCTGGCCAATTGCTATACTTGTTCTCGTCGGCAAACGTGTAACCATCAGATTTGTCAGACAAGCAGATATCCGTCGTGTTTCCGATTTTCCAGATGGCATTCCGCGCTTCGTGAAAGAAGCTTCTCGTCTCGAGTTTACCATCGAGCTCGTAGTAGTCGAGCAAGTCCATGAGCTTGTCTTGGAGCTTTTCGCCGTCGAGATTCTCAAGTTGGCAATACTGGGTAATTTTGCCTGAGGCCTTGTTGGTGTTGTTGATAATGTAGCGAGCGAGGGCAAGCTGCTGCGACCCCTCAACTACACCAACGATTGCAATCTGAAGCGGGAAATGCAAAAGACTCCAAATCTGCTGCCGGATGGTTCCGTAGTGGCCATGCGGGAAGTTGTCAAAGTATCTGGTACGGGTGGTTAGTTTGGGGGTTTATACATTGTGTTTCCGGATACTCACAGCGCCCAGACTAGCACCAGAACAACAATAATGCACATGATTAGAAAGCATCCCTCGACATCCAATCCGTGTTTTCCCATGATTCTAGACACCGTCTTTGTAACACCAATGGCACCCTCGCCAATGACGATAATGGTAAGCAAGCTCATTCGCTCCATGAGATGCGTCTTCTTGAAGCTGAGCATGCGCCAGAAACACGAAATGGCAATGACTAGGATGGCCTCCAAAACCATGACGACATACCAAACAAGGTAAACGTGCCGCCGATTCTGATTACCCTCGCGAAAAACAGGCGTCATGGCAACAAAGGCACCCATGCTTACTGCATAGATGGCAAACATGAGCATCAGAGGCAGGTAGATTTTGGAATACTTTGCCTTCCAGGTGAAGAATAGGACGACGAGGTATTGAATTGCCAGAAGACCACGGGTTATAACGAGTGTGTAGCACATGATGCGGAAGTTCTGTGGTCAAAAGTCAATAAATGCGCATTGGCATGTCAAAAGGGCGGCACACTGACCGTGTTGTTGCGCGGGGCTTTCTGATTGGCAGGATTAAACTGGCTGCCAACCAAGGCCAAACCAACAAAGGCAATAAACTGTATCGTCTTGCATATACGTTCATACAGCGAGTCTCGCGCAAAGCGCACATCGTGCAGCGTAATCTGAAACCAACATGACCACAGAATTCCGAAGAAGCCAATGTATCCCAAGAGGTAGTCTAAGTCTGTGATTGAGTGGTAGGCGGTGAAAGTGGCCAAGTTTGCGACAAAGAACAAGTCGAAGAAGAGTTCGACGCTGTTGGCCTCGTGTCGCTGGGAGAAGACAAGGTTTTCATGGTCGGCACCGACAAGCGGGCTTTCGATAAAGGGTGTGGTCTTGTGTAGCCGCCTTAGGTGCTTTTCAGCGTCGACATCGCGTTTGTGGCCATGGAAACTCCAACCCATCTTCAGAGGCTACGCAGGAGAGAGAGGGACGCCCACGGTACGAATGGCTTGCTCTGTGCAAAAGGCGAGGAATGGAGGCGTGGAGTAAGTAGACAGAGCGGACTCTGTATGGAAGAAGAGAAGGTCGGTGATGGGAGAAACCGAAACTCTGATACCAGCGTCCGTCAGACTCCCCAGGGCGCCGTGCAACGATTCTTATGTGAATCTTGCGTGTTTCCACGATTACTCCACACGACAGCAATGACCCCTCATGCAGACAGGTAGCGCAAGTCCTATCTTGGGACATGGCCCTAGAAATCAGCACTACGGCTGTGGGCCATTTTTTTTTACCCTCCAGCTCAGCGGGAAAGGTGCTAGTGGCAGTGCATGGTGGCTAGCTGCACGGGCGTGCTGAGATGAGAGCCCCTACCCGCTCGTATGCAGAGACGCAAGCGACCTAAAGGCTGAGAGATTGGGCAAGGGAAACCTACTCACTGGTCATCTCCAAGCTGCAGGCCGTGGAGCCGGGGAGCCGTGGGGGAGGACAGGAACAAGAGCCGCAGGCCAATGGGCGGCGCATGTGGGTGAGGCTTGGCCAGCTGGCTTGCTGCCGTGTCGAATGCCGTCGATTTTGATTGTGCGTGTCGTTTAGATGTTCATCAGCGTGAGAGCAAGAGTTAGCTCCGCCCCCTCCGCTCCCCGTCAAAAGGTCCGTCCGTACGCAAGCGACTAGCTAAGGCAGGTTGGGTGGAGCGCCGCCCGCTGCCCTTCTGCCCTGCGCCTGCGCCTGCGCCTGCGTCCACCACCGGACCAAAATCAAAGGCCTCATGCAGCGCAGCCCCATGGCGTTGCGCTAGAGTGATGGCGACTCTACTTGTGTACTTACTTACACACATACTGTGTAGTGCATACATGTGGTGTCCATGTTGTCCATCCGCCATGCGCCCAAAAATATGTGAGTATACGCTGGCATGCTGGCTAGCCCCCTCTTCAGCTCTGCAAGGCCAATTTAGCACGTTCACTCCCCGAGGTCACTCGCAATTACTTACTTACCTACCCCCTGTACACGTGCCTGTACATACTTACTCGGGACGTGAAGTATGTGCTGACCAGCGCTCTCGTCATCGCCTGGGGTCATACAAATGTCCTTGTCTAATTTCCCGCGTTCCCCTTCCCCGGTTACATGTATGTGTAAGTAGTATATGACTACTTGTGGCTGCCTCGTTGCCAACCAGACACTTGGCCCCTGAGTCGTGGGTGCGTATGGCCCAGCTTGGTGGAACAGCCTCATGAAAGCTTCTTTCAGGACTTGAACACTAGTGCCCGCCTGCTATCCAACCACGCATCCACCCTGCTAAGTATCCATCTCTGCCATACTGCGTGCACCTTTGCTCGGCAGCTTTCTCATTGCGATCTTCTTACAAACACCCGTTGCACCGAAATCATCACAGTCTTTGCTTCCTCCCTCGGACCACCACGTGGCACTTCGCCGTTGCTCGGGCACGTGATTGCCATGTCCTTCGTTTTTGACACTGCTTTCTGCGTCACAGCATCCGCCCGCACGTGCCATGTACACCTTCAATCTCACTCGTGATACTCGATCCGCTAGCCGCTTGAGGCCGCCATCCCTTCTATTTCTTCTAAAATAGCCCGTACAACGCCGCCCACCCCCAGGGTCTGATTTAAGCACCGCCCAAGCAGCGCCAAATTGCTATGTTACATATGATTCCCATGGCTCGTTCACTTTCGTAACAGGCCCGTGCCCTCGTCCGCCTCCTCACCACCACCTTCCTCTTCATCTTCGTCGTTGTCCTCGTCAGACCATCCTTCGGCTTCCAGCCCTTCACCACGGATGCCAAAACTCAGCACGAAACCGACGAGCGCAATACCAGCGAAGATGCCAAACGGCAAAACTTCTCCTTTGGGCCTCAACTTTGTCGCAGCTGTAAACAGCGAGCCCGAAACGAATGGTCCTGCTGCCCGCCCGGCAGCAGAGAGCGTCTGTGCAAGGCCGTTGAGCGTCCCGAGAACGTTGTGGTTAGGCGCCGAGTTTGTAATCTGCGTCTGGTCAACATATGCTACAACGGGTTAGAGTCGCATCAGAGTAACTCACCATAAGAAGCGCAGCCGTCAAGCCGCCGACACCTGCGACCGTCTTGATGACCAATACCACCCCAAGCTCAAACCACAGCCATCCCGCGCCCGAGCCAATACCTTTGTACGGGTTGCTGTCTTTATAGCCCACCCACGGCATCAGTCCAAACGCTGCAATGAACAGACCCAAGCTAACCCTGTATGCCATTTTGTTGCCTAGCTTGCCTCGTAATCGTCCAAATATGCCCACTTGAAATAGTATCGTGATAGCTCCTGCAAACGACAGCGACAAGCCAACAGCCTCTGGCTTCAAGCCACGCCCGGTTGGCGGTTGCTCCTCGGCAAAAATAGGATACAAGGAATTGTAAGAAATGTTGGCCAGTTGAAAGATGAAGTATGTCACCAGCAGCAGCACCGTGTCGCGATTCAAAACCTCCTTTCGCGTAAGCTCTTCGCTGTTGGCGTGCGGGAATAGTGCAGGCGCGGATTCGCCAGACGTGTCCGACACGTCGTCATCGTCTTCGATATGGTCTTCGTCCTCATCTTCACCCATACTGCGTAGGTGCGGAGAGTCGCGGTCCTTTTGCTGGCCAAGCAGGCGCCGTACATAAGTCGGTCGGGTCGAGCTTGTGAATTGCCATATCCAAGAGAACAAATTGCCCAGTCTCTTTCCCAGAGGAGGGAGGTTCTTGAGTTCCTCTAGGCTCTCCTCCAAAAAGATGATGCACACCACCAAATCAACAGCTAAAACAAGAGCTGAAAAGAGATTTGGTAGGAGATATGGATACGGATTGGCGTTGTTGTGTGAGAAGGGATTCTTGTAGAGAACCAACAAGCCTCCGACAATGGGACCTGTGATACCGCCAATGCCATAGACGACAGGCAGGTAGGTGAAGGCGCGCGACTGATTGCTCCGATCCGTGATCTCGCCCAGACATGTCGACACAACGCCAGAGTTGCCATTGACGAAGCCCATGAGTGCCTGTACGAGTATAGCATGCCACAGCTTTGTGCAGAAGCCGAATAAAAGGAAACAGCACATGGTCATGAAGGTGCCCATGATGATGACGGGCTTGCGCCCAATTTTGTCCGACAGCCAGCCCCAGAAGAAGTTTGTGGTGAACTGGGCCAGCGCAAACGACGAGGCGATGAGGCCCACGTACAGACCTCCCTGTCCCTGCTTGACTTCGGGGAACGAGGCCGTCATCTCTGGAAGGTATGGGCTGATTGAATTGAGAGCAGTCTGCTCGGCAAGCGCTATGACAGCCAACACAATAAGCTGCTTGGTCGGCAGGGGCGACTCGTGGTTGCTGTGGCCGTCTTGCGAGTCGCGGCCATGACGGGAGGACGGCGATGTCGAAGGTGGTCGGCCGCGGGTCCTGGGGGGGACTGTGGGGAAAGTCTCGTAGTGAAGTGTGGACCGTCGCGCCTCAATGGCCGGCCGTCGTGACGAGGGCATGGCTGGCGGTGCGTAGGCAAGTAGATGCTACCTCGTGAAGGCAGAGAAGGTGCAGCAAGCCTTGACATGCATCGAGTCTCGAACAGGGATGCAAAGGATGGTGCAAGGGTTCATGCCGCCATGACGCGCAGCAAAGTAGAGAGTATTAGAGAGAGAGACAGGGAGAGGGAAAGAGAATGAGAGAGAATAAGAGCGTATGAGAGTGTGAGTGGAGTGCGTCATCGGTCGCAGGAACATGTCCGTGTGCTTGGCGCGCCAACAATCGCCGCTTGCCGCCGCACCTCTCCTCTTCCCCGGTCTCCTAACCCACATTCCTTTTGTCTCGTGCCGGCCGACTGCATGCACAACAAGCGCAACCACTCGCCACTCGGCTTCCACATGTATCCCCCTTGGCTGGCCTTGCATGAACCTGCGTTCCAACGACTGCCATCTCACAATATATTTTAATTTCCCCACGGCTTGGCCAGCCGTACAACCCATCGACAGATGCTTTGTTCATGGCTGAAAAGAACATCTTTCCCAAGTCGACTATGTCAACAAGATGATTATTCAGAGTCTTGGAACCATTCGAAGCACAGTCACTAATGATTTAGCCAATCACTTTGCCATCACCTGGACCCAAGTTAACAGTTCGGCCAAATGCACCTTGTGGCGCAGTGATCACCTACTTGAAGACACCTTCTTTCGGCAAGGCTTGGTGGCCTTGTGAGCACATTAATAAAAACATGCCTGTCTAGAGTAAATGAGCATATTACAGAAAAAAAGTGGAGTTGCATAGTCCTCAAAGCTATAAAGATGCCCGGCGAGTCTGCAACTTTTCGACCAAGCACGAAAACAGTCAGTGGGCAGGCGGATGCGAGAGTAGCTTGATACCGATTATTTGAAAAGAGAGAAAGAAACAAAGGAAGATGTACTTCTGTCAGAAAGCCTACCTCGCCGCCGCTGCTGCTGCATGCACCCTCATCTCCCCGTGCCTCTCTACTCCCGTTCAACCGCCCATCACAAACACATCGGCACTTCCAGTACACTATGGCCTCGTCATCTTCCCACACTACCAAGCCCTCGACATCTTCGGCCCCATGGACCTCGTCAACTCGCTCTTCATGACATACAGAAACAAAACAAAGGAGCCCCATATCTCCGTCCTCAGCCGAACCATGGACCCGGTATCCTCTGCCATGATGCCCGGCGGCTTCGGCGAAGCAATCCTGCCAACAACAACGTTCAAACAGTACTTATCCGACCACGCGCCTGCCAACGATACCGCCACATCTGTTGACGGCAAGCCGGACATCGACGTCCTGATTGTGCCCGGCGGCGGCGGCACCCGCAACGACATGAGCGAGGAAATCGCCTTCATAGCCGCCACCTTCCCGCGCCTCAAGTACATCATTTCCATTTGCACGGGTGCCTCGCTGCTCTCGCGCGCAGGCGTGTTGGAAGGTCGCCGCGCAACCACCAACAAACGCAGCTGGGCCTGGGCAACTTCGCACGGCAACAACATCACGTGGATCCCTACTGCGCGCTGGGTCCAAGACGGCAATGTGTGGTCCAGTAGTGGGGTTTCGGCAGGCATAGATGCCATGTATGCGTTTGTTAGCTCCGTCTATGGCGAGGACGTGGCTACGTTTTTGAGCCTGAGCCTCGAGTATACTAGGGAGCTGCACTGGTACGAGGATCCATTTGCGGCTGTTTGGGATGTCCCCGGCGCGAAGTAGAGTTATGGCAACTTTGGCTGCAAGTAAGCTGACCTAGCCCACGTCTGCCATCCTAGCAAGATATTATGTACTTGTCCTCGACATCACATACGCCGCTACCCCTCATGTCTTCACACGACTGACATGTATATATATATATGTGTGTGTGTGGGTAAATAGTATAGACTTTGATTCTTCACTGCTTAGCAATATCAATATGTACAGTCATGGTCTCATTCGTACGAAGCCCACTCCCTGTCCAAAACGTCCAACTCACGCTTCGCCCATTCGTACTTGCTATCGCCTGGCTCAGCATTACCCAGTCCCCTCAAAATATCCCCTCTTTCCCTCGTATTAGCAACCTGTGCCTTCTTCCTCTCCAAAGCCTTGCGTTTCAAGTATGCAAAATCCTCATCCTCCACACTACGCATCCATACCGAGCGCATCCGTGGACTCCACAAACAACAGCTTGATCCGGCTTCCGAGTCCTCGCCAGGGACTAGCTGGATAGATTTGTTAAACAAGCGTGGAATCGTAGTGGGTAGGGATTTCGATTGCATGGCAGGCCAAACAAATCGGTCGTAGCATTCCTCGCATACCGTGAATTCAGGGAGCTGAGGAATAAAGTACCATGGCTTGCGAATCAATATCTTGTCTCTGGCGCACTCGCCCTTGAAAGCATAGTCGCGCGCCAGGTCGACAAAACGGTCAATGTCAGGTCGGCGGCCAGTTATCTGGGCCTCTTCGTCAAGCTCCATAAGAAGCTCCAAGTACTTCATGAGACGACGTGAGCTCATACGGAAGCCGCAAGTGTATCGACTTGGTACGTTTGAGTAGCCAACAGTGATACGGGGAAAGTAGCCGCGGATGCTGGGAAATAGGGCTTCGGCCAATCTTCGGTCACTAGAACAGATGGCAAAGTTGGGCACAAACATGCCGTCGCGTTGATTGACAATGCCGTACCAACTGGCCTCATTAGTGTCCTTTTCTCGTTCTCCCGGGCACGGCTTGTACGTGTCCATAATATCTGCCACGGCGCAAAGTAAGTCGAGTGACTTCAGGCGCTGTTTTACAGTGAGATACCACGCAAGGCGCGGCCACGGGTTACTAAAGTCACACGCCCGCTTGATTGACCAGTCGTCTAACCCGATCTGCTTGAATTCCCCGTCGAATCGAGTCTCAAAAAAAACGCTCTTGTAGCAATCAGGACATATGTTGAAATTTTTGAAGCCGCGGAGGCTGTACCAATCATCGTACTCTCTCGAGGCCTTGCTCCTTGGACAGTCCGGCAGTGATTTGAGGTCCAAAGAAGCAACTCTCCGTAAGGACTTGTCTCTGCGACCGTCCTGGGAGCGGATGCTATTCGATCTTGCCCTCCTAGAGAGTCCGGGTTCCTCACGAGTGCTTTGTCTGGAAGGCTGGGCTTGGGAATCTCTGATATACGGGGAACTAGCAGCAGACGGCGAAGAAGATGTGGGAGGTTCTATATAGTCTTGTCTTGGAGAAGCGATGGGTGAATGGGTATACTGGTAATTCTGTTCCGGTGGCATCAAGACATCAATGAGTTGATCATCCATAGGATATGGCAAAGCAGAGTGCGAAGAGGATGGTCTCCCGGCTGGTAAGGAACTCTGTACATCACCGCGTGTTCTTGGGGCCGGCATTGTCTCGTATCTTCCGTACCTGGAAGGCGGCCTTGATCTGTCCTGAGCGCGGACAGGGGGAACACTGGTGTGCTGATCGGCCTCGGAAATGGGAAAGCGACCTCGTCCGGGCGAATGAGGCTCAAACGTGCTCGAATGAGATAGAGGAGTAGGAGGTTGTCCACCACTTCGAGAAGAAGGGCGCGTTCCAGGCGGTGACTCCTTTAACCGCGTCGGAAGTTGAGATGAGGCGGTTCGTGGCAACGGTGAACTTGGTCTGGACAGGGGCCGCGGACTGTTGGCATAGGTAGTATCAACAGGAACGGGTCTTGACTTTTTTGCGCTGTTGTTCAAGGAAGAAGCGGATGATCTTGGAGATTGGGCATAAAGATTTTCCTTTGACGAGTTGGATGAGTATTCCTTGCGCAAGGTTGGTACCGAACGCTCCCCAGAGTCGCGCCTTGTCGATTCCGGCCGATGCTGCGTGTCCCGTAAATTTGTTCTCAAAGCTTCTCTTTGCAGATCGTTCTGCACGAAGCTGTAGCGTGCCGGTTTCCGGTCTGCTCGTAAGTGGGTAGTGCTATCGGTCTCTGAGTCCGAGTCAAAGACATGATCTTTTTCTGCCGGCCGAGAGTTTGCAAAAGAGTTGTGACGGCTACTACCCGGTCGAGATGTTAGTGATCTACGATGGGAATGCCGTTGTGCGTCTTGGTCAATTCGACCCATGTCCGAAGTAGCGAAACGGCTGTCGGATGGGGTCATGGGTTCTGGCGAACGCAGAAAGTCGGTCGGTATAGGAGCAGTCGATTCCTTCTGTGATTGTGAGTAGCCATAAGGCATCCTCTCTCGTTCTGTGAACAAGGGCGGGTCTGGGACATCGGTGTTGATACGGTCTGCGAAGCTCCTCCTATGGCGATCTCGATGGGAGTTGGGTCGTGTTGTCGCATCGGGATCTGTAACGGACCCGGAGCTGTGTCTCGAGCGACGGCCGTCGCCTTGTGCAGCACTGGGCTGCTCGATCTCGTCCAATATATACTCCTGATCGACAGTGCCCCGCGTATTGACGGGCGGCTCACCATCATCACGGCTTTGTGCTGGCGAAGGTGGCTGAGACCGAGCTTCTTTGGCCAGGGCTTCTGGCTCGTCCTCTACACTAGGCGGAGGCGGCCATGATTCCTTTCGTCTGTGTGACCTGTATGATTGCGAGGCGGATTGTCTGGGACGGGATGTGCGGGGCTCGTAGGAGGGGTAGGAAGTAGTATAGGGATTGCTGGCGCGCATGTCTGTTAGTTCCCTGCGGGCGTCGGCGAGAGTGGCTTCGTGCCGCGAGTAGGCATATGCGTCTGCATCGCGCGGCGATGTATAATAAGAATCATGGCGTGGGTGCTCGTAATAGCGACTGTCGTATCCGTAAGACATGAATGGTGAACGTGAGAGGAGAGGTCAGACGAGCAAGGTGAGAGTGGCGCCTGCCGCGTGCATTGATTCTGAGTGTAGCAGTGTAGAAGAGGGTGGTGGTCTGGAGAGCAACGGGGGTGGAGGTGGAGGAGACAAAGGTGTTGCACAACGCAGCAGTAGCCGACATGTTGGACGGATGCTCAACACTGCTGGGTGACGCATAGGGCCCAGCGTGAATTGTGGGTCATGGCTGCTACGATACGCAGCGGACCATATCGTCAGCCCACGCTCATTTGCTCGCTTCGCCGGCCCCGCCCCCAAGGCGGCGGCGCATGCCGGCGACCACGTTTACTACCACTTGATGCGTTCATCGTGGCCACTCGGTAAGCAAGGCCATTACATATATACATACTACGTACATCCGGTGAGCCCGTTCGGGGTGACAGGTAAGACTAGACTTTTGTAGATGGTGGACACAAGGCAAACAGGGTACTACACATAGGACTGCTGTTGAGTCGTGTCCTTGCATCTGTGCACAATCATGAGACTTTTCTTTTGCTATTCGGATAAGCTTAAATACACGTTAATCTTCGTCCTCACATGTTTTGTCATGTGGACTATGTAAGAATCTGTAAAATCTCCTGCTACGCGGCTGTGCCTCCTCAGTTGCGCGATCGTATAGCTTGAAACAAGAAGGGAACATTGCGCATCATCTATCAAACAAACTTCAGTAGATGATATCGGATACATTTAAGGGGGGGGTTCAAGAGGCGGCAATTGGGTATCAAAAGGAATTCGTATCGAATGGAAGAAGGGCGTAACAAGAGGAGGGATTGTGGGAAGGCTTCAACGTGGAAATGTATGTTGTGCTTAGAAGAAGTTGCCCTCGGGAACAGCACAAAAGATACCGACAGCCACGCCAGAGATGAGAAGAGCACCGAGAATGGATTGGATGAAGATCGTGTCCTGAATCTGGCGAAGAGCCGGCTCCTGGATCCAGACCTCACGGTCAAAGACCTTGCGAACAAGGTTGCGCTTTTCGTAGCGTGCAACCCATGGCTCGTCTTCGTAAGAATTGCTAGATGCGTGAAATTCTATGCTCTGGGAAGACTCGGATTTGATCTCTTCGGCCTGCAGTTCATCGTCAGAGGCAAAAAGCTCCCACGGTCGGAGATGTCGGTGATGCATGCCGTGCAGCACCACACACATGCCTTTCCATGCTGCGATCAGGGTGGAGATGCCGATGAGAAAACCAATCAGCGACATGACACGCCATGCACGACCAGCACCGCTAAGAGCGAGAACGATTGCAGTAACGAGACCGGCGACGATGCCGCCGATACCGAGACCACGTGCAAAGATGACACGGGGACGGTTGCCGTTGCAGATGGTCCAGCGAATAAAGTTGGGATGTGCCTGGCAACGAAGAGACCATTCGACAGACGTGATGACGTCGTTGAAGGCAGATGGATGTGTCGTGTTTTGGAGAGCATGCAGCAAAGAAGTGTGCTCCTTGGACGAGAGGTTCAGCTGGCGCGGTCCATTATCGGCAATGTAGATGGAGATGATACGATTGATCTCTTCTCGGTACGGCTGGATGGAGACTGCGGGGGATGAGCGAGTGGATCCTACAAAGACGAAGAGAAGAATCAATAAAGGCTATACTCACGTGGTTTCCATTTGAGGCCAGCATGATCAAACGCACCAGCAGCACGCTGGGCATGATCGATCTTGAAGCCAGGCCTGCTGTCGCCGTTGAAGTCGAGAGAGCCGGCAGCCGCTTGGTCGAAGCTGCTAGGGGTGCGGGGCGGTGTGTGGAAAGGATCGCTAGCAGCCGTGTCGGATTCAGCACGGCAGCCTTCGGTGGCGAAATCGGTGCCTCTGAGAATGGTTGCCGCCTCAGTACTGTAGAGTCGTGGGCTGGGCTTTGGGTCATTGGCATTGTTAGTCTCACCGGTCCATTTAGGCGACAAGACCCTCTCGCTTTCTGGTAGGGCATTGAAGCGCTTGACGTAGTCGCGGTACCAGAGGAAGAATTGCAGATTCTCGGCAGACAGCTCAATGTATTTGAGGAAGTTCATGAAATCACGAATGGTACAAGGCTGATGACGTAAGTTAGTGAGTGTAGTCGAGTAGAGGTCGGATGGATGTTGGGACGGGGTAGCAGTATGATGGACTAGACGTGGATATAATGGAAGGTGCGGTGGGCAAAACGTACCGGGCAAGTGCCACCAGCGACAATGTTATCAAAGGACAAGGCTTGGGGAATGCCATTGGACATGCCGCTCGAGCCAGACTTGATTGATCCGCGAAGTGTCTCACGCTTGGTGTCATTTGAGATGGCAGAGGCATTGTCGGCAACACTGGCACGGCCTGGGCGGCGATACGACAGTGAGTAGACCATGGTGGGTCCTGCGACAGTGTGAGGGGTCTATATATGTGTATAGTGAATGTGGGTGATGAAAAAGAAGGGAAGAGTGAGTGGTGGGGAGAAGAGCGAGGCAGAGGCCAAGAGCGTTCGAGCGGGCCAGGCGGGATGATCTGAGGGGGAGGAGGAGGAGTAGTATATGTATGGGTAGGTGGGTGTATGCATCTACATACGTATGTAAGCATGCAGATGGCGGGAGAGAAAAGTAGATAGCAGTAGCGTCAAGATGCAATTCCAGCAAGGGGGGTAGTTTCCCGTAGACATGCACACACATGGACAGGTCCCGCCCGCCAGAACGCCAGCTGAGGCAGCCACCAGTTTTGCACGGTTGTGACGGCTACAGGCTAGCGGTGCAGGGACGCGATATTGGCGACGACGATGCAGATGGAGCGGCTATGTGGGCAGGATCCGTGTCGATCGCCCGGGCCCTTGTGCTCGAGCTACACCAAGTAGACATGGCCACCATGGCTAGTACTTTGCCTAGTGATTCTCGGGCCTTTTCGCAGCAGTTACTACATACATATATACATGCTCATATTAGAGTATGTGCGGTCGTACAGTCGTCGTAACCACCAAGACACCTGGTATACATACATACGTACACATGTGTGGACATGTACATACGGCCCCGGCTGGTGACCAAAATAACCAGTCGACGTTGGGAAATGAAGATGCGACAGAGGATGTTGTGCCAGTGACGGCCGCCACAGGCAACGCGCCGGTGCAACGCTCGCAAGCGCAGCGAAAAAGGCGAAAAAGGCAAAAAAGGCAAAAAAGACTAGTGGACAAGCCGTGGTCAAGCCGTGGTCAACAACAGTGACGTTGTTTCAGACAGCCACATGTACCAGCCGACAGCATCCGCAGTCTGATTGGCTGTCGGATGCCACACCTGCAGCCAATCGGAGCAGCCTCTATCGTCACCATGCATGTTCCTGCTACGATCTTATCCATGTGTGCGAACACACATACTACATGTCTATGCATCTACAGTCGCCATATTTGTAACACATCTCCACAGCCCAGCAAAGTACCTTGTACACACTAATATACTATAGTATACTATACTACACACACATACTCTGCATGCCTGGGTGGTGGCGCTCCTCCCCCCGCCTCTCCCGATGCCAGCGAAAACACCAGCTCCTGACGCTTTCCGTAAGCCGGCCGATTGGTCTACTGCGTCTTCCAACTAGCGGCACAAAGTCAAACTACGTACCTACTTACCTTCCAAAACCCACCTCTTGGTACTTGGTAGCGGTACTTGGTAGCTTTCCCCTTTTCTCCACCCTCTCACGCCAATGTCTGCCGCCTTGGTCAGTATAGTAGACGTAGTTACCTTACTTACCACCCACAACACCCCAAGACTGAGCCGTGCCGTGTTCCATGACACCCGTCAGAACCATTCTCACGGTTTCACGTGGCTCACCACGTGTCACCCGACACCACGTCCCCACGTTAAGTCACGTGTCGTATACAAGTCTGGGTCTGCAAACTTTGGCATAACGCCACTCAATCCCCAATCACTTTTCGCTTTCGCATATCCACCACCTTCTCCCCACCATCGAAGCTTATACTTATTCATGTCTTTGAACACCAGCTGGCCCCCTTTCCACTAGTGACTCCCTCGGCCTCGGGTCAAGTTTTCATCTAGTGCGAATCGCTTCTGCTTCGCCGACTGGACCATGGATGCAAATGCGCTAATGTACATCTAGCTGTTCCATGGCTTCCTTCACCAACTCCTGTGCCTGCACCCTCCCCTCCATCCCGTCGCCGCATCCTCGTCGGCTTTTCTTTTTTCTTGGCTAACGTCCTGTGGCTTTCGGGACCCTGGCCCACCATGGCATCGATCCAGATCCAAAACCTGCGACTGAAGCCACCATCGCCGCTACTTGTGTGCTCCTCATACCCATGTCCCTTCCAAAAACAAACACGATCGTGGGTTCCCAGGGACCCACTTTGCATCGACTTGGCAATGTCCATCGCCGGCCGCATCTTCCTTGGAGCTCGTTGCATGCATACCGCTGCACACACCCCTGGTCATCCTGTCTTGACAACCAAATCTCTGTAGTAAAGAAAATCGTGTTTGCCCTCGATCCAAAAAACGGGGCGCTCAGGGGAATATCAACCATCCCTGCCGCACACCCGCGTTGTGCATGCGGATGAATACGTCGTCGGCTAATCACTTTGCATCCACAATCATATGCCTTCATCTCCCAGCCGTGCAAACTTCACCAACATGCCGCACCGCAAGCAATGCTCCGTTTGGGGGGTGCAGTTGCGAGATGATTTCTTAGCAGTCAACTGTCCTCTTTACCAATGACATGTAGATATATGCACACCATGGCATGAGGCAAAAGTTGACTTTACAGACGAGCCTTCACACTGCCCCTGTAGCCCTGGCCTAAGTTCGGGCTGCGTCTAGGCCATGGTCTTTGCTGCTGCGTTTAGCGATAGCCCGAGGCAGGTACCACGGCGCGGTAACAATTAGCACACTAACAGTATCACATACGCTTGACATGTGCTGCGCCATCCACTGTGCCCAACAATCAAACTCTGCCCTTTTTAACCCGCCTCAGTTTCCGTGCCAGGTTGGCAAACGCAGATAGTTAGTGAATCAGACTTTGTATACTGGATGTTGAAAACAATGCAATTCCAAATTGCACCAAACAAGAGCCATGCATGCAAAGAAAGGACAGTACGGTTGGAGCAAACCATTTGTCTCATAATAGTCACCCAATACCTTTCGCCCCAAGTAGCCTTCATATTGCGGCTTCCCGGTAGACATTCGGTCATACCTGCTGCACATCCGTCACACTCATGGACTTTTCCTGTATTGAATCGCACTTCCGTACTCCACAACTAGGCTTCCAAGTCTTTCATTACTCAAACGATATCTCCAACCCCCACACCCTGCCCTTGGCATATAACATTGGAGTCTTTGACAGCCTCGAACAAGCACAAGATGCAGCCCAAAGCGAGTTGGCGCGCGTCTTGAAATTCCATCTCAACCAAGGGCACTCCGGTCGTTGTTTTCGCGAGATGAATCTGAGTCTGCGCGGCCTCATCACAGCGTACGTGGACAGCTTGAACAAAGCCAGACAGTCGATTCGGCGCGAGCTCATTTTGAGCGAATTTCACATTGTTAAATTTGACGCCTGGGACCCATCGCGGGCCGTTCATGAGAGCAATGTGCAAGCGCATGAACTATCTATGTATAAATTGTCTTCGGAAATCGATCCACCATTTGTTCAGCATGATGAAGAACGTTCGCCGGAATGGGCAAGATCTCGCATCCCACTGTTTGTTCGTCGAGACGAAGGGCCCTTGCGTCGACCGGGCGACCAACCCTACACAGTGCGGATGGGCTTTTTGCCGCCAAAGCCAATACCTGCTATTCGGTCCATATCAGAGCAGTCAGTCAAAAACTCAGATAGTGAGCTTTTGCGAAGAAACAGCGTGTGAGCTTGAATGGACTACTGGTTCAGTATCAGGCAACGAGAGTAGATTGTTACAGTTAAATGGATTTGGCGACTAGCCAGGGATGAATCTAGTCTCCATCCCTTCACGTTACTTGAAAGGATAGATGAACTCTTTTCTTTTCTGTGTTCAATCATCCTACTAGCCACTTAATGACTACTCTATTCAATTCAAACAAACATCTACTATGGCCATGTCACATTGCTATTCATGTAAGCAGCGCTCAAGCATTCATTCCATTTGTCTATTTGTTTATGTATGGGATACGTGTACGTAGAGTACCTACACATCTACCTACATACACATACACACACGTAGCTCAAAAAAAGCAAGTGCTCACATCGCGGGTGCTGACAGGGGTATTCCGCGATGATCTAAAAGCAATCATCTAGTCATGGTAAGACATCGATCAGCCCTGTTTCAAGATGACGATCTTCATTAGATCTATACACTAGTCCTTGTTTTTTCCCGCTCCTTTGTTCTTCCCGTACTTTCTCATCTCTACGAAGGTGGTGTGCAAATCAGTCTTGCATATCCAACTCACGATGCGCTTTCTGTCACATGAGCAGTAAAAGAAAAAAATTCAGGATGAAAAGATCCGGGGAGGATATTCAGGTATTGGTTTGAGGATGGGATTGAAAATGTAATATACGTTCAACTACTAGAGTCTGATTCGACTTGGCAGGTTGCGTTGTGATCAAAACACACCAGGAGCTTGTGTTGGTAGGATTGGTCTTGAATCTACTCCACACTGCCTTTTATTATATTTTGACTTAGAATTGGGTGGGCTACTCACTAGGAAGAATAATATGTAATAATATGTAACACTGTTACTCAGAACCTGTTGGATGGTATCTGATTCCCCCCGAAGATTAACAAAGATTTCCTGGTTTTTTTTTTTGCAATAACGAGTTAACGAGCGCGACACGCCAGCGCAGAAAACATAGTCATAATAACAAACAAGTACGTCAGCTGTGTAACACCTTGCCCACAGCAAGCGCAAAACGATTGGTGAGGAAGAGGTCGACAGAATCATACTTGAGCTTAGTGACTTCATCCCAAAACAGTCTAGTTGATCCATGAACACGTGGGACGTAGACCAGTGATCAGACTCACCGCTCAGCCTCATATCTCCACCATCGCTGTTCGCATGTACATCAGACTTTGCAACAACCTGAGCATCCTAGCGCAAATGCTACGCCAATTAAAATGCTTAAAAACATGAGGCGTTGCGAAGGGTATGTTTCGCGTCCGACTTACACAGCACACCCCCGACAATCACTATCACTTTGTTAGTTCAAAGAGTAAGCATACGCGGACGGTAAGAGTCATCTTAACAAAGTGATGCTGAGCACCATGTCTTTCTCCAGACCGCTAAATACCCCCCCGCCCCCCACCTTCTCAGGCAATGCAAATATTTCAAGGGCAAAGACTCCTATGCTACACATATCATGCACTTCCCGCTTTGTTTTTTTCCTACTCATTACACACTTGCACATACCCATACCGTCTTGTATACAATCTTCTCAATCTCAAAAAACAACAATATTTGTACCATGTCCATCATGCCCCCCCACGTCATCACAGCCATCCAGCAGTATCTCCGCTGGGACGCAGAAATCAAACGACAAATCGATGGCAAAACACGCGCGAGGACGTGCTCGATCACACGACGAGTTGTGTCTAGCTCGATGGAAGATCAAGAAGCGGTGCTGTGGCGACCGGGATATACCAGGGGAGATTCGGCAGAGAGTTTACCATCTGTGTAAAAAAAGAAAAGAAAAGAAATACATTTTGGGGGTGCATAGTGAGACTGCAAAGCAGGGAGCCGGAGTCATGACAAATGATTGCATGAATGGGTATCAAGAAAGAATTTTTTTTGACGGACAAAAACACATAGTATATAGTGGTCGGAGGGGGAGGGGGGTTGTTTAATTTGAAGCGATCAAACTTAGATACCCTCTATGATGAATACAACATTTACACCACCTTCTTCTGACCAACACTTGTTATCTTCTTCTCCATTCCCAGCAAGCCCCCCAAAATACTGATTCCCATCTGCACCAGCGTGACAACGAACCTCACAACGTAATCTTTCCACTCCAGAACGGGCCTCCTGCCCCTCATAAACTTTGCATCTACCACCTCCCACCCCGCCTTTCCACCAAGCTTCTCTCCAACCTGCAATCCGCTTCGGCATCCATCTTCATGGAAGCCGTAGCCTGTCCATGCGCCAGCGTACCAGATACCGCGCTTCCCTTGTATCTCGTCAAGGCGGTCTTGTGAAAATACCATGCGCGAGTTATACAGGGGATGGCGGTACTGGTATGTGGCCTGGGTGAGAGCAGGAGAAGGAGGCGAGGGTGGGTTGAGAGTCACGAGCACGGACGAGAAGGTCTCTCGGGGGATGTGTTGGAGAGTGTTCATGTCGTAAGTCAAGCAGACGGACTCAATAGCACCGGAAGGTGAGTCTAGGTTTGGGTTTTTTGGTGGGTGGGACGCAGAAGTTGTGAGATAGTTCCATGCCGACCAGGCTGTGCGGCGTTGGGGCATGAGCTAGAGATTGTTAGCAGTCGCTCTTGCTATGCTACTATCGGCAGACTTACTGAGAGGTCAGAGTGTAAATATGCAGTATTGGGTGTTGTTTCGAATGCGTCTAGGATTTCCTTCTCTTTTTCGGTTGCATCATCTCCCAATATCCATCTTGCTTGATCTCCGTGGCAGGCCAACACAACTTCGTCAAAGATTTCTGTCTGACCCTCTCCCCTTCCTCCCAACGTCAACTCTACTTTCTGATCCTTACTCCTCACAGCCAGGACAGGCGTTCCAAGGTGGCCTTCGCAATTGCCTGCTAGCTCCAGCACGGCGTCGATGTACTTGCTGGATCCACCTTCGACAGTCAACCAGGGTGGCCTTTCAGCAATGGTACTAAGGAGGTGATGGTTCCACATGAAGCGTACAAGCGTCAGTGCAGGAAATTCCAGAGCGCATTTGTCGGCGCCAGTACTCCATACGCATGCGGTCATTGGGATCAAGTAGTCGTCCCTAAAGGCGTCCGAGTAGCCTTCTTGGTCCAGATACTCTCCGATGCTCATCTTCGTAGCGGCAATGGCAGCTGGCGATCCTGGAGTGATTGAAAGCAAGTCGAGAGCAAACTGATTGAAGCGGACAATATCGAAGATCATGCGCCAGAAGGATGGTTTGAGTGCATTAGATGGCTGAGCGAAGAGTGTACTGCCCGATGTGCCAGACCATTCAAAGACACCTGCATCGCGGGAGACGCCAAAAGTCATTAGAGATGGCACAGTTTTTACGCGTAGAGTGGAGAGAAACTTGATAAAGTTTGCTATTGTCTGTCAACTTGGATTCGAGTGGCAGGATGCGTGGGAAGAGACGAACGGTAGGTAGCCGTGTTCAAAACGATGAAGCCAGTATCAACAGGCGTGCTTTTGCCGTCGTGCTTCCACATCACCGTATTTGTGTGGCCGCCCAGTCGTTCCTCTTTTTCAAAAAGATGCACCTCATGCTGGGTATCACGGAGGGCAAACAGGGCACTCAGGCCAGATATGCCGCTGCCGACAATAGCTATACGCTTTTTTCCCGCCTTGTTGCTCATGGTGAACTAGTGCGGAAGCGCAATGGTTACACAAGCAGGCTAGAATTCTATGCTGGATATATGTACCACAATGACAGAAGAGAACGGGCAGAGCGAGTATGAGCTGCGGAAGATATGTGACTCATGAGGTCATGGATGTTGAAGCTAGGCCCGTCGCTGCAAGTACATGACTAATGCCGCCGCTGCTCATTTCACGCATTCCAACAGCAACAGAGCCATGGTGCAGTACAATGTGGTGTTGCATGCATGTAGCATATTTCCCCAAGACTAGATTATCATTGGTGCCCAGGTTGGACCTACGTAATTAGCCCTTCTGGAAAAAAGATGGAGTGGGCCGCTGATCCTACTTGACAGTGGCCCCACCCGGTTGCGATGATTATGTAGGGAAGATGCGGTTTCTAGGACTGGTGGGCGCATGCTGGGTCTTTGAGACATTCAGAGCCGCAACATGCTGCGCGGTGCGGCCTTGCGTGTGAGGAAGTGCGGACCATGCCAACGACGCGTTCAAGGCGCGTATTGCTACTGGAAAAGCAATCATGGGTGTAAACTGACGCGACCGTATTTGCGACTGGGAATAGCTGGAATCATCTTCAATAGACATCTACAACACCTGAACAGACAACGAGTACGAGCAGGGCAGTCAGGCACAGTTGCGGTTCACGTGACATGGCAAGGATAGCCTTGGCAACTGCGTAATGGCCGCATGAGCTCTGGAGTATCGGCTCAACGCCTCATTCACTTGCACATCGCCCAACAACTGCACGCCCATACACAAACGTCTACTTCACGCAATCCTCCGTATAGACAAATTCCGATAGCGAAACCATGTCTAACCTCATCGATGCCGACGCGGGCACCGAGCGCTTCAGCGGCTATGAAGCCGAACTCAAGCTGGTACAAGCCGACCTCAGCCAGCAGATAGAGCAGATCAAAGAAACGACGGGCGAGCCCAGGAAGGCCGCCATCAGCAGGGCAGAGCGTGCGCTGGAGGAGGCCGAGGAGTTGGTGAGTTGCAGCCTAGAGACATATCGCCTGTGCGGAACAAGGCATATATGGCTTGATGTAACGACAATATGTGCAAAGAATGCAGCGCTCACAAGACTCTCGTCCAGATTGGCCAGATGCGCCTCGAAAAGTCAAACATTCCCGCCAATCTCAAGTCCAAGTACAACGCGCGCTTTCGCAACTTTGAGCACGACCTCGATACCAGCAAGCGTAAGCTGCAAACATACACCTCGGACCGCTCCAAGCTCTTTGGCGACCGCTACACCGACAGCCCCGATGGCGGTGACGCCCAACTCGAGCAGCGTCAGCAACTCCTCTCTGGCACAGATCGCTTGAACAGGTCGAGCAACAGGTTGAGGGAGAGCCAGCGGATTGCGCTCGAGACGGAGCAGATTGGCGCCAGTACACTCGGCGACTTGCACAGACAGAGGGAACAAATCACGAATACAAGGGAGAGGCTGCTCGAGAGCGAGGGATACACCGATCGGAGTATCAAGACTCTGAGGGGAATGGCGAGACGGTATGTATAACTCCCCTGGTCACTCCCGTCCATCTACCCACACCTAGAACCCCTGGTTGATAGGGAGGCCTAGATGGATGCCCTTTTGATTTTCGCAACCAAGAGTTGCTAACGATATTTCCACTGCAGGATGGCCACGAACCGCATCATTACCATTGCCATTATAACCGTCCTGGTGCTGCTCATTATCGCCGTCATTTTCAGCAAGTTCAGATGAGCGCACCCGCCGCCCCATCCTCCTTTCTAGCTACGATTGCGTGACTTGTTTCCTGTTTGGCGTTTGGAGCAAACAACTGTGTATATTACATGGGGCCACTTTCTCGTTAGGGGAAAGAGAGCCGAGTCATGATAATTGCGTTAAATGCATTACTACTCCTTGTACTGTCTCAATCAAGACTTTGGCCGTCTTGAGCCGTCTGCACTTACTATGCCCTCTTGCTTGGTGAACAAATGGTCTCGTACTAGGAAAGAATCAATGTATCTTTCAATGCGCTGCTTGTTTGGCACTTGGTCGAGTATCCAACAACCAAGCCACATACTGCCACTGCCACTGCGCGTACGTAATCTCGTCATGCTACTCAAATGAGGGAACCCATTGTTACATGATTACACACTATCGCCCAGACACACATACACACACACAACACTAAACACTAATTCGGCCTTGGTATTTTTAAAAAAGTATCATGCATGATAACTCTGATCCTTGAAACGCCTAGTTGGTACCGTGAAGCACAGAGGTAAAAAAAAAATAGATAAGAGGCAGACGAGATGACGTGGTGAAACGGTGACAAGTCTTGGCTTGAAGAGTATGGTGAGTGAGAGGAAGAATGACGATAATGAAGGAGAGTATCATGAGCGTATCGAGGTCAAACTGGTAATTCTCCCATAGGGGAAGGGGGGGGGTGGGACGAGTTACGGAATAGCGGTCCATGAACCCTTGTTTAAAAAAATTGTCCAAGGAAAGAAAAACAAGTAGTAAGCGCTTATGCCATGTGCTTCAGGGACTCAAGGTAAAAAAAAAGGAAGGGGGGGGGGAGTGCAGACAAAGACAAGAGTGCGATTGAGTGCGAGATATTTTATTTTATTTTAAACAAAAAAACGACTTTATTATTGTTGTGTAGCTTCACTGCTAGATCCTTGAAGAGGCTGCCTGCCCATCACTCTCCTCCTATTTACCCCACAACTTGTCGCGGGAGGAGGGGAGAAGGAGAGTGGTGCAGGCAGCTACGCAGCTACCAGGCGAAAAATCTCGGTCCCCTTTGGGGGGCATCGCAAACTTTTGCAGCGCGCGCAATTACAAGAGTACCTGTTCTTTCAAGGTCGCTGGCTCATGGCTTTCCCTATATGTACATAACGAGCATGTGTGTGTGTGTGTGTATGTGTGGTTGGTTTCCCTGTGGTTATAGACAATCACTCTTTTATTCTGTTTTCCCCCTTATTCTCGTGTCATCTGCACTGAGAATCACCTCATTCAATCACCTCATTCGGGAGATCCGAAAGGAAAGGGTGTTGGGGGTAATTTCTTGTCGGTTTCCAATTCCTTCAACCCTACCTGCGACGATGTGGATGGTCGTCGCATCCACGAGCCTGGTGGCAGTGAAGGTGATTTTCGGATGCGAAGCGGGGCGGGGAAAGCCGTACTGAACGGCGAAATGGGTGTCATGCGTCGAGCATCAAATCCTGCTTGGAGACGCGCTATGCATCGTTCAAGTGCTACACTTGCTGTGCTTGCCACCGACGTGTTACTTCCTTTGCGCGAGTGTCCTTGAAAATCATGCAAACATGGTGAAGATGGCGGTGATGTCGCAGTCATTTGAGACAAGGGAGAACCTCGACCTGATGGACGGGAGAAGATAGACTGAAGAGGAAATGTCTCCTGCCAAGAGTCCTCGTTGAGAACATCGGCTCGAGGTGGTGTAGTTTCAGCCTTTGATTCTGCAGTGATGGGTCTTGATGATGCGGTGCTGGGTCTAGATGGTATTGTGACGAGTCTTGGCGGTGTGCTGATGAGTTGTGGTGGTGTGGTGTTGGGGCTTGTGTGTGCTGTATGGGGTCTCATTTGTGCGGTGTTGGGTCTTATTTGTGCAGTGTTGGGTCTTATTTGTGCAGTGGCGGGCCTAGTTTGGGCGGTGCTAGGCCTTGTTATGCGTGCAGTAGGAGGCCGAGTGGTATACTCTGGATACTTTCTTCGCTCTGCCGCTAGATCTATTTTGAAGGTTCGATACTTCAAATATCGGGGCGATTCTGAAAAGTACTGGGGCAACACAAGGGCGAACAACGGCCGCATAGCTGGTAAGCAAGCGCACACGATGCCTACGTTGACCTCGACTGCGGACAGAGTTGCATGATCCGTGTTGTCAAACGACACATCTGTTGAATTGGCAATTGCGTCCAAGGAATAGAGCCTAACAATGGATACCAAGGTGACGCTGTCGATTCGTTAGTCCGTTGCATAGTTTACGCCGTACCAGCTTGACCCACCTGACACCCAAGATGAACATAGTCCCTAGCCCCCGTTTCTGCGATTTAGATATTGATAACCCTCGTATGACTAATAGCGGCATGAGGAATATCACCACATCCAACGTGATGTTCAAGGCGGCATTCGTAATCCACACTGTGAGTTGGTTCATGCATCTACCGCCTGGTATCGACTTATCCCATGAGAAAGCGATCGGGGTGCAAATGAGTACGCTTGAGGAAACGGCCCAAGCTCCATATGCGACTACCAGGCCTAATACAACGATACAGGCTATCCGGAAGCAACGGACGGGGAAAATGCGAAAATATTGGACAAGGATGGAGACCTTGATTGTAGTAAGGGTGAGATTATAAACCCAGACACTCGCCCAGAACGACTAGTATGTTTGTCAGTTTTCTTCTTCAACAACTTAAGAGGGTAGGAAGGTTGGATCGTATTTTGGGCTGGGTTCGCCCTGCATGCGAGCTTACACTTGCTTCAACCGAGAGCTAGCTTTATGGAGTACAAAGACCTCAGTCGGTGCTCTTGAGTTGTACAAGAGGGTGGAAGGGATTTGTGAGAGCGTACCTTTAGTAGTATATCTAGCTCAGTTTTCGAGAGTCTCGAGCTGTGCGTTCCCAACCCATTCATTACTTGTTCGGTGGTTAGCACCGTAAGTCCTACTGAAAAGACCTAGCGGGACTTCTATTAGCGAGCAAGTGTATGGTGAAGACTATGCTCACTTACCATGGCCAGTACAATAAAAGCGTCTTCCCATCCGGCCATTTTTGATATTACCAGGCGTGTGAAAAGACGTAAAAAAACAACCAAGCTTGAAACGAGGGTGAAGGCAAGTACTATGATATTAACCCGTATTCCAGCGGGGGTAGAATTAGTGATGTTCATTATGGTGGAGAGGTAGTAAGGACCAGTCGAGGGTCTTGATGATAGAAGAAAACCGCCCAGAAAAGAAGAAGCTGTAACAATCACATTGCTCAATATTCCATGTTCAGCGTTATGGTAATAACAGAGGGTGTTAAGACCCGACACTAATGGTTATAAGGGTCAAAAGGCGAGAGCGACGCGGCCAGGATGAAGGGGGAGCCTAGCGCGAGGAACAGGGTAAACTGGTGAAGGTGGCTTTGGGATTCGGAGGTATGATGTACATCTATTGGCAGCTCAGCTCAGCTCGAACGATGGCAGGGTTGGCAAGCTTTAGACAATCCTGCTGAATCTGGAAGTGGGGTGGTGGCGAGCAGTATCAAAATAGGCTGCCGAGACCCTGCCTACACTCTCAAGACATGACCGTTTCGAACGCGACAAAGACTATAGTATGGCGATCAGTCAAAGCATCGGCCGACTGCTGCCTTGTCCAGCGTGGCGCGACACCAGATACGGAGAAGAACAGGCAGGAAGAGTAAGAGACAGGGCGCAATGCCGCCCGGATTCCCCTCTCGGGTAAGCTCATGGGAGCCTCTGTGAGTAACGTTCTGGTTTGGCTAGGCTTCGGGTATTGTGACTGAGGCGATGGTACGGAACTTTCGGCGTCGCATGTCAATGACTAGATGCCGTCTTTTAGCAATCAAATAGTGACGACGTGGGCGGTTTGCAGTGGCCTGAAGGATGACTGATTCTTGCCTGGGGATGCCGTTGTGCATAATGGTGGCCCTAGGTGTTGCGCATGAATGCATGCATGCATGCATGTGCGGAGGGCGGCAGTTGTTGGCAGGACGAGTTTTGTTTGCCCTCGTGGTTCGGAATCTGTTATGCAACCGTTTACAGAGGATGGCGCAAGGCGATTACTAGTTAGTGTCGACGCTGCAGGTCCGGCCGAACGCCAGTTGTGGGCCGAAACCTTGATGAACATCTTACGACCCTGAAACCGCCCCAAGGCTATCGACGAGCTCTGCAGCAAATAACATTTGCCCTAAGATGGGAAAACAATCCCTGGATGCATCTTGGTGATCTCAGGGACGCCGCATAGCGCACACGCAACAAACCTTGTTCAGCAGTAGCAGCCGTGACAAAACAGGCGTGGGCGCGACAGTGAAGTCGAGATGCCGCGGATATAAATGCTTCGTCGAATGAGTTAGGCATGAGGCTTGAGTCGCTCGATATCGTGACAGCTGCATGGGGGGCATGCATGGTGTGGAGAGTCAGGTCGAGAAGGGTGGCCTGGTCTTTGTCGCTCGCTCTTGTGATCAGTAGTTAACAGAGCTACTATCAGGCTTTGCACCGTTTGTGCAGATAGCTTGTGTTCTTTCAAACTCTGCCTTGTTGACATGTCCTGGTGTGGGCAATCCCATCTTTGCTGTGTACACCAGACAGAACTTTGTGTGGGACATGACACCTGTTTGTGTTTCTCACCCAAAAACGAAGGTATCGTGAGCATGGCACTCGAGAGTTGCGTCTCACCAAGCACAGCGAGGACGATGACGTTGACTGCATGGCGCTGGGTTGTTTGATCTTCCGGAAAGTTGGCTTCCAGCATGCCTGAGGTGAGATATCTTGTAGTATGATGGAAAAAAAGTCTCCGTAGATGTCCTGCAATACACTATGCATTAAGGACCAGGTTGCAAGTGCGGCGCATATTAACAGGCTGGAAATCCTTCGCAGGCGCAGCCAACACGATGACAGATTTGCGCGACACTGATGCCTTGCAAGGTTAATAAGAGTGGAAGCATGTTTGTACAGATACGTCCGTACCGAGGAATATCAAATTCCCAATGGCGATGGTCTTGGCGATGATCACAGTGAATTGGGCAACTCGCAACACATGAACTAGGACCACGTGTTGCCTGACCCTCGAGTCATCGAGCCATGCCGATATGGGGCCGGGGGTTGTGAATGAGTCGCTTCAGTCGGGCTGGTGTTCTTGCTATGTAGTCGGTAGGAAAAACTCACTTGCAAGCGCAGTGCCTGATGAGTAAGTAGGCGATGTAGCTAAGTATTTGCATGCATGCGCTACGCCCGCTAATCCGGTTGAGCGGAGGCTGCCTGACATTGCGCTTTTGCCACGATACGGAGGCCATATGGACAGTTGTAATAAGTGATAGTGCCCTGCATACTTTGGAGCGTCGCAACGGAAACACGGCCTTGCAAGGTGCCACGGCTCTTCTTCAACAAAGCAGCAAGCCGCAATGGTCAACGAAAAGCAGCACAAGGCATGCATGGTGTGTCAAAAATTCCCAGCCGACCCGAAGGCCAGTTGGAGCGGTCATAGTTGTAGTTTTCAACTAGCAAAAACGCTACCTCGGACGAATCCTCACTGGTAAGCGTAAAGCCCGAGCACTTGGATGCCGAGAGACAAGGAGGAAGAGGGAGACGCAGTTTATATACCCAAGGGGAAGCGCTAGATTCTCGGCACGCTAGCGTCACGTGACATAGCCGTGCGTAGGCAGCACCAGGCAGCCTTGTTTTGATGGAGCCAATCACAGCGGCGCATGCTCCACAAAGGTGAGAGCTATGCGGCAGAAGCCTTCCGACTCTCACCCCCCAAGTCCAGATAGAGTAGCATTGTAGATGCCTTTGACGACAATTGATACGTCTTCACGTGTAGTACTGCATAGTATATAGATATGCCCACACAAACTCACATGTACATGCATACACGGCCGCTCATCGTCAAACTCTCCACGGCCAGCGCAGAGTATATGCCATTTGTAGCCAGCACATTCCCTGCCTGCCTGCCTGCCTCGTCTCGCCAAATCCTAATCAATTGTCGTCGTCGTCCGCGTAAAGTCTAATGTTTGGCTCATAGGGACAGGAAACCTGGTTCTTCCGGAAAGGGCGTCAATTTCCGCTAATGCCCATATCCCCCAGTGCCAGCTTCACCATCCGCTCGTATCGGGAATTCCATTTCCATCTACTTATACGTATGTAGCTAGCCTCAACGTGAGCCTTGCAGCTAAAGTTTCCAGTCTTTAGATTCTGGATACGAACGAGCTTTGGCCGCGGTTCCGCCCACCTGGCCTGGTCATCACCAGTATTCGCAACTATTGCCGCGAGACCAATTTTGAACCTCCGTCTTTGGCGCTGGTGCTTGCCCCTCTTACCCTTGTTACCACAACTAGCATTGTGTTGCAGTTGGCAGCATGACGTCAAGCTTGTCTGTCCCTAGCCTTGAGCAAACAACCTTCTTACCTACTACGTATTGCCTACTCCCAAGATTCGGCAGACCAACTGATGCTGCTGCTGCTGCCGCATCAACTCGGCATCTCCCACTTTCTTCATTGTAATGTGAAGTAGCTTTGATGGAACCCGGGCCCTTCCGAATGGGGTGCAGGGTTGACGCCGGTTGTGGTGTTGTATCCCCCATACGTCGAAGCCGGCGCCGCAGCTGTGGTCGTTGATGGCCGAGGCACACGAACATCTGGAACGGGGTCGGAGTGAAAGTCTCGTATTACCGACGCCTCTTTACGGTCCCAAAGATCCGACACATCCACACCATACTGCCTAGCCACCCTCTCAAAGCAGTCGAAGGCTATTTGGTGAGCACGTGCAGCCACGGGACCCTGCATCCGCTGGAGCCAAGATATCGCCTTCCTCACGTGATGAATCATCACTGAAGCCTCGCACGACGTCGATGAGGGATACGAGAGACCGAGTAAGAAGACGGAGACTGCTTGCATCATGTGGTGCACGAGGCACCACCAAGGCAGATCTTCATGAATTCGACTGCTGAAATCATCGGGCAAAGACGCAACAATCGCCCTGGCGGCCTCAATGCACCCATCCGCCATGCTTCTTGAAAAGCTTGCGTCGTGGGAATCTTTCCATGGTTGCCGTCGCGCAGCCAGAAATGGTCGTGTAAGCAAGATACGCGCGCTGCAAAACTGAAACTTAAGGAGCACACGCTCACGAGAAAACCCATCGCTAGGCCCTCGCCCATCTCCATGCGGTCGGAGCTCCAAAGGTAACGAAGAAACCCACTGGTCTAGGCGTTGACACAAAAATGTCGAGTCCTGCTGAACATCACTTGGAGACCGGATCATCGTACCAGCCGAATAGAGTGAGGTGAGAATGTTCTGAGTTATTATCGACAACTGCACCCCAGCCCTGAAGTACAACCCAGGACTGGTGCTTGGTTTTGCAAAGCCCTGTGGTGTCACAGGACGGTTCGCGGCAACATTGGACGGGACGGGAAACGGGGCCAAGTGCGATATCGATGTATCCCCGATATTGACATAGGCCGCTGTGGTTCCCTCTGCTCTGCCGTCTTCAGGATTCGTCATGGGCAATGGTACGGAACAGTATGAGTCGACCACGATGCTAGGACGACCGGTTATGATGCTGAGCATCCTCTCAAGAGAGTATAGGCTCCACCAGATTTGCACTAGAGATTCTCGTTTCTTCGCATTGGCCGACGGGTCTTCGTTTCGCACATGGAGGCCCAGGGAATACGCAGAACGCAGAGCGATGCCGACGATTGTCCAAGCACTAGCATGGTCAGCACCTCCGTCACCTCAATCTACACAGCAAAAGAGACATTGGCTAGGCACTCACCGATTGACCTGTCCAACACTGAGCCAGTAGAATCCGAGAAGACCTAAGCTTTGGATCTGTGGCACATCTGGATGAGAAGCCACTGCAGCCTCACTCAACCCAAAAGCACGCGCCCGTGCTTGATATGTAATGTGCTCATTTGCCAACCAGCCTTCGTTTAGGTGTGCATAGTTGGCTCCAATAGCAAAGACGAGGTTCAGGATGATTTGCCACTTTGGATTCAAACTTGGCGCGTTCCCGCTCTGTAATGCCCCAAAGTATACACGGGTCTGCTCCGTGAATTCTCTACGGGGAAGAATTGGAAAAGAATCGTGAATTTTGGACATGTAGCATTGTACTGCAGGGTTAAACATGTTGGGTCAGCGTATGTATCACACGAAGTATGCTGTTCACCCATGACTTACACAGATGCTCGGCAATATGAGGTTGCGGCATTTCATGCGGGTCCACGTAGAAGTCTATGTTCACATCATCGCAATCTGTCCAGAAGCTGAACGAACTAACCGGCTCGCTGCTGGTAGCGTACGAAGGGCGTCGTGGCAGTCCCGAACTGTCCCAACTCCCGTCTGTTCTCTCGGTTCGGGCGAGTGCAACTGCGCGCAACCATTGCACCTCTGAACTCTTTCCCACAAAGCCTGTTGACCGAGCTTCATCTTTGCTATGCAAGTCTTCATCTAACAAGTCTAGAGCCTCAGTTTCGAGATGCTCGAGATAATCGATGCTGCCCAACTCAACGTTTCCGTGTGAGCTCTGAGCGTCGACGTCAGAGTTTGACGGCGTTGGCGTCAGCCTGGACTCCGTCAAGTCTTCTCCAATCTATGCTGTGTCAATACAAGGGAGCCTTTGTTGACTCTGGAGATAAAGAGGGTGGGCAGCAAAGGCTTACTTCGTCTAAAAGATCGGTGATGCGATTACTGTCCTGGACGTTTGCGCGGTCTCTGATTTCTCTCAGCAATGCAGCCAGCTGCTGACATTGCTGCGTAACCCTTGGGCTGTTAGCGCTGGAATTATGTTCGGGTACACAAGAAAACCCCCACGTTTTTAATCGATCTTTCCGAGGCAAGATATACACGCATTGGCGGTTCGTGGTCGCACAATGCTTACAGGTCGGCTTCTCGCCTGTACACTTGATCTTGTGGGAACGACACTAGACACGCAGACAGGCCGTCAGAAATCATATCAAATTAGACAGAGATCGAAGTTGTCGGGCAACAGCGGCTCCTGGCGATCGTCGAAAAGACCATGGTCATGCCACCCCACGATTGCACAGGAACATCTGTGTACGATTCAAACTTACTCCAGTACACGCCCGAGGCACTCGACGCCTATCCTGTGTCCCACTCTGTCCAGTTTCGACCCGTTGTAAGCGTGGAATAGCGACCTTATGTTGGGTGGACGAGCTCGGGCCGTAGATGGCTTGGGGATCGTATTCCGGAGCGTTTGAAGCCATGGTCTTAAGGCAGCGCTATTTTGACCGAAGTTGAAGTAATCGCTTCAAAGGATGTACAGCTTGTCTATCTGACATGGGTTTAACGCTATACAGTAACAACGTATTGCCCAAAGACTCTGCATCGAGTCGGGCACTGTGGGACCTTGACCTATGGCGTTGGCGGCTCCAATTTTCGCGTACACTGTGCATCCAAACGTGGTTATTCGGGGCAAGGGCGCCCTATTTGGATCCTAGGGCCGGCAGTCTCGGCCATCGAGCTAATACTGTGTTTCTCCATAGACTCGGGAATTTGGAACGGGGCACATGGCCGTGTCCAATGAGAGCGTCAAAAACAGCCTTCGACCCTGGTGATTCAGGTCTTGTCGTCAGGACAATTGTGGGCTGATTCTTCTGCTCTATGGATCACAGATGCAAGTGGAAATCTTTCTCTATGCAGAAACCTGTTCTTCTAAAAGCATGAGGAAGACTTGTGATCTTCCCTGTTGAGGTTTTTACGATTTTCCTTAAAGCACGCTCTGCAAGGTTGAACAGACAAACAGATTCACGCGAAAACCTCATTTCCAGGGATAAGCAAGGCCAAATGGCGGGCGGCATCAGAAGAAGTACCGATGGCGACAAGAGCGGGGACAACGAGAGACTTTGTGGGACTACACACATGTACAACCTCATCATGAGCGCCTTACCTTCCCTCATTCCGCATCATCCAGTCCGTGGCGAAAGTACGTACATACACACATATACACAAATATTCCACATATGGGACAACAGCGATGTCTGACCTGCATGGGGAAATTGGGCATCCTTTGCACAAGTTGGCCTCGCAGTTGCATGGGTTTTGACTTGTGTCTCCGATCCTGGCACCCTGTTGCACAATATGCGTTACCAGGCTCACTGACTCGACCATTAGCGGCGGCACTGTGTGTGCTCCAGGGATGGACTAGTTCAACCCCATTGAGCACACTCGGATTTACAACACCATACAAGTAAATTGATACGAGAATGGGAGCATTTAATATACCTGGGGTCCAGGGTGAGAGCTGCACTTGCTCATCTAACTTGGACTGCTAATATCCTTTGCTCACATTGGATTTAGTGGCGTTGGTAAGGTCCGCGGAGAGGAAGATGCCATCTTCTTGTACCAGAAAAAAAAACACCATCGCCGGTTCAAACACCAACGTACGAATCGACGGGCATCGTACCCAAGCTTTCCCAAGTAGATGAATCAGCCGATTGTATGTATTTTTATGTACAGATGCTAGGGCCATGTGGACAGTGCACGGTATAACGGTAGCTATGCTACTGTATAGTAGGTTGATGAGAAGATTGCTGGTCCTTCATTTGAACACAGCTAAGTTTTTCGGATTCGTAAATCAAAGGATAGCCTCGGAAGTCAAAGTTAACAGGCGATGTTGGGTCGTGATGATTGGCTCCCATGTTGGCGCGGACCAATAACAAACTATACCGCGTTTATGCGCCAATGAACAAAGATGATCAGCTTTGCTTGCCTGATCGTCTCGCGCGTTCCGCCGAGCCATCGAATGTATCTACATACATACAGTACATACATAAGTAGTACAGTCCGGCTTACTGATGGTAAATGGCACCACATGCTCGGAATCGCTTCTGAGCAAAATCAAGGTTCTAGTAGTGCTCACACTGAGAGAGTATGTACTTGGGCACGGACATCCAATACCACCAATCAGCTTCATCCGTGTCGCCTACCTGACCCCCTTGGTGCTGATGCGCCCGCTGGCATCCGTACATATATGAGCTGATGCTATGCAAGAGTGGCAAGAGGTCTATTCGACCCCAAGCACGCATCGCATGTCTCCACACACCCCAACGCGATCCCATCGCGATTGCGTACATATCGGTTTCTTGCTTTTTGTGGATACCTCTCCACCGCTGGTCGCTCTGCCATACGTAGATGGTTTAAGCGACACCATGCACCTTGCGGCTGGCCCTTTTGCTTCTGCACCGACTGTGCTAGTGACCAAGGTACATACACTTCTGATGCCCCAGTGCACGTACGTTCATACATGCATAGATACCATGCATCTTCCTCGCACATCATTCCCGTAAAGGGTACTTATTCATCTCCGTGCGGGCTTCAGGCTCACATGGACAGACTTAAGGGACACGGCCTTCCGGTGCGCACCGAGCTATCATGTGCTCGATGCAGCAGGGAAACTGTGTACATAGTTGTGTGCTTGGTACGTGTGCCATATTAACCTGGATTTGACTGAGTTGACACATACATCGGAAGCCCAATTGGTGACGCTTGCTTGGTCAGACGTGACTCAGGACAGCTGACTCGAGCAGAGAGATACTAGCCGATCCTCTGGCACCGTTTTCTCGAACCTTTTGCGTCCAAGGTATTGCGAAATACATGCAAAAGGTCGGATACTTTTACATCGATCAGTGGAGCCGTTGGTGGGTGATCCTTCGCGCCTTGGCTTTTCCGCATGACCACCAGACAACGCCCCAGACTTCGACCTAGCACAGCCACATCCCCACCTTTCCGTTGATCCCCTTTTCCACCTTCCTTCACTGGGTCACCGTATCTCATATGGGGAGAAATAAACGCTCGCTTATGTACTCAATAATACACCAAGAGATGGATATCGAAAGAACCACAGTGGCAATGGACAAGAGTGGAGCGCCACGTATTGCGTATCGGACAAACAGTTGTCAACGCCATTCGATCTATCCAAAGCCCAATCCTACTGGTTGCAGCTTCAGCCTCATCCCATTTACCGGCTTACTCGTAATCGTCCCACCTGCGACGACTTTTTCCAGCGGGTCCGCCAACTCCATCGCAAAGCTACCCACCAACGCCGCCATGAGTGCCCGCAGCTCAGCCCTCGCAAACCTCTCGCCAATACAACTTCTTGGTCTGTGCAAAAATGTCAGAAAACTATAGTTACTCTCTGCTCCACCCCTCATGGTCGGGCGTCCAGTTTCCTTGTCGATCCAACGTTCAGACACAAACTCCTCGGCATCTGGGCCCCGCATTGTGGAGTGGCAATTTGTCGCCCACGGAACAAGATAAACTGTTGTTCCGACCGGGATATGGTGCCCCGCAACCGTTGTGTCGCGAATAACGACGCGCATGATTATAGGAATCGTGGGGAAGAGTCGAAGCACTTCGTTACACACGCAGTTGAGGCAGGGCATGCTTTCCAAGAGGCCGGCGACGTCGAAGGCCGATTTTAAGAGCACCTTTGGATCTGGTATGTATTCATAGATTTCTGACCACAGATGGCTTTGAATGCCTGGGTGTTGGGATATGAGGTACGACACTCATGTCAAAGTGGGTGATGTGGTTTAGTGACTATAGCTGTTAGCTGTTGCCCAAAAGAAAAAGCTCCTGGCATGACTTACCCAGCCGCTAAGGTCGTAAGAAGGTGGTACACGAGATTCTCGTCCGGGAATTCATTACTTCTGATTGTACACGACAGAATATCTTGGCTTTTCTGGCTGCCTGAGCTCTCGACCTTAATTTTGACCTTTTTTTCAGCTACAAAATCGCTACATATTTTTCTCAAGCGGCTCCTCCCGACCTTTAACCTCTTGTTAAGCCCCCGTGGCAGCCGTTCAACCACCCAAGGAGACAAGAAAATATGGAAAAGGAAATAGAGCACTTTCTTTTTCATTGGTTCGAAAATATCCTCGTAGATCTTGACCAGCTCATCATCGCTATACTGCAAAGAATTAAGGTCGCGACCCAGGCCCCCTAGGCCTATCATATCCATGGTAACTTGGGTAGAATAGTGCCCGATCTCTAGTACTCGATCCGACCGCTCACCAAAATCCTTGCTCAGTGCATGACAAAACTCAGTCAATTTTGCCCAAAACATGGGATACAGATCTCTAATGTTCCGGAAGTGGAAGGCTGGTATAATGATTTTACGCATGTGTCTGTGCTCGTCGCTGTCAGCCGTAGCTAGGCTGTTCCCGATGATCTTCCTCATAATTGTTTTCCTCAACGGTGGCTTCCCAAAATTGTGGCTCTTATGTACAAAAACGTCTGCCAGCACTTCCGTCGACGTTGTAATCAGCGTTGTTGTATGGAAGATGCCTCGGAATATGATAAAACCGTCGCTGGGTATCTCCTTCATGGAATTGAGAAAAGATTCCTAGGGCGCTTGACGCAGCTACATCCAACTATGGCCGATGAGTGGAATGAAACCTTTCGCCTGCGCCAGGCTACGCAGTGGCGATAGAAAGAAGGGATACAAAACGAGGTTATAGAAAACCAATATGCTGTTGTTGAGCAGCGTGAAGAAGACGACATGTCTCGTAAGAACATAGACGTTGTTGTCATTGCTGCCGATGCCCGGAAAAAAGATACGGGAATAGCTTGACTGTGAGTATTGCTTCTAGGATAGGGCACAAGATGCAGTTTGCAAGGTTGAAGTGCATCATGGCGCAGTCATCAGGCGAGATGCTCTTTCACAGGCAAACAATTAATCCCAAACGACTTTCTTCATACGCGCGCAACAACCCAAGCATATCTTATCTGAATTCTACACCTTTGTTTCTGCGTACACAAGCCAACATAGCCGTCAAGTTAGGATCAAGCATGTGCGCACGAAATATGCAAAGGCCGTTGAGCAGCTTGGCCATACAGGCTCCCCCGAGTGATGTTGAAAAGCGACATTCTCTACTTCGATAGCTGGAATCACGCCGACTCCATTTAGCTCCTACAAGCAGAAAATCAAGATTGCATTTGATCGGATGCGGGAACCGTTGCGGATAATACTTTGAGCAACTTCACTAGGTGCACCATACACATAGTTGCGACCATCGCAGCTCGAGTGCGATCAACACAGCAAATAAAGAGCAACAGGGAATCGATTGGCTCGGAGACTGTTGCGTGTTTCGTTGGCCGTGGTAGTCAGTGCAGATCAGGCACGAGATTGCCGAGATTGATATCAGCTGCGTGTCTGAAACCTAATTATCTCGTTTTCTCGCAAAGTTGGCATAACGAGAGGTGTCAGATTATGCCATTCGCAATCGTTTTTCAAACTCTAAATTAGGCTCGAACAAACGTGCTGTATGTACTTCTCACCGTGAGTTAGTATCCCAATTCTCAAAAATTTAAACAAAGAATCTTGTTATGAGATTGATCGTTGGTTCAATACTGATGACCATTCCTGGATGAAAGGATCTAGATTCTGCTCGACACTGTTATCGAATACGCAAACTCACGTGTCTAGTCATCGAAGCTTTGATCAGTGGATTCGACCAGACAAATGTCACGAAATGAAAAGGCAAACATAATGCACTTGTCATCGGGCAAATCGGACATATAACAAAACAAACGAAGACGGCTCAAAAGCAGATATCAAACCATCATCCTGTATCGATACGATCCAAACTCCCCTCCCCCCCCCCAAACATCTACTCCACCCTCTCCTCCCCTCTCAAATCCCCCCCTTTCCACATCAATTCTACCTTCTCTTCCTCCCCCACCAACACCTCGCCCATCCCTCTCCCATTCCCCCTCACCTCCAACCCCGCACATTCGAGTACGAACCCGCCCACAACCTGCTCCGCCTCGCGTGAACTCCTTGTCAGCGCATGATCATCCCCTTCACAAAGCCTCAACTCCCTCTTTCCCCCCCTCCCATACGCCTCGTAAAGCCGTTCCGAGCAACTATGACCCAGCGTGCGATCCCCCGTGCCATGAATCAATAACACAGGCCGTGGCGCAAGGAACTGTATCCCGTCTGTATCAGCAGTCTGAGAAGCGATACCCACGCATCCTACCACGCGTTCGTCTTGCCCTGCGACTGTGAACACGGGTGCGCCGCCAAAGGACCAGCCGACGAGCACAAAGGATGACATGTGGTACGTATCCTGCAGTTCGCGCATGGCGGCTAGTACGTCACGGACGCAGTGCGCAGTGCAAGCTGGGTAGCGGTAGTCAAGGCGCAGGGCCGCCATGGGCCGCGGGAGCGACGCCAGTTTCTCGGCCAGAGAGAGGTACATGGCCGAGGGACCTACGACGCCACCGCCCGCACCGGACAGGAAGATGACGCCGGTGCTGGTGGCGGGGGTGCTGGATGTTGCTGGCGGAAGATGCAAGAAGCCCGGGACGCTACCGTTGGGTCCCGAGTCGACTTTTATGGACAAGGGCTTGACGATGGAGGATGTGGCTTTTGCGTTTGGGGCGTGCGAGAGGGAGAGGTATTCGTCTAGACGGGCGGGTTTCCAGGGGGCAGTTGGGGGCGAAGAAGATGATAAGGAGGTCTTGGGTGGTGATGGCATAGTAGGTCGGGTCAATGTGTAGATGTGGTTTAGGAACCGTTTCATGTGATATCAGAAAGAAAATGGGAAGAACGAATCTTCTCTCAAGATATTCAATGATTTACATTGTTCTTTGATTGAATACAAAACCTGTGTTTCGCCACTTGCTCGTTACACAATTTGCCCCTCTCGAAATCATACTTTGCGCTGTGTGACATCACATTCTTTCTTGAAACTTTTGCGGACACTGGAGTACGTAGTGAGTTTCTCGCCGTCAGCAAACATAATCTCCTCTGACTTGAAAAAAACACTTGGACAACAAATTTTAATGAAATAGCGTGATATCAAAAGGGACACGCAGTCGCTTGATTGCAAACGCAATAGATGGTATCGAATTTCATACATGATCAAGACGAACAACGAGATTAATTGACCCCAAAAACTCCCTCGTAGCCCAAATCCATTTTGTTTTGTTAGCTCTGTTCAACTGTTCACTTTGGCCCGCTCCACTTCCCACTCGGTGCCTTTCCTCTGAACCCACCTCCGCCTCTACCGCGCGGAGACTTTGTCTTCTCAATCCTGCCCTTTGCCCCCCCTCTACCCTCTCCACCGCTGACATTGCCTCCCCTTGATCTCTCCTGGCCCAATGCTCGCCTCTGATTCTTTTGCCCAGCACCGCCACTCTTTGCACCGCCTCTACCCATACCTGAGCCGGACTTTGCTTTGCGAATCTCTTGCCAGTCTGCCTCAGCGCCATCATCGTCCATGTCCATTTCGTCATCTTCATGAGTGCGCTTGTTGCTGAACTTGAGACGTCCCTTCTGACCGGTTTGAGCGGCATCGCGTCCGCGGATGGCGTCAACGTAGGCGTTGATGCCTGCCTCCAGCGACGTATTTTGGTCATCAATATCCATAAGGGCGTCCTCGTCATCGGCAGCTTGCTTCTTTGATTTTTTGCCCTTGACTTCTGTCTCGTCATCTGATTCGCCAAGGATGAGTTTGCCGTCTTCGTTCGTGCGCGCCTTGATCTTCGTTGGCTGCTTGCGTTGACGCAGAGGCTTTGTTGAGGAAATGTTTCCGAGAGCGCGCTTGGACAGTAGATCAAGAGGCTCGTCCTCATCTTCGATGATGTAGGTGTTACCGCCCTTTGCGCCACCGCGCTGTTGTTTGCTTTGACTCTTAACAAACTCGTCCTCAGAGTCACCCTCGCTTTCATCGCTTTCGCTGCCGTATACAGCTTGGTCGTACTCGCTCTCAAACTTGCCTTTTCGCTTCTCAGTTGGTTCTTCGCCATCCTCCGCGGCCTGCTGTTTCTTTTTCTTGCGCTGCTCGCGCGTCTTACGGATGTTGGTGATCAGCTTACGGTCCTCCATAGGAGTGGCGCGCTCGACTTCCTCCACACCAAACTTGCGAACCATACGCTCTACAATATGCTTGACCTTGGCCTTGAAGTGAGCCTTGTGCTCGTGGCTCCAAACCATCAGATTCTTAAGAAGGGTGTTGAGACGCGGGCGAACGAGCGACTCGGGCAATGATATAACCTCGACTTTGACAAAGCCAAGTACACTGCGGACAATTTCGCGATTGGGATTCTGGAGGAATATATCCATGAGATCGCAGAGATTTGTGATGGTTTCCTTGGATATCTGGTCATGAAATTGGTAAAGTATACGGGTGACGGCGGTGATGGATGCAGAAATCATGTGTGGTGTCGTAGCGGCCAGACCAGCTGACACCATTGTGAAGTACTCCTCGAGTGATGCCTCTACTGTGGGGGCATCGGCAGGCATATTGGGTACCTTGGATTGCACGACCTGGCCGCCCTGCGCCATCTTCTCGCCCATTGCAACAAGCAGGTTATAGGCAGCCTCTCGAGCTTTCTCGTTAGTCTCCTTAGCCGAGATAACGACCTCAGAAAGGATAGAAGGGATGAAGTGAAGGTCGCTCTCTGGCAAAGACTCAAGAACTTGGAATAGCGCATTGAGTCTGTCTCTTCGTGCAGGAGCTGACGCCTTTTCCGCACTCCCAAGAAGCAGCTGCTGCAGCTCCGCATTGCGCTCTCTCAAAGCTGCTCGACCCATCTCAGATTCTGCAAGCCGAGGAATAAGCTTGTATGCTTTCTTCTGCAGTTGCGGCTCGTTCTCCCGGTTGATCATAATCTCGGCCATACGGAAAAGCGAACGATAACTATCACGGGGAAGGTACAACGCGATTGTGATGATTAGATCCATGAGGGTGTGGCTCATGGGCGGCATCTTGTTGGGGCCTATTTCCTGCTTTTGTTTGGCTGCTTGAGTCTGCGAGCCAGGTTCAGGTAGTGAGGCTTCAAGGTTGGTCGCAACTCGCTCAAAGGTTTCCATGAGCTCTCTCTCGGGCACGATGCTCAGATACGCATTGATGGTCCTGAGGATGGTGCCGCGGTACTGTGGCAGAGTCTGGCTGTATACGTTGAATAGGACTGCGAGCATGTTGCTTGCGAAGGTGGCGAGGTGGTCCAAGTTCTTCTGCGCGTCAGCTTTAGAGATACGGGCTTGCGCAAGCAGATCGTCTTCAGACTCCAGCTCCACAATGGCCTTGTTGCTGTCTACTAGGTTCTGTAGACCTCGGCAGATGTCCGTTCGTAGATCAGCTTGACCATAAAGTAGATTTGCCAGCATTTCACAAAAGGTCTGATCGAACGCCTCGACCAGATCCAATGGCAAATCGCAGTAGCCGGGCAAGATTGACCAGATTTGTTGTACGACTGTTTCAAAGACCTTGATCTCCATTGTCTTTTCCTTCTCGCCGTGATCTATGACCTTTTGGTAGAGCTCTTCGCTCAACGGAACCATCTGTTTTCTGAAGTGGGACAACTTGGCGTTGTGCACGGAATCGCGAAGGAGCGGAAGCATCCAGACTCGTCCAGTCTGTCCTGGTGGTGGCCGCGGTAAGTTCAAAGGGAGTATCTCAAGGACAACGTCAGGCCCCATTGCAGTAATTGCCTTTGAAATGACTGCATCTGCTTCCTTTTTGCCCGCAAAGCTGTCATTGCCTCTGAGGTCTCCAACAACCCTTAACACAGGCTTGAGGATAGGATCTGAGCGCCATCTTAGAGTCTCGAACATCGCGGCAAAGACATTAAACACTTCCATCCAGGCAGCTTGATACTTGACGCTCAAGAGATCTTGGGCAACCTTAGCAACCTTTTCCAGTGTCTTCTCGTCGAATACAGAGGGCTCGAGGATAACGCTGTCGGGGACAAGGTTTACGATAAACGAGATTAAACACTCAGAGGCAGAGATACGGATGTTGTGCGAAGAGGATGTGAGGAACTCGGCAATGGTGGTGAACAACTCGGGTAACTTCATAAAGGTCTCTTCGGGCTCAATCTGAGCAGAAACTTCATAGCCGCGTGATACGACTGCTATCCAAGGCGGAAGCAGCTGTGAGTCGTTTTTGGAGGGCTGTAACTCAGAGATGACTTCGAGCAGTCTGGGAAGCTTAGCAGACGCAAGCTCATTGGCCATGCCTGCAAAAATGACCTCGAAAATGTCAAAAGCAGCCATGGTCAAGAACTCGTTGCTCGACTTGGAGATGTTGAGCAGCAGCTCGCACAACACGTCGATCTTGGTACTTGGCCAGCCGCCAGACGACATAGCAATCGTCTTAATGAGCTGCAGTGCATGAATCAGATCGGGGTCCTTGTTTTCTGCATCCCTCTTTCCCTTATGCTTGCGCGCCTTGGCTGCCGCCTCTGCCGCTATGTCCTTAAGCATTTTTTGCGCCGTCTCAGCGCACATGTCTGCTGCGGGATGGTCTAGCGCAGGGCTCGGTGGCGGGTTCGCAAGCACCTTTTTGAGCGCTTCCTGTGCCCTCTTCCTCACTTTGGGTCTGTGGTCGACTGATATCTGCAGTAGTCCCGCGACAGCCCTACGCGGGCTGATGGTCGTCTGTGGCAGCTCCCAAGCGCGCGCATCCTGCACGAGCAGAAGCGACTCGAGACATCCTATCGAGGACCTGATCAGTGGCGCATCAGCATCTTGTGCGGTAAGGGCGGGCGCGATGTTGGTGAGGATATCGGTGAACTTGGATCGCAGCAGCGGGGCGGGTACATGGGGGGTGACGAGATCAAGCAGGTAGATGGTCGCTGTGGCCGTGTCCTTGTTGGCAATTCCCTGGGCCGTGATTTGACGGGCCAGGAGCGACAGCAAGGCTGCGAAGTAGGCTGTCGGCGTGAATTCTGAGTTTTGCTGGCGGAGGGTATCTTCGATGGCTGAGAGCAAGACATGGGTCTGCAAAGGTCAGCGGCGGCGCTCGCAGCAAAGGCGAAAAAGACGAGACGAAAGTGAATCATACCTGCTGCTGGCCTTGAAGCTTCGGGTTGTCCCGGATCTTGGACAGTCTCTCGTCGAGCGACATTGCGACCAACTTCCACGTGGGTGTAGACTGTTGCGCGCGACAAGTGCTCAATTTTTGGGCCTCTCGAACTTTTTTGAGCTGGCAGGGATCCTGGCAGTACGCTATCGATAGCTGCGCACCGCCACCAGCCCCACCACCTCCACCATTTACGGCTCACGCCTTGCACACAGCCACATCTAGTCCGTTGTAACCATTGCAATTGCAGTATTTTCATATGTATCGTGCGCTATGTATCGAAACTGACACAGGAAGGGTATAAACAAAAACATCGCCAATGTGTTGTACAGGATTTGCGTACCGCCGCAAAAAAAACCCCCAGGGCCAGATGTGCACACAAAGCACGCCCCTCCGGCCCACACCCATATTCCCTCCCCTTTATAACCCTACTATTGTAATGTATACAAGCATTAAGCAACTCGTAAGCTGCCGCGAAAGCAAACAAAGTAAATCTTGTAACACAAAGAAAAAAAGATTACTCCTCCATCAGGGTACCATCAACGCGCCCCCGCACGCTACTCTTGCTACTCTTCTTCGAAATGTTCATGAAGCTGAGTCTTTTCTTCACACTGCCTGATCGCGACGCTAGTGATTTATCGCTCTTCTGGCTTTTGACCGTGTCCGGTCGTGGCGCGCTCGACTGCCGCGGGAGACTGCTGTCACTCATGTTCGATCGGCCATTATTTGGGAAGCTTGGCAGTGCCTCTGGCTGTGGCGAGCTAGGTGTAGAATTGAGGAAGTTCAAGCTCAGCCGATGGCGGCTTGATGGTTCCTTGTTGCGGCTACCAGACGAGACTGTGGTTGAAGCGTCGTCGTCAATTGTTGGTTTTTCCACCTTGAGGTCCTTGTCCTTGTCTTTTTCCTTCTCCTTCTCCGATTCTCCCAAGAGGAAATCTTTGGTCAAAAAGGCTAGACTGTGTCTTTTCTTATCTTGTCGGGAAGACCGGCCATTTTGTACTGGTGGTGCTACTTTGTCTCCATTGGCTATCTTCTCATCAGGTGCCGGACTTGCTACTTGTGAACGCGATGTAGCTGCCGCCAGCCATGAGCCAGTAGGGGATCGTGTCGCTGGAGCAATGTTCGTAGGCAATAGAGCGGATAGTTCTCGAGAATAGGCCGCCTCAAACCCTGCTATGGTTAGACCGTGTCAACAATAGTGTGTTTTCTAGGATACATACGTTGTGAAAGGTCTGCTTTGGTGGCTTGCTGAGCAGGCCTCACATATAACGACAAGCAGCGGCGAATAATGAGAGCATAGTCAATCAAGGCAACTCTCATGGCGTTCTCCAAAGGATTAGGTTGGGACATCTCATCATCATCTCCTTCTGCATGATCCAGTGGCGGGAGCAAGTCATGATAATTGGCCACGCAGTCTCGTGAATTCGTGTCGACAGCATACATGAGTTCTTGAGTGAGCATGTTGAAAGCTGTGTCGTCGCCATCTGAAATGCGCTTTTCAATAGCAAGGAGCTCTACTGTCTTGCGTGATGTGCGCTCAATGCCCATTTGCAGTGGTGTAAGTGTCACAGTGCCTACAGCAACGATTTCATTTCTTCGTAAGATTGTTGGGAAGCTCTCGGCTGTGGTGTAGAGGCTCTTCTCTGCAGCTGCCTCTCTCGGATTGAAGGTTGATGGCGAACGACGAGATGCCGACGTGAAGTGAGATGGTCGAGATAGCAGGTAGTAGTCCTTGACAGATTGAGACACCTTTGCTCGTTGGTAGATTGGATGTGTCAGGTCCTTCTGCGGGCTGACCGGGTAGATTTGCAAGTACTGGCCTTCGACGTCTACTTCTGCACCGGGATTGATGATCTGTGCTGAAGGATGCTGTTGTTGCATTCGGTCCGTGAACGAGGCCAATCGGTCATTGGAGGATCCTTCAAAGATGAACTGCTTGTCCCGCAATCCAGGAGGAAATCCTAGACCTCTATACACCACCCTGAAGTAGCGGGGATTGGGGCGCTCGCCCCTGGCGATACTTTCGTGGATCTTGGCCATGGCATGCTGGGTTCGTGCAAGCTTCGCAAAATCGAAGATGTTGTGTTCGTATTGTATCGCAAGCTCCTTGTAAGCAGCCAACGCGTTATCCCATGACTGTCCGGTCTCGTAGTGGTCAATCATCTGGAAGTAGAGTTGTTCCTTTCGCTCAAATGCAGACTGAGGTGGCATGCTCGGGTCTGTAAGTGGGTCTACAGTCAAGTTTGGATCCCAATCATACAGCTCAGCATGCAGTCGGAGCGCAAGTCCTGCCTCGGTGTAGTTTTGAGCGTCGGCCTGAAGTTCAACAAGCTGATGCACGTAGCGAATGTACATGTCTTCCTTCTGCATGTCCTTCAAGAACTCCATCAGGTGCAGTGTGTCCATAATGTGGAAGATTTCTCCAGTGGCCTCAGTGCTGTGCACAGCAACGAGCAGGTCAAGCAGCTCATCGACGGTGGAAATGAGGTTCTTCAAGGCCCCGAGCAACTCTTCTTCAGGGTTGTGGGCAAGAGGCTCAAAAAGCTCAATCAGCTCTTGGATGAAGTGTTTCTGCGAGACGGCTTCGGTGAGGTGTTTTGTCTTGAACAGGTTGTCCAAGCAATCAATCATCTCGGCTTGTATAAGAGCCAGGTCTTCACTCAACGTCCATTCGCTAATGATCATCGTTTGCAGCACTTCAATGGCTACACTGCGCAGACCTTCGTGAACACTGAGACATAACTCCACAATGGGCGCCACAAGCCCGGGCACATATTGCACTTGGAAGCCACCCATCTTCTCAAGTCCGTACTGGGCCTTGTCTTCGGCAGTCGCCTCCCAACCAATGGTCTCCCAGCTACGTTGCAGCAAATCCGCGCCGTGTTCACGAACATCGCCAGCGATCTTCCACACAGCGCGGCGCTTCTGCTCTGGGAATGTTTCCAACGCAAGCGCATCGCTGCCCACAAGCTTCAGTAACGCATCAAAGAACGCGCGCCACAGTTCGGTGCTGAAGTTGTCGGCCTCATCAGGGAGAGGAAGAAACGAGTCGGATAGAATGTTGAAGAGTTTCTCTAGTGCACGCATGGTGGCCTTGTGGTGGTAGATGTGCACACTCAGCCAGGAGCTGGGAAACGCCTCGCAATCGAGAATGGAAATGTACACCTGCAATACCGAAAACAAGAATTCGGCAGTTTCCTCCTTGGGCCACTCCGGGTGCAGGAGTGAGGGTAGACTCGACATTGCTGCAAGGACAGCCGAAATCTCAGCCATAGCCTCGTCGAACGAAGCCTCAGCAGTCGTGGGCCGTGTCTGGAAAGGGTAACTTGTTGGAAATAATAAAGAGAGCGTCTTCTTGGGTGGCCGAGGTGTGGCTTGTATGGCGCGGTATGATTCAACTAGTTTTGGCATGTACTCGGGAGCTTCCTTTCCAAGTTCATCCACCTGCGACGCCACGACCGAGCAGCAGAGACGTACTTGGTCTTTCCACTGGTCGGTAACAGTCTCTACTCTACCCCAGTATGGAGCTAGCCACTGCACTGTGCTTGCTAAGAGCATGCGACGTACCTCAGGCGGGCGGAAGATTTGAAGATCCGACAGGTGATGGATCAGAACGAGCTTGTAGAGGATAAGCTTGCCCTGTACATCGGAAGAGGATTCGATGAACCCAGCAGTCAGCTTGAAGACTTCTGTGGCAGGCATACATCCTTCTAGCTCCGTGATCCAAGAATGAAGGTTTTGGACTAAAATGGTCTTGGTGCCGATTAGAACAGGCGATTGGTTCTTCATCAGGGATTCGAGTGATGTAAAGAGCGCCTTCATTTCTTTGCTGAACTGGGCTCTGTCCTTGATGCCGATACTCTCTTCCTTTGCCTTTTGCCTCTCTCTCGCATTGACCAGGAACTTCATGATTAGTTTGCCAACCTTGAAGGTCGCACGTAGCCTCCGGGAACTCTCTGGGTCGGTAGGTTTGGCTAGAAGTCGACCGAGACTTTGCATCAGACATGAAGTGACGAGCGAGTGGAACACCTTAGTCCGAGCGTACTGATCCACAAGGGGCTCAAGGTTGAAGCGTCGGTCATGCACAATGCCTAAGACAATGACAACGGCGTTGAAGACTAGATCCTCATACTCATCACTACCAGCATAATGGCTCTGGATAGCAAAGAGGGCATCGAAGACCTCGCTCAAAAGTTTGACAATCTCAATCTCCGGAACGAAGTTAAATCGGCGCAGTAATCCTACGAGTTCACCGGGTGGTTGTTCTTGCCACTTGATGAGACCTAGTATTGTCGGGTCTTGGGAATATTTTGTGCTGCAGAGAAAGGTCTTTACGTGAACGGCAGCCATTGGGCCCATGACATGCTCATCCTTCTTCTTGGCGCTCCATGGCAGGCCAAGGTAGGCGCCTTTGCCAGCAATCATGCCCGAGGTATATTCATCGTATTTGTACAAGGTCAAGGCGTGGTCGCCATCGCGGGCAAAGGCGTCCTGGTTCCAGAGTGGCATCCAACATAGGGCAAATGGGAATCCAGGTGCATCAGCAACACTCATGACTAGGTGTGAACCAGGCACGTCTTGAGGGTCAATGGCAAGCCTTATGGTCGAATTCCAGCCTTCGCCTCGTTGAGCTGCTGTTGTGCGCCAGGCTGTGTGGCCTGCGCTATTCGTGGACGGATAGATGCAGCCTTCAATGCGTTCTCCGGAGCTCTTCCGAACCTCGATGGTAAGCTGCAGGTTGCTCATGGGAGAAGTCTGTCCCAACGGAACAGAGCCAGTCTTTGGGTGAGCCAAAAAGGCGTTTTTCGGAAGGAAAGGCTCGACCAGCGTCAGGTAGATGTCACTACGGGGTTTCGTTGGAGCACCCGAGAAGCCAATCTTCCGGCACTGCTTGATGTTGTGAAGCACTGTCGGGACCTTTTGAATGAGCCGCTCGGCATCGGCCTCGACAAAGGCTTTGAGGTGTATGGTGATGCGGCTAATGTGGGGATCCCGCGTATACTGTCCACTGGCGCTAGGGTATATCTCAGGGAGTATACTGTCCCAGTCACCACCATCTTCGGAAACGTCCTCGCCAGGTGCTGCGGTGCAAAACATGGCAACAGTGCGGTCTGCCTCGGAGCGTGCCTGCAAGACTTGGTTTACGGGAACGACGCCAACTGCGACCGTTCTTTTTAGCGTCTTCTGATCTCGGGACAGAGCCCTTGCTCGTGTTGTTGCGGTTGTAGCCGATCCCGGACGTGGCTCGGCTGTCTGGGAGCGGTTCTGGTCGAAGCTTTGATGTCGGCGCTCTTCAGACGAGTCAGTTTGTCGTGAGTTGACTGACTCTTTCCTCTTTGATCCGCCAAACATGACGCTGCGCCTGCCGCCCTTGATGCTTCCTTGTTGGGAAGGCTGCACCCCCGATGTCTTACTCGGAGTCGTTTCCCTGCTTGAGCCAGCCTTGTCGCCTGCCGAGGACGAGCGCAAAGGCTCATTAGTGGTGAGTCTGAAGACGAGATATAGTGTGGAGCCAGATCCCGCGCCTTCGCCAATGTCAGTCAAACTGAGATCTACAAGCAGTGCGCGCAGCTTGTCGCCAGCCAAAGACACGGCTGTCCCGTCTTTGTTAGTCAAGTCGAACGAGTAGGCCTCTGAGAGGGGCTGCGGTGCAGCACCAGGTGCCTTGAGACACAGGTGCATACATATTTGAGCTGCTCCAGGCACAACGTCGCCAGCCACATGCTTGAGACTGACGAACAAGTGATGCAGATTGTGCTCATCAAGCTGTGGAGTGGGCCGGCTGTCGAGGAGGCTCATCATCGACTGCAACTTGGTAATCTCAATGGCCGAGTCGTCGCCTGTCAAGATGCGCCCGCGCTGCGAAGGGCTGCGCACAATGACATCCCCACACAGCATCTTGTTGCCGGCAACTAGGTCCCAGACGGTTTCTTCACGCACTTTTTCCAGTTCTTTTGCGGTAAGCACCTTGTGCAACAGTTGGCGGCGTGCCGTGTCCAGTGTGTTGACGAGCGTAGACATTTTGTCCAGCGAGCCATATTTGCGTGCAAGCAGGAGCTCGTGCACCTTTGTCGAATGCCATTCTCGCAGGCACGAGGCGATTTCGTCTACCAAGGGCTCTTGGGCGGATGTGGGCGTCTCGTCGCCAATCTTGAGCATGGGCACGGGCGCGGGGGGTCGTGGGGCGGTTGGGTCTGATATGGGCGACAGGGGGAGGGCCAATTGCTGCAGATGCTCTTCACGGGCAGTCCACTGCGAGTGGGTGCTGCCTGCGCGCTTTCTGTTCGATCTGCGGCTGGAGGGTGGGCGGCCGATGGTGGGATATGGCAGCGACGAGACGGCATCGCTCTTTGAGCTTTGGCGGGCATGGGCGATCGAGGCTTTTGCAAAGGGAGAAGTTGTGCGAGTGCTCTCGGTGGGCGTGACGACGCCGTTGGTGTGCTGTGGATAGGTGCTGGCGCGGCGGGCGTCGTTGGCAGTGTCTTGGGAGGGCGTTTCTTTGCTGTCGCCCAGAACCTCGCGCACCTCGACGCAGACGCGTGGGAAGATGCCCGAGAAGACGCGCGCTTCGAGCGTCTGGCCCTTGACGCTCGTCAGGCCGGCCAGCAGCGAGGGCGGCGCAACCAAGTAACCGCGGTACCAGGAGCCATCTTGCCCACCCTGTTCAATTATGTACAACTCATCGCCAATTTCGAGGGGCAGGTCGGCGGACGACGAGGGCTGGAAGGGATATATGCATATGGCGAACGCGATACGCGGGAGTGGTCTCCAGCTCGGCATGGCACCAGACGTGTCGGGCTATATGGGAGGGGGGAGTCGGCGACAGAGCATCACGAGCAATGGGCAGCGGGCTGGTGTCGCGGGGGCTCTGGGCGAGAGGATGCTGTCTCTGGAGGCGGGTGAAGCGGACGGGGGGGTAAGCAGCAACAGGAGAGGGTGGTAATAATGGGGGAGGGGTGGGCTGGGCTGCTGGGCTGCAAGATGCCCCTGATGGGATTGCCGAATTGGAAATCTGGGGATAGTAGTGTGTAAGTACTCTAATACGCAAGCAAGAGGTAGGGAGAACAAGCGGGGCGCGAGGGACGCGAGGGAAGAGGACGATCTTGTCTGCGTCGCCTGCGCGTCTCGGAGGGCGTATGGGCGGCGATGAACGGGCAAGCAAAAGTTTCAGAGGCAGCAAAGGATAACGGTGATGGCCTTCACAGCGCCGTTCGGTAGCAGCCGTGCCTGCATGAAGCTCGGAGCACAGTCGTCGTATCAAGGCCAGCATGGCCCCCGGTCACAAGCCCCGGCCATGGGTGGCTTTGCAACATTATGTACGTACGTACGCATGTATCTAGGTATGTATCTAAGGACTTGTGTGTATGTATGTATGTATGTATGTATGTATAGTGTTGATGGATTGCAAGCACCCAAACGCGCCGAGAACGGGTGTGGTGCCGCGGGTCCGGCGTGGCGGCGGGGTGCTATTTGTTTATTTATATGTACGGACGGGCGTATCTATCCAGATACATACTTGCTCGCCAGATAGATATACCAATCCATCCATATATCCCATTCATCCATGGCCATGCTGAGCAGCAGTTGGGAAAAAGACGGGGGTGGCGCTGGCTGACCAGGGATTGGCGCTGCAGGCACTGCACAGCGCTCACACTGGCTTGGCCTCATTCTGCGCCGAGCCACCTACCCAGCAACAGCCTGTAAGTATACTATCTATCCAACTCTCTCTCCCCTTTCCACCCCCTCCTCGTACTTGGCTTGGCCTGTCCGCGATCGCTGCACGCGACTCAAGGGCACGCTACACATGTCCACCCTGGCACAGGCCTTTGCACATTCACCTTGGCCTCCGCTGCACTGCATCAGCCTTCTCGTCTGCACTAGCCCTAGCAATGTGAAACGGCGTCGGAAACGGTCCCGACAACTTCCTGGCACACGCATGTGTTACTTAGTGTAGTGTGCACTGCTGCACCCTCTAGCCTATGTGCCATCCATGCTCATTTAACCTTCTTCAAGATCGACATCACTTTCGGCCTGTCGCTCTCCCTTCCTGCAGCACGCGTGCCCTGCTGTCAGATGCCGTGACCCGCGAGTCAGACCCCAAATGCCCTCGCCTTTTCTCCCGGGCCTATCATACAATAAGGTTAATGGCTAGTTAGAGTTGCAATACGCCTTGCTCCGGCTGCTCTTGACAAGCCACACGTTCTAGAATTCACACCCTTTTCACGCCTCACCCCAAAGCCTGCACATGTTCCTCGTCCCTCGCCCCGCTTATGTATAGACATACATTTATACCATACAGTTTTGCTCTGCTGAATTCGCAACATATGCGCATGTTGCACAAACACACATGCATGCATGCGTCTCCCGTCTTTGAAACTTTCGCAACCTATCTCAAACATCGGAACCTTGCCCTCCTCTGCGTCATCTACGTAATCCACGTTTGTTTCAAAATAGAAATTCTACTTTCTGCTTCTCTGTGGATTCTTCTTTTTGTAACCAACAACTGTGCATGCTCCACTTGACATGGGTGACGTAGTCACAACTACGTCACGTGCTTGTAGTGTCATGAAAGCACCAGTGAAGTGACTGAATTACAGGCTGACGACCTTGCTCTCATGAAGCCTCATCCATGTTTATCATGGTTAGCTTCATTTCTACCAGCTTATTCAGGCGCATGCATCAGCGTCAGAGTCAGTCATGTTGTTGATACTTGAATACTTTTTCGCTTTTCTTTTCTTTTCTTTTTCCAACTTCAAGGTTTCGACGATTCATTCACCGTAGCCTCTCGTTCCTTCAATATGTTGTCATACTGCGACCAGAAATATTGGAAGGGGCTGAGATCAAACTGCAGACCTATGATGCGATCTAGACAACAAGCCACAGTGCTGTGCATGATCTAGAACCAAGTTTCACTCCATGACGCGTGACATGCCATGCAGGGCCTGCTAACCAACGCCAACCACACCTCACCATCACACATGCACTAGTCGGTCCGTATCATCATGCCGACCAATATTCCCCTTGTCGATGCAGCCTCGGCCCACTTACACACCCACACATCTCATGCCTCTCCGCATGAAAAGACCTGTTCCGCCTTATTCTTGTTCTCCTCGTCGTCGTCTTCTCCTCATCCTCTTAACTTGGGATTCCACAACTACACAATTCTCTCCAAACGCCTAGTTCCTCAAATCAACGCCCTCGCCAACAAATGTAACAACCTTGTCGGCATCAAAAATGCCACCACACAGACTCTCCACCTCAAAGAGCCAGATTAACTTCTTGCCAAAAGCGCCCCAGCGGCGCAGCAGCCTGTCACATGTACCGCGAAACAATAGTCTTGCCGCAGCCTTTCGGACAACTAGATCTATCACACCTCCTAAGGTACATCACATCCAAGAGGACGAGGAGGAAGAGAAGAAGAAAGAGGGTACAAGTGTAATGGCATACCTCTCTCTATGGAAGGGTGTTAGGTCGCTTTGGCGAGGTATTGACTGGTATGTTGGGCGTATGGGTAGTGGCTGGAGAGGATTGTGAAGTTGGTTGGCAAGCGGGGAAGGAGATGCGGATGAATCAAGTGTATATCCGAACGTCGATACCAACACCAACGCCTGGCAATGAACATACAAACTAGCTCGAAAAGAAAGAGACTGTCAAAATCCAGCCTCGACTAACAGCATGAGAAGAAGAATAAGAAGTAACAGAAAAAACCCCCATTTTGAATCCCTGAGTCCCACCTCATCACCATATGTCAATTCAAGCACCACTACCACTTCCACCCCCAATAACACCCACCCCTCTCCTCAGTGGATCCCCCACCTTCGCAACAGGCGTCTGGTCCCGGATCGCCTGCGCAGGAATCCGATACATGACCAGATACTCCCCCCAGTGCAACCACTCATCCGCGCCATCATCCACCACCCCTTTCCCTTTCTTCCTATTACTGCCACTATTCGCATTCTCCGCCTCCGCCACACCCTCCCTCAACAAATCCGCCGCCCGAAACACTGGGCCCCGTGCAAAATGCGCGGGATCAACGCTGATAATCCACGTATCTTCTTGGTATCTTTCGCCGAAATACCGCGCTACCGCTTCGGCGTGCGCGGCGTTGTCGTAGACGCTGATGAAGGGCGAGGAGATGTTGGTTTGCTGGTTGAGATGGGCGAGGCTGAAGCGGGAGAGGGTAGACGTGTAGTTTACTATTGTAGTTTGGTTTTTGGCGCTGAAGCCGGTCGAGAAGGAGTAGCGGGTTTGCGAGGTGCTGCGGTGGACGCGGTAGACGAGTGGGGGGATGGCGGTAGGGGCTGATGTGGGTAGTGTTGTGGTTGACGAAATAGAGAGAGGTGAGGAAGAGAGTGTTGTGATTGGATGAAGGGCTGTTTTGAAGTATCAGTGTTGCCGTGGTGTGGAAAGAGAGGGGGGGTTTATATACCGGCCATGGTGGCAATTGGCTCAAGAGAGTTCGAAGGATGATTACTTGTTGGATTCGTCTTATGCTTTATCAAGTACAAAATTTCAAAGCGAAGAGGAATTCAAGAGGCCAGAACTGCAAGGGAAAAAATAATGATAAAAAGATTTGAGAGCGTTTGCACTATGCGTCTATACCGATTTACCCATTCTCCATCTCATTATAGACCGACCCAAAGTCACCCTTATATTCTCTCTCGCCCCTCTTTCTAGACTCAGGTCTCCTTGCATGCATCGACAAGAAGCGGTCAAAATTGCCGTTCAAACGGAATAGATGCGTTCAAAGCAGGTCAATACTTCGTTGGCACTGTCGTCGTCCCTTTCCCGAGCGGAGATACACATTTGTTTCTCTCTCCTGCTCGAGTCGTTGACTTCCCGAGACTCCAACAAAGAGACAACCATATTTCCACCGTAGGAGCATTCTGCAGTGCCGACCCAGGCTATTGGGAGTGGCTTGAGCCTGTTGGGAAGGATGGCCTGGTGCCGCGACTGGGTTATATATTTGATGGCTGCGCATAGGCCAGCTGAGTCTCATGGATCTTTCAGTAGTCTCGTAAAATATTGTATGTTCTGGCCTGTTTTGTTTCATCTGTTCAATGCGTGGATGACTGGGTAACTGCATGCAGACGGGTAAGATCTCTGCAAGACGGGTCGTTTAAAGAATCGGGGTAGCAGCCGACTAGCGAAGAATGTATCGTCTCGAAGATGGAAGGAACGAGAGAGACCTGCATATCGTAGAAGTATGACCGGATTATCAGATAAAGATATGTTGCACAACAAGCCGCTCAAACTGTAAAACGGAGTATATGTTCAGAAGACTAGAGGTAGTAACATCATACCCCATGCAGACAGAAATCCCAACCTACTACTGTGTCAAACTGCAATCATCGCATAGCTATACAGCGACAGAAACATCGTATCTCTCCAATTATACTAAAGTATGAAGGCATGCTGCCGCTGTGTCGTTTCACGGAACCCATAGAGCCGGTACCGTGCTAACAAACGAGTTGACGCATGCAGCAGGGGGAAAGTGGTTCCCCGCAACATAACTGTAGGTTGAGCACGTTTGACTCATAGCAGCGGAAGCTAGCTGCCTTCCGAGTAAATTAAGGAATGTACTGCTGCGAGACATGTTGTAGAAGCGGGCATTCGCGGCACTTTGTTCAGCAACACGGAAGGAAGGCAGATTGCATGGTAGACCGTTGAATGTGATTGTCGACATGTACTCACCGCTACTCACCCATTATGAGATTTTAATTGGCAGGCCCTTCTATAGCAACAAAAGTATGATTCTAAGCAGTCTTCATGTGAGCAACGGAGTAAAGGTTACGAGCATGGAATGGTCGGCATTTAGCTCCCATCCGCCCTAAACCATATTGGGATTAGCGCCTCATTACTCTTTCGTCGGAAAAGCCCACGACAACGACGATTGCAAGTCTGCAAACGAGCGTTTTAAGCGCCACAACATACCTACCAAGTGTACGAAGCAACACCCAGAATATCAATTGACAATTCCCTTCTAATAAATCCTCAGCATTCTTCGTTCTTCCGCCGCCCGCCAAACCAACCAACACAAACCCTCACACACGAAACCTCACCACCAACCATCTTAAACGCGCTGAAACCACACAACAACAAACCACAAAACAATGTCATACTTCCGCATAACCCTCATGCGCTCCGGCATCGGCATGCCCGCCAAAACCCAAGGCGTGCTCAAAGCCCTCGGGCTCCGCAAGCGCATGACAACCGTCTACCACCCGGTCTCGCAATCCGTCGCGGGCCAGATCATGCGCATAAAAGAGTTGGTGGATGTGAAGGAGGTGGCAGCGCCTATGAGTAAGGAGCAGATGCGACAGGCGAGGAGGCCGGATCCGGGGTATTATGTTGAGAAGCGGACGGGGGAGGCGATGGGGGCTTATGAATAGTTTTGGGTTGGGGAGGGGACGTGGGAGGGTGTAAAGGAAATGTGCATATATGGGCGTTTTATTGGACCAGACTCAATACAATCTGGTATGTATCATGACAGGGTTTTTTTTTCTTCTATCTTCAAGCTTCCGCTTTTCGTGGTTTTTATACCCTCCTCTCTTAGACTGGAATGTCGATTGCAAGAGTTGCAGATGTAGATATGGATTTCAAATAGGACGATGATCTAAAGTAAGCATTTATATTCACGTTGCTTCAAATCTACTTAAGTTGCTGGTATATGGGTTTGTGTCTAATTGTAGCCTTGATATGAGCCACATAAGCAACAGTCAGAGGGTCATGATATCCAGGCATATCGACCCAACTTGTCATCTATATCGGCAGGCTCAATCATGTCAGACAAGCTTGAGTACGTCCCAGAAATAGTGATACCTTTTCTTTCAAGACGCTGGATATTTTTTCATGCATGTCACATCACTAAGCACGAACTCACCTGTACATTAAGTGCCAGTGCTGATCATTTACTTACCATAACGCATTTGACAAAACTTACAAGATGGCCAACCGTTGACTAGTCAAGACGTGGCGCCGGTGTACAATAGCCTGTATATCAGTATCAAATGCAAAAACTACTGGTATCATACCGTCATCACTTTCGAATAAGAGGAAAAACCGCTCTATAACCAATCTTGCATTAATGACCAAGTTTCTAAACAAATACAGCTTTCGAGAGCTACTGACCTTTGTGTGTCTCGAAGCGCAATTTGCGACTCGGGTGAGTTTATTGCAAGCGGACACCAGCCGTACCCTTTTTCTTGGCCTGGTCGTCAAACGCGTTGCCCAAACCACCGCCTCCGCTTCGACTGGAATCGAGCGAACTCTCGGCCATCTTCTTCTTCTCGGCCGCCACCTTCTCGAGCTGCTTCTTCGTCTTGGTGTTACCGCTGCCCTTGCCGTGAAATTGGTGACTGAGCTGCTTGAACGCCTCTTTCTGGTTCATTTGACGACCGTGCTCATCGACATACTTGAGCTCAATGTTTGGTGTGTACTCCTTGTTAAAGAGTTCGGCGAGACGACGGCTTTCGACCATGTCGGCGCTGGTATTGTTCTTGCGGGCCCATTCCTCGCGCTCGCGAGGCGTCATGTTATTCCAACGGGCGGAATTTCTCTCGCGCTCACGAACAATCTTGCGTTGACGTTCAGCTTCCGCCTCGGCCTTGGCCTTGTCGGCCATGAACTTCTGGCGTTCACGGTACAAGGCATTCTTCTCACCAGCGTTGGATTCGGTGACTAGCCCTCGTTGCTTGAGCAGTGCAAGCGTGGCACCTAGACCTTGATCAACAGTCTTCTCTGCCTCGAGACCTGTTTCGGTGATTTCCGTAGAAAGAGCACGTGAGACACTGCGGTTCTGTGCGTCTTCTGCTTCGGCTGCTTCAGCGTATGATTGGCCCATCTCTACATCGCCATCTTCATCAGCGACTGGAATATCACCCATGGACTTGGTGCCTTCGGAGATGTGGCTCGACTTTCTACGTTTCCGGCGTGCTTCTTCTTCTTCTTCTTCTTCATCACCAGCTGCACCCAGATTTTGAACAAACTCAGTTGTCTCGTCAATGACTAATCCGACATCTCCGTCTTCGGTAGATTCAAGGACGTCAGGCTGGGGGGTGGTAGCTTCTTCACGCAGTTGTCGTGCCAAGTCTTCCGGTCGCATCTTCTTGCGCTTTTTGAGGGCCTTCTGGCGCTGGGCTGCAAGGTTTGCCTGAAGATCATCGTCGTCTACGAATGATTCGTCGAAAACCTTCTTCTTCTTCTTCTTCTGTTGTGGTGCGGTGGCTTCTCCACCATCAACTTCCATGTCGTCGACTGCAGGCTCCTCTGTAGGCATAGCAAGCATTTCATCCTCGTCTTCGACACGCTCCCGCTTGGACTTCTTGCTCTTCTTCTTCTTGGGTTTCTTCATTTTGACCTCCGAAACATCCATGTAGTCGTTTGCAGGCGCATCTTCTTTAAGTATATCTAGACTGATGGCGACCTTCTTTGGCTTTGCAGCACCTTCAGCCTCAGCTTGGATGGCCTCGACAGTCCGGCCCTTGCCATCTAGTGTGAAAGCCTTGCTCTTCTTGCCGTCAATTTCCTCGTCGTATTGTGCTAAAATCGACTTTTGGCCCGACTCGTCTATGTCGTTGGGATCATAAACGCGCTTTCGCTTCTTTGAATCGAGTCGCTCTTGTAGCCGCTCCTTCTCTCTCAGCGCAACCGCCTCAAGCTCATCTTCGTCTTCGGCATCGACTGCAGTGTCCTTGAGCACCAAAATCTGGTCCTCGTCGTCGAACTCGTCAAGCTCGTGTCCAACTTTGACACCCGCAAGGTCTTTATCGGTATACTGCATGGCCTCAAGCGCCTGACGCTCGCGCTCCTCAAGCTCCTTGCGCATCTGTTCCTCCTTGGCAATCTTCTTCTGGCGCTTCTTGCTACTCTTCAACCAGGCCAAGTCATCGTCAACGTCGGCTTCGTCTGCCAGTCCCTTACCTTCGAGTTTTGCAAAGCGCGACGCCCTCTCGCGTTCTTTCTTAATTGCAGCGGCGCGCTCCTCGCGCCTGATCTTGGCCAATCTTTCTTCCTCGAGTTTCTTCCAATTATCAGAGGCAGCGGCCTGACGCGTATCGATGGTGCTTGCAGGCTCTCCGTCCGAGTCGTCGTCATCTTTGGCGGGCTTGAAATCGAGACCAAAGGGCGCTGCGGGCGCTGCGGAAGCACTTCCACCTGGGAGGGCGGGAAGGCCCATGGACAGACGAATTTTGTTCGCCTCATCGATGGATAGGTCGACCATGGTGGATGTGGTTGCGGGAAGATGACCGAGTCAGTGAGTCGCGTTACGGCAAGCAGAATATCGCCAGTCGGATAGTGTCGCAAGCAGGGTACAGAGAAGAGGTCGTGTTCCCCTTTTGTATGGACAGGAAGGCTACCCGAGGAAGGTGAATGCGCTCTTCTCGACCCACAAGGTAGTGAGAGTTGGGCGTTGGATGGGTGTGGGTAGGCTGCGGGCAACATGGCACCTCCGAAGCAGCAGTTTCGCGCCAAGGCGCTAGCACGGACGGCGCGCCGACGATTAGCCGGATCACATAAAAAAAGTTCGTCGGCCTCAGCCTTCATGTTCTCTCCACCAACGCCCTGTGTCAGAATCTCCCATCCACCGCCCAGAGGGCTTGCTCTCTGCGGCGGTGTGTATCGGTTGCAGATGCTGACAGCTCGTCCATCATGGAGCCATCTTCTTCCCGGTAGATTGTTTCGGACGACAGGAGCGGAGAACAACTTTGGCAGCTTCCGGCAGCCTGAGCTCACCGCAAGGTTCGAGCTCGGTGTATGGTTGTCTGTCAGGCAGACTGATTCCGTCTCCCTTTTGCTAGGCCGTCGGCCGTTTATGCTTGGGACTAACCCAGTCGGCTACATATTCTCGTTATGCCGAGTATTGCAGCTTTTGCTTCTAGCGCGACTTGATGAAATTTTGAGCATCGTTCATCTCGATAACTTCGCCCTCGCGCTCTTCTCACGCGACCTTGATTACGTGTTTATAAACAATGGCGTCATATGCAATGCGGTTCGTTGCATGGTGCAGAATGCAGAATTAGGCGTAATCTCACGGGTTTGCGATGAGATGCCAAAGGCTTGCTGCTTGCAACTTGAAATGCTTGTTTTGGACTCATCCTATGCCTTTGTCTTTGAAAATGTACATGTTATACAGTAATTCAGCTACAGAGCCATTGGAATGCAATACAGACGCTGTGCCAATATCGTCCATCCATTCTACATGTTTCTCCTTCGTCCAAGATGGCACATTTCCCCAGTCATGTCGAAACGCCTAGTTTGTCGCCGGTACCTCTCCCCTCGCCAACTTGAGCAGCTCAGCCTCTCTGCGCTCCTTCAATAGCCTCTCCCTGACCTGCACTCTGTCTGCTTCACTTCTCTCTTTAAACTCGGCAATCTCCCGCATCTCCGCCAACTCCTGCTCTGTCGGCTTAATCTCCTGCGCACCAGTCTGCGCAACCAGCGCCTCCAAGATCTCACTCTCAAACTGGTCTTTTATGTTGATCGTATATGTAGGCTTCGAGGTATCAGGAACGAGAGTGTTGCGTGCATTTGGTGTGCCAGACGGCGGTGTAGAGTCTGATTGCTGTGCTACAGGTGCGTTCGTAGTACCGGCTGCGGGTTGGGTTTTCGAAGCCGTATAGATGTGGAGGAGCGCTGGTCCGTCTGCGTCGTTGTGCCGTGAAATTTGAATTGGGACAGATGGGTTTCGGTATTTTATTCGAGGTAGCATCTCGCGCCAGAATTTCCTATTCACAATCTTAGTATGCGGCGTCGCCTGGCCCCGATGGACTGATCCTATCATCTGGGCCGTTTGGAGGATAATTTCGAGCATACCTTGCCCCTCGGTGGCCTCCATAAATCTTCGTGTTGAACTCCATGCTAATCTTGGATACCTCCTTCGGTAATATAAGAGCACCAGGCCCACACCTTATCCATAGCAACTGTGAGTAGCACCGTCAGCCATCTATTGTATTTTTCATGCATCTCAACCTCGCACGTCGGGTTGCGGGTGGCGCTTTCGGAGGTGCTCGTGGCAGAAATCAACATACCTTCTGTAATATTCGTCAGCCCTATTCAATGACCAGAAGCCGATTGTAAAAGTAGATTGCTCACCTCGCGCAGCTTGCGCATGCGACTTAATATGTGCACCATGGTTGCTGTGCTGTGGTGTTGAACTGCAATTGCGGAGATTCGAGAGATTCTTAGTGCACTTCCCCATAGCGCGAATGGCTGCATCTTGGCATCACAGGTGGGACATGGGTAGCAGCCCCTCTCCACTTCACCCAACCCGCAAAACCCTATCACCGCTTCCATTTTCGATCATCCTCCTCTAGTTTTGGGCTATGCACCTCTTCTACAGGTATTCAAGCAATTACAAAGTCTGATTCGCATCACACGCTCAAGACTATCTCTACTCTTCATGATCGTCACAAATACCTCAATCAAACTCCACAGATAATAACTCAATGTATATTGCATAACCTCTATCATATACATAATGTTGGCGCGCAAAACCTCTTCATTCGTCTCGAACTTCATACTCCATACTACTCGTATGCCACAACGAACTCTTCAGGGACAGTTTCGAGCTCTATAGCAGCGCTATCCCCCTAAGCAGTCGACTTGCTGAATTGAATCAAGCGCTTGACACCAACCTATTCCAGAATTAGTATATGGTCTCAAACTGCCAATGCCTGATATTCAACTTACCATCCAGTTGCTGCCCTCATCTGTCTTGTTAGTCATCAGCTCCGAGAATATGGCAATGGCCGTGTCAAATTGCTTGGCTTGGATGTTGGCCGCCAATTCATTCATCTGCTGAATCGTGTCCGGCTTGAGAAGATCCTGGTTGTTAAGATGGTCAAACAAGATGTTGAGCCTCTTCTCAGTGTCGGCAACGTGTTGCCTATACTGAGCAGGGGCCTTGCTCTTGACGCGCTGAAGCTCTGCATCGAGGATCTCATAGATTGGCCGAGATTCATCGGGTATGTGTGATCGATCACCAGAAGCTTTTGGAAATTAGTAAAAATTACTCAACTGTAGGCATAGACTGATTGAGGAGAGCGGGCGTATTGTGGTGGGTTAAAAAATTACTTACGATGCTTGGCCGCTACTGGGGCAGTACTTTGAGATTGTTCAGTTCTGGGCTGAGAGTCAGGTCTTGGCGGGCCTCCTTGAGGAGGTCCAGCTCGTGGAGGACCTTGTGGCGGGCCTCTTGGTGGAGGAGCTGCGGCTGCAGGAGGCGTTTGCTGGACGGGTGAAGGTGCGTAAGGCGATGCAGCGGGGGTAAATTGACCTGGTGGTGGTGCAATGTTGCGCGGCGGAGGCATGCCAGCCATTGGTCCTGGCGGAGCCGATGGCTGCGATCCTGGGGCAGGAGCATAACGGTTCGAGGGTGGTGCGGCGGCTGTTGGAGGTGTGTATGGCGATGCTCCACGCTGTACTGGTGCTTGCGGTGGTGCCGCAAAACCAGCAGGTGGTGGAGGAGCATACGTGCCAGCTACCGGTGATGGGGCGTACTGGCTTGGAGTGCCTGCTCGTGGAGGACCAGATGGAGGACCCTTTGGTGGCGGGGGTGGTGTTGACCTTGCTCCAGGGGAGAATGGACCTTGCGGCGGACCTGCCATTGGCTGTTGCTGGTTTGGGAATGGAGAGGCTACAGCATTCATTGGAGTACTGCGGCGTGACGCTGGCTTTGGTGGGCCAAAGTCTGGCGTGTCGTTCCATGCTGGAATATGGCCTCTGTTAGCTGCAGGTACAATGGATGGAGAGTTGGAGAAGTTGCGTGGCGGAGGTGCGATTGGGTTTTGCTGTGGAGTCTGGTTGAAGCCGCCGTAACTTGGTTGGGATACAGTCGGCTGGGATGGTTGATAGCCAGCAGGAGTGTAGGCGTTACCAGACGCTGCGCCTGCTGGCGCATACGGTGATCGCACCGCAGCCTGAGCTTGTTGCGACAAAGGATTGATTGGGGCGTAAGGTGACGCTCCCGGTTGTGTCTGGAGTGGGTTGGTTGGAGCGTATGGTGTCTGTTGAGGTGGTACTGGTGTTGCTTGGGCAGGTTGGCCATACGAGGGAACCACAACCTGGCGTCGTCCGCTGGCAGTAGACTGAGTTGGCCTATGAGCGCTTGCTGGTTGGGTCGTGGCCTTCCTTGTCGCTTGCTTGACACGATTTCTCGCCACATCTGCTGCTGGGTACTTTTCGGGGAGTAGATCCAAATACTTCTCGGCAATCGACAACTGCCCATGGGCGGATGCGATGTCAGCGTACTCGACGTACTTTGCGTACAAAGGCTCAAGTTTCCAGTCGGCATCCTTTTGCTGTTCAGTGTCTTTGAAGTCGGTCACCTTTCGGAAAACGGTGACCTTTTCAATAAACTCTTGCAGTGATCGCGCGTGGATAGAGAAGCTGTTGTCGCTGTCCGTCTTCTCAATGCTAGCCTTCTCGTTTTCTTGCAGTTCCTGCGCCCAGTTGACGACGACCTTCTCAAGCTTGGAACCAGCCAAGTAACAGAAAGATGCATCCTTGCGGTATGAAACATTCCCCTCTGAGAAGGCTTCCTCGAGACGATCACCAAGGGCCTCACAAAGATCAGGGAAGTCAGCTTGGTCAGCAAATGTGCAGATAGTAGCCATGACTTCCTTCCAGTCTTTGAGATCGGCATTATAAACGAAATCCCATAGGTTCTTTCCAACAACAGAGGCAAGAAGGCGGAGATAGTTTGGCGCGTCTGCCTGCTTCTTGAAGTATGCAGCTTGTGCTTTGGCGATGCATTTCTCACCACCGCAGATAGCGATCATGAAAGCATCCGACAATCGGTTTTCCTTAAGGCACACGTCCAATGCAGCGTTGAAATCTCCTAGCATAAGACTGCGAGCGATCTTGGTATCCGCCTCCGACTCTGACCCAGTGTAGATCTGGAAGGGGTTGTTGGTCTTCGCGCCCTTGGAAGCCGCAAGGTCGGAGAGAAAGTTGCCCTCGTTGGTCGCATTATCGAAGAACGAGGCACCTTCGTCAGCATTAGCATCCGCATCGCCGTTAGTCTTGGCTTCTGTCTTCTCCTCTTCCGCTCCTTCTTCTTCTTCTTGTTTATCGGAGAAGCCAAGGTACTCGATAAGTTTACTGCGTGGGTTCTCCGAAATGAGCGTCTCAATTACGGTCCAGTCAGCCTTTTCCTCCTCGTTGGTTGCCTTTGAGATTTTTGATTCGCAGATTGAAGTGAAGTTGCCCTCCTGCAGAGCCTTGTCGAACTCTTCGCTGGCTGTGCTGACTTCAGAGTCTACTGCGAAAGTCGAAATCGAGACCTTTGACTTGTTGTCAACAATGCCAAATCGTACCAACTTTCCTCCGAAACCAAAAGCCGCACCCGCTCTCCTCTTCAACCATTTTGGGGGTGTCTTGAGCGAGAACGATGCGCCCTGGGGCTCTGCATGTGTCTGCGCAAAGAAATCCTCTCCCTCGGGTGCTTGGGTGGCTGCCTTCTTGTGGTCCGCAGCAGCGGTAGTGTTCTGTAATGTTTGGATCGCAATCTTTCCGTCAAAGGATGCGGTTGCGAGGAGGTTCGGGTTCGCAGGGTTGAATCTTGTCTGGAAAGTCCAGTTGGTCACTACAGGGAATTCACCCAACAGCTCCCCAGTATGAGGATTCCAAGCGATTGTCCTGTTATCCTTGCCGCAGGACAGGAGAATATTGTTATCTTGTACACACCACGAAAGGGACAGCACACCCTGATCATGTGCTTGTAGGGTTTTCTCGGGCGCATTGGTGTTGCGCAGGTCCCAAACTAGCACAAGCGGGTTCTGATCAGTTGGGATGGCAGTGGCCAGTCTCGTGGGCACATTGGGATCCCATGATACTGCACTGACAGTCTTTCGCCCGTAATGGTTCAGTGTGAGGTTCTCCTTCTTCAACTTGACATCCCAAACAGTGACAAAGCCACCACTGCTTCCAGTCGCAAGAATGTGCGCAACCTTCTTGTTCCAATCTAATGCGGTGTACTCGTCGGGGTTTGCTCCAGCCTTGCCCAAGCGAAATGACTTGGATTCGTCGTCAATGTCGTGAATGAACAGTTCGCCTTTGGCGCCTGCAGATGCGAGGATGTTCGGTCGGAATGGGTTGAATTGTATCGCTTGGATCGGACCAGTGTGCTTCTCGATCTGGTCAATCTCGGCTTCTTCACTGCACAAAGTCAGCTTTGCATAATAACTCGCTGGGCTGAGAATGCTCTAACCCTTCACCTGCCCGTAACTTCTCCGCGTCCCATAGTATCAATACCCCGCTATCGAGCGCGCCCGCTATTACTCCACGGGGGTATTGTTCACTGGGTTGACTCCATGCAATGTCGTTAAATCTAGAAGAATGTTCAGTAGCTGCTCCATGTTTTGTAGATGCCACTGCCTATGTACCGTGATTCTACGCTTACAGTAGCAACTGGCTTGAGCTCAACGCCCTGCTCACTGTCGTCCAAGCCAAGTTCCCAAAGCTCCAGCTGGGTTTCGTTGGAGAAGTCGGCGTCTACAGCTCCAGCTTTTGTTCCAGTTGCAATGAGGGGCTGCGTCGGGCCGGGCGACCAGGCAAAAGCGGCTGTCCGTGGGACTTCTCGTAGACGGACCATGACGGTGGGCGGTGCTTGCACCTCAATGGCGTCAGACTAGAGGATTGGGTAATTGACAAGCAACAAAACAAGGAATTGATGGAAATTTCTTGTAGAGCGAGACAAGACGTAGAAGTGGGAGAAAGGAGAGTCGGAATTGTGTCAGAAGCACGGAGTGAGATTCGAGGCAACGATGTGCTTCACCATGCAATTCATCCACCTGTCCTTCCCTGGTCCATCGCGCGGGCGGCGCCCGATGTGTGGGTCCCGCTAAGTGGCCACGTGATATCGAATTTCCACTCAATCTCTACAACACGACTACTCTGCGAACCAGTATCGCATCGCACACCACAGACAACCATGTCCAACCTGTCTGATACTTCGCGACTAAAGGCCACGGTGTTCGTCGGCGGGCTCGACCAAGCGGTAACACAACAAACGCTTTTCCACGCGTTCCTGCCCTTTGGCGACATTGTCGAGGTGAACCTTCCCAAGCCAGAAAACCAAAGCCAGGGCGAGCAGCATCGGGGATTTGGATATGTGGAGTTTGAGACTGCAGCCGACGCGGTCGACGCGATTGATAACATGGATCGGAGCGAGCTCTACGGATCCGTGATCAAGGTAGCGCCAGCCAAACCGCAGAAAGATGCAAACGAAGGACTAGGCAGCAAGACAGCTATTTGGGAACAGGTATGTATCCTCAGTGCAGGCATGTGCGTACGTCAACCAGTGCATTAACAGGAATGCAGGAAGGGTGGTTAGCGAAGCATGCTGTGAGTGAGGAGGACCGCAAAGCCAATGAGCAGGCCCAGGATGAGTCAAATGGACCCATGGACCCGATGCAGGGCCTGGAGGGTTTGGATGAAGCTGGACCCAAGCCAGTATGAAGTCTATTGCTTGGCTTGGATGAGGTGTCCATGGTGTATGCCGGCGTTTGGGGAAAAGTGCATTTGATACCACATGCTATTAGACGTAATTATTCAATCTTGATTTGAGCGATAACAACTACTACCAGACGTCCCAATCTTCACCATATGACAAAAAAGGCATAGCACAAAGGAAACCCGATGCTTGATTTCTGAACTTGACAAGGACTTTGTCCCGTATGCTGTACCTATACACATGGCCGCTGGAGCCCTTCCAAGCCCGCCGATTCCATCATTCTTAGGGACTTGTTCCAAGCATCTATTCCTGCTTGCCCTGCCTCTTGAGGCGAAGGGTCTTGTCGACCCAAAGTTTCCGGAAGATGGAGAAGAAGGCCATGACGATGGCGACGCTACACGCATATCAGGTCACCTGTACTGTGAGTAGGCGATGCGGAAATGAGGGGCTTACCCGAGAACGACAACTAAGGAATGGGGTTAGCAAAGGATCCCTGCAAGCACCAAAGAGAGGGGGAGGGGAGGCGTCAACATACTAAGAGGCCAAATCTCCGTGGGGATGTTCTTGAGCTGGCGGAGACGCTGCGAGACGGTGTGGGCTGTTGCATTGTCAATTCAAGTTGGTTGCAGCGGCATCGAAAGCCAGGCTGTGATTGGCCTACCGCTGTGCTCCTCCTTCTACGTCTTGTTAGCAAGCCATTCGCCAGACTCAAGAGAAAGGCAAGAGGACGTACGGGGACGGGGCTGCGCAGGGCCATGGTCTGCCTCACGAAGAGCTGGGGACTCTGGCGCATAGCCATCATTCGCGTGGTCTGCATTGCCATCATTCGCGATGGCTGCATGGCCATCATGCGAGTTGGCTGCATGGACAGGGCACGGGTGGCTTTGAACATGGTTGGGGGGTTGCTGTGTTTGCAATTGGGGTCGGGAGTGGAGAGTTGGCGTCGTCGCTGGAGATCGAAAGGGCTTCACGGGTTTCGTCACAGGCACGCTGAGAGCTCGCTCGCGGAGCTTGACTGCCCGGAAAACGCCGAGCGAATTGTGTGTGGACAAAGCGTCTCGGGTGGAATGATCGCAACCTCACAACTTCACCTCCGTCACCACTTTGCCCAACGCCGCCTGCCATTGCCGCCCCGCCACCTCGAATAACCCCCGACGCACCACCGCAATCATGTCTGACAACGGCGAAAACGGCGAGGAGCTAGTCACCAAGCCCTTCAAGTTCGTCACTGGTGAGCTTTTCCCGCTACTCTGCGCATCGCAGACACCAAGCTAACTCGTCTCTTCACAGCTGGTACGCCGATTCCGCAATCTTTCTATAGTTGAAACCCTGCGAAGGACGGTTATCTGGAGCTCTGGGAATGCAGAATGCGGTGCTAACAGACTTGGGCGCATATAGGCTTCGATGCCCGCTTCCCCAACCAGAATCAGACCAAGCACTGCTGGCAAAACTACGTCGACTACCACAAGTGCATCACCGCCAAGGGCGAGGACTTTGCTCCCTGCAACCAGGTGCGCATCCCTCGGAATCATGGGAAACGAAGGCGTGTACTAATAGACGTAGTTCAAGTTGGCCTACAAGTCTCTGTGCCCCAGCGGCTGGACATCGCGATGGGACGACCAGCGTGGTGAGTACCCATCATACTCTGTGTTTCATACGTGCCACTTTCAACGACGTCTCCCTAGAGAGCCAGCAGCTGACATGTGCAACAGAGGCCGGAAACTTTCCCGTAAAGCTCGACCAGTAAGCGGCTCTCTCAGACGAGATGTAGCATGTAGCAAGTTTATAGAGCAGGAAAAGGAAGAACCAGAGACTGGCATCTGCATCTTAGTGTTCTGTATCATAGAGATTGATATCAGCAATGCAGCTTCGGTTCGCATTATTCGCCACGCGCTACACTTGCACTTTCGTGATGTCATTGAACCCTGTGCTGTTTTTGGTCCCTCACTAGTTGATTGACAAACTAACACCAGACTCAATGTGCCATTCAGAACGGATACAAAAAGCTTATACAAAAACATACTATGTAAGCAAATACATCACGAACAGCCAAGACACTGACCCTCAGAGTATGGTGAGTGGAATTTATATATTGGATACATTATCATTCAGTATCTGGAGGGGATATCTAGGGTCAATCTATATGACGCAACTTTGAAAAAAAGGGCCTTCAATTGGATGGAAGGGAACATGGTAACTCGCGGAGAGAGCGCAAAAGAGAATAGGTACAGAGAGAAGACGAGAGTGATAAAGACAGACTGCCACCCGTGACACGATATATAGAAAAAAAGGAAATAAGACCGTTAAATGCGAGGCTTGAGCGAGTGTAAGAAATCGTAAAGAAAATCGACAATTGCCATGTCGACATGTGTTGTAGTTTGGGAGAGTTAGAGGTAGTGGATGAGGTAGGAGAGCGCCTTAGTTCGGCCGTGCGTTGAATGCAAAGTTGCCTACGTATGTTGGTCCTCTACAAAAGAGCAGCAGGTTCGTAGGCAGAGGAACATATGACATGTATGGCTCCGAACCGAGAACTGGCTCATAGCGAGGGCTGTATTGTTTCAGCCCCCAATTCGGGTCGTTATTGCGGACTTCCTGTTGCTCTTCCGGTTCCTCCTGCAGTTGCCGGAGTTGCTCCTCTTCGTCCTCCTCTTCCTCTGGAATTGCGGGATCGTCGCCGTGGGCGCTGTCCTGTCGCCAATGCTTTCCAGGATCCAGGATCTCGCCGATACTGGCAAGCGACGTAGGCGCAGCTGGACGGGGTTGATAGTTTGCATCATAAACCTCGCGAGTCTCGGGATTCATCAAGGTGTCAAAGGCAGCCTGTAGGGCTCGGTACTTCTTGGCATCGCTTGAAAAGTACACAACCCGTAACCGGCGATAGGCAGCCTTGACCTCGTCGGTAGTTGCCTTTGGAGTGATTTCCAGGATGGCGTAGTGGTCGATGGCATCTGGGCTTTCAAGGGCGGGGTCATACATGGAGTCGGGAGACGAGATAGGAGAAGCCATGGGTGTGCGCTGGGCAAGGATGACGGAAGCGTCCGAGACGTAGATGGAGGCTCGTTTGCTATGCTGGACTGCTGGCGAGTTGCTCGAAATGCTCATAGGCCGTGGCCGCTGGACTGCCTCAGACTGGTTGCGCTCGTGGGCGAATCTCTTCCTAGGCGAGGGGGATCGGAACGGACTGAAGCTGGATTTGCACACTTGGTCGGAAGGTAGGGGTGAGGGAGACATGGTAGAGTATGAGTTGATCATTATGAACTAGGCACAGCAGGCAGAGGGTGTAGAAGAACAATGGGGGGCTCGGATAACAATGCTCGACACTGTGTGTGCGGAGGGGGTGGTGGTGATGTTGTTGTGGTCAGGCCGGGTGCAGGAAAACATGAAAGCGCACGCTTTGTCTAAGACACGAGAGGGACAGGGCACAGCAGTAGCTGCGCGCAATGCAGGGGAACGTTGTAATCACCAGGGCGGCCAGAAAGTGGAGCCTCGCCGCAAGATCGCGAAATGAGGATATTGTGAATGGACATAATTTAATGATTAAGCTAGGGGGCTTAGGATGAAACGAAATACAGTTGCTGGGCTAGGTGTTTGGATGACTCCGACGCGTCAGTGCTGAGGGGTGAGGGTCCAGCTAACATTCGACCGGCGCTCGGTCTGCTCGGGCATGGCACGTGCTACCGTGATCACAACTGCAACTGCAACGCAACTGCGCGCTACACGGTTGGTGTGGGGATGCGGCTAGCGCCATCATTACCGATGGCACCAACGCATGATTAGTGGCTTGTTGGCAGGGGGACACGTTCAAGCACCAATCACAGCTGGGGTGCTCGTAAGCTTCGTACTAGACTGGCTAGATTAGACCTATTTAGAGTTTTCCCACTACTGACTAAGCGAAACCGCCATAACCGCCCCACTACGAATTACTTTTGTCCCAGCACAGAGTAGGTAATAGCTCACCGTTGCCGTTGCCGTTGTCGTCGTCATCCTAAGCACAGGACCAGGCGGCCGACGACGACGACGACCACTGGCGGCCATGGCAGACAACGCGAAGAAGAGGAAGCACGCTTCTACCACAGGCCCCGCCAATGCTCCCAAACGCGCCCGCTTTCCCCAGAGACCCCAGCATGTCATCCCCGCGACGCCCACCAGCAACGCGTATCCCAATGGCGAAATCAACGTTGCAAATTTTCTCAAGTCGCACGAAAACGAAATCAAGTCGCTGGAAGGCGCCATCAAAGTAGCCAAGAACGCCCTGTCACGGCGCGCTTTCCAAGATGTCCCCAGAGAGTTGCGCAGGAGAACTGCGAGCCACAATCCCACCCGTGTGCCCAAGAGACTGCGACAACGGGCGCGGCAGGAGGCCAAGGATGACAATACCCCCATCTCAAGAGGCACCAGCGGTAGCGGTATGGGCAAGGGCAAGAAGAAGCATCTGCGCAATGAGAGTCGGGAGAAAAGCAGGCAGAACTGGGAGAAGCGGGCAAAGAAGAGGAAACAAGGCAATCCCACAGCAACCCACACCCAGGACCACGATGGAGACACCGCCATGGACCCTCCCCATGCAGACACCCCAAAACCAGCACCTCCTCCAAAGACGAAGTCGAAACGCATATTCCCCGCACTCGCGACTCCTCATACTCCTCCCTCGCGATTCCGTAGACGGCAGAGAGACAAGACATGGCTGCCTACACATCTGTGGCATACCAAGCGCGCAAGAATGACAGACCCCAAAGAGCCTCTGTGGCGGTTTGCCCTCCCTCTGCAGCCAGCCGCCAAGGCATACCGTCTTACTCACCGAGCTGCAACTCAGCGCGGGGCCGTGGCCTGGGACATGAGCTACATGTCCACTATCAGTCTCCAAGGCCCCAATGCCAGTCTTACAGGCCTGTTGAAGGGACTACACTTTGGCGCAGAAGATGCAGAGGATCCATGGCAGAACAGAGGGAGAGCGAAGAAGTGGAGGCATGGCACCAGGACTTGGGAAGGCTGGATACACGAAAGAGAGGATATGCGTCTAAAGAGGATTGCCCACGTCACCATCGTCTGGTGTGTGCCCGAGTCGGAGAAAGACAAAAGGAGGGCATTCATTCGTGTGCATCCGAGTGCTTTCTTGACCCTCTGGAATGAAGTCATCAGGGCTGCCAAAGTACAGAAGCCACCAGTTATCGTTCGGGATGCCCGCTTCGAGATTGGCTCCATCGAGATCATGGGTCCTGCTGCAGCAGAAACTCTCTGTTCTGTACTTCACCCCATATCATCTTCTTCTGACACAGATACTGGTACTCCACAATCACTGTGGTCTATGCTAGCTCTAGTAACAGATGTTGCTTCGCTGCCAGCGGGCGCATTGTTGGCATTTGACATAACAGACCCTCGGCTCCGCGATCCTCCTTCCACTACACCAACAGCACAAGATCAACACTCCATAGCGATTCTGACCGAAGCACTAGCAGCCTGGCCAGTCGACCAGACGCAAAAGGCCGCGGCAGTATTCAACACGGACGCCAGGCTGGCCGCCCAGCGAACCATGCCATCTCAAAAATCTATCAATCGCCGAAAAAGTGCATGCACACTTGGCGAAGACCTTGAGGCGCGCCCGACGGACCCAAAAATACCTGCGCTCGTATTTACGTCACGAGAGAGCAGGTCTTGGACGATACTGCTTCCGTGGAAATGTGTTATGCCGATATGGCGACAGATGATGCGCTATCCGGTCTCGACGGGCGGAAACCCGCGGTTCGGCGGCTTGAAAGAGCGACGTCAAGTCGACTTTGAGCGATCAGTACCGCATTTTCCCTACGATTTTCCCAGTACAGATGCTGGCTGGGCCTGGGAACTGCATGCGCGACAAGGGAGGAAGCTTGAATGGACAAAGCGCCCAAAGGGTAAGCGGATAGAGTGGACCACCATTGATCTTGGTAATGGCAGGAAAGGTGAAGTGGGAGAGCCCTGGGCTTGTGAATGGTTGCTACTCTTGCCATCAACGCGTAAGACTGCCGACTTCTCACATCAGCGGTCAGAGGAAGGGTATACTCCGCTGCGTCAGCTGTCGTCTGTTCAGGCCAAAAAGCTCGTGGATGGCCATCTTTTGGTTGACAGCCGGTTACTATCAACCTGCGTCTTCGCTGTAAAGATCACAATGGTACAACGTGGTACTCCAACAGAATGCGCCCGCATCTACCGGCTGCCAGCAGATGCAGAGCTGCGAAGCAAATGGGTGTCGCTAATCCCACTTGGTGAAAACAAGCGCATACCAAACAAGAAAGGATCTCAGCCTAGCGATGTCAAGCCTAGTGGTAATCCGAAAAGGCAGCTTGCAAGAAGACTACTCGAGCCGCCAAAATTAGACCAGGGCCCGCCCAAAGCTGGTGAGGAGGATTACCCCTTGGTTCCCGACGAGGGGGACCTGGTTGGCTTTGTCACCACAGGCAACTACAACCTCGCAGAGGGCATGCCGACTGCTGTAGCCAACCTGGCTGTGGGCAGGATGCTGAGCCTTGTGGGGGCACAAGGGATATCGCCGTCGGATCGTATGTGCATTGTAAGACCAGCGGGCAGTAGCATTGGCCGGTTAGCGAGATGGGAAGTGAGGTGAAAGGCGCCAAGTATCACTCTAAATAGATATGTACTTATAGGTGGGCGATAATGGATAGCATTGATGTCACGTTAGGACCGTTGGGAATATGATATTATGCGCTTTGCATGTCGGTCGTGTGCGTAATGGGGGTGGGGTAGGGCAGATAGGTTCACAATAGGCTGCATGGGGAGTGCATTGCGCTAAATCGGGCCCGGGGGCAGGGGTACTATGGGTAACTCCCGCAACTAACGCTAACGTCTCAGTGTGTCTATGTCCGTTCATGTGCCGTGCCAGCGCCTCTTCTCCCCAACACGCACCGTCGACGGCGAGCAAAGAGCGACAGAGCGAGAGAGCGCGCGCGACATGTCTGAGGACCGGCTGGCAGACGACCAGGCCGAGGGCATCGCCTCTGCCGTCGGACTGCCGTCGGACGCGCTGGCAGAACTGGTATGATGGTCTCCACCCATAACCCGCCTCCTCTGTTATGCGTCCTCGACAAAGTCATTGCGCCCTGCTAACATTGTCGCAGACAACGGATATATTGGACGAACTGCTGAGCAACATCGTTTATAGCACCGCGCTATCATGTCACCGGTCCGAGAAGCTGCTCCGCATGCAGTCGGCTGCAACCCAGGCCGAATCAATCGCCCTCGCCAACCTCGAGCCGCAGTCGCAGAAGCAAAACACCAACGGCGCCATAACAATTCCCATCGCAGAGACTCTAGCAGCGAAATATGAGAATGGGCGCGTATTTCTCAAGGGGAATCCGCTCAAGACGACGCCTGAGATAATATGTCCGCATTGCAAGCTACCGCGCCTCATGTATCCCATCATGGGCAAAAGTATGCAGAACCCCGATCTGACCAAGGAGTACTGTATGCTCTACCCCTGGGTACAGAGGTCGGGTCACGATGTCTACGGCAACCCGTTTCCTACCGACATGGCCAAGAGCAAGAAGGAGCGCGAGCTTATTAAGCAGCAGCAAAAGAATGCTGAGAAGGAGAGCGTCGGCACACCCGGATCGCAAGACACAGACATGGCTGGTGGCGACACCAAGGAAATCAAGCTCAACACGGGCGGTAAGCCAGCCTCATATATTCCGTGGCACACCTGTCCAAACTGTAAGCGTAGTTTGCTCATCACGCGATTCGCACAACACTTGGAAAAGTGCTTGGGTATAAGCGGGCGACAGAGTTCACGGAACGCAATGGCAAAGCTTGTGGGTCAAAATGGCTCAGGTTCGGGTGTTGGCAATACGCCACTCGGAAGCCGAATGGGCACACCCGCACCCGGTTCCCAGGACGCCCCAGCTCCAAAAACCAGCAGCAAATCCAAAGGCATCTCGCCTACCAAGAAACTCGCTGCCGGCGACGATGCAGACGCAGACGAACTCGGCCTAGACAACGACACGCCCGAGCGTCGCAAGATCAAAAAGAAGAGCTCATATATCAAGAAGGCCGACCGAGATAGATCTACAAACGGTAGCGGTGGCACCCTCAAAGTCAAACTCAAGACAGGTAGCAGGCCAGATCTCGACCGAAAGCACAGCGAAAACAGCGAGAGGGGCGAGGGCAAGAGAGACCGCGACGCAGACGACGGCGGCGATTCGCCTAAGAAGAAGAAGATCAAACTCAGCTTAGGTGGCGGCGGCAAAGACAGGAATAGGATGAGTGCTAGCGTGGAGCCGGCGAATGCTGCGTCGCCCGAGTAGTGACAGACGCCTAAGCATGCAAGCAGATACAATGTCATGTATCTCCGGCCATGCGAGAGTGTTGTGTAATGAAGGTGTAACATTGTACTATCAAACGCGGGGATGGGTAAAGCATCTGAGCGGCGTTTTCCGGTTTTCTCTTTTTTATTTATATCTTCTCTGGGGAAGAAAGGGACTTAGGCTATACCAAGGCACGGGGAAGCGTCGAGAGAATCATCGACCTATGGGCGTTTTTTTGCTCTGTCACTTTTTTTCTCTCTTCTGGTTTCATTGTTTGTTGATAACTAAGTGTTATGAGAGCTCTTCTACGTTAAGTGGGTGCTATGTATCCATCTTTAACTTTTTTTTCGTCAGATTCTTGTGGTAGTCTGCTGGTGAGTAATAGTGTTACTTTCTTCTTTGTGTGATTGACTTTACGCTGAACATACTGTGAATATCTGGCTTCGTATGACGTGTAGAGTTTTATTTAACCATCCGGATAGACATGTACGATGGAAGATGGTCTTGCATGTACACGCTCTGTCATGTAGGCATTACAGCATTGCTTTCTACCGTGGCTTTTCAATTGCTTGATGTACCTTCCTGTACTTATACATCAAATTGTATGGTTTCTAATTACTACTTCTTCGAGGTACATTCATTAAGTCTCATATAATGGCAATATCAAATCTGACCCCCTCTAAACCCCACAAAAACTCCTTTATACCAAAGACCATTTCCGTATTAAACCTAATTGCTTCCCGAATTTCGAGATACAGAGAGGAGTTATTAAGTTCTAACGTTGAAGAAGCTTTCTTAATTTCTCCTGACTGACTACTGCACTAATTTTTGAGCCAAAGATACTGTATCTAGCCACTTTAGATAACCCGCATCAGCTAATACAGATCACCAAGTAATGACAACTTGGATACAAGTAATTGCATAGGAATAATTTTAGGGTCCGAGTAAACGCAACTGGTTGATCGTATTACGTGAAATCGAGTCCATCACGGAGCTGGATATTAGCCTTCGATGAAGTTCAATCCCAATTTGTCAAATATTAGGAGCTAAAGCCATACAAAAAAAAGGGAAAAGCAAGCAAGCCAACTCATTTATTCAGAACATGCATATCACATAGTATAAGCGCATTTTTGGATTTGCCAGGCTGTTCCTCACCGATAACAACCCTGTGGCTTCAATAGAACATTACGCTACTTTTTTTATTTTCCGAAACAGAAAATAATTATATACTGACCGCTCCAAGCCACATGGGCAAGCACAGATTTGGGACTTTTTAACCTCCTCAGGTTGTTCTCGCAGCTGGAACAACGGAATGGTCGGATATTTTACTAACAGGGCTGCCCTGCCTCATGCTAAAGGACGACACGAATTCACGCCTTGGTATTCGAACTTGAGCATTAGTCTTCTTGCAGGACGTTACACATGGTGGATACTCGGCAAAGTATGCCTACCAATAAATGATACTTATCCGGGGTTTTGCATATATGTTAGAAATACCATTTCGCAAATCCTACATGGGATTGTCCTCATTAGGCACGCATATACGTAGGATGTTTACGCAAGTTCCGAGATGCATGAAGATCTCTCGGTGCCATTGAGTGGGGGAGTAGCAGTAGCCATGGCATGAGTGGGTCAGTGTGTGAGACGGTCCTTGCACTTTAATAATTTACGACAGATGACGCGTATGTTGTGTTCAAGATGCAATGACACATTGCAAAAGTGCTGTCAAAAGCGGATAATATAACCATGTCTTATTGACACAGCACGTGTGCCGGCCACATGGACGGACAAAAAGGGGGCCAGGCAAAGTCTCAAACGTCTGGGATTGAGATCAAGGCTTGTAATACCCAGACACCAATAATTCATGAAAATCGAATATGATTTCTAGAACACAAGGATTCATAGATCAATCTTGAGATATGTGACCACATGATTGAACGCCCTCTAGAGGATTGGACACCATGTGCTTAGCATTGCCATATAATGGTTTTGTGGCGGCAATCGTGGAGCCATGTAGGTATGTTGAGATCGGAAAGATCTGGGCATCTATCAATCTAGCGGATACAAAGTCTCAAATCCTGTCAATCTATGATCCAGTCTGATAGCTGTTCGAGGCGTCCAGCGATGACTTAACCCTATTCGTTAGCCCAGACGTCGGCTGCGATCCTTACCTCCGCGGTATCTTCTCGAAAACGCGGATGCGACCCGCCATCAGGGTTCAGCCGTGTGACAGGGCGTGCCTTGATTGCGGAATCTCGAGAGCTGAATATTGGATGACGAATGTCAGGCGGACCCGCTCATATCGCAGTGCAATTACGAGTTACGATCAGGAGTGTGAAGACAACAGTAGCAGAAGACAAAGTCTGGACTGATGTTCTGAGCAAAGTTTACCAGAGTCGCAGCAAACGAGATGGGATCATCGCGCATTCTCTGCAGAGGGACTAGCGCGAACCATCGTCACTGCTTCGCGAGAGTCTCTTTTGCTTTCTCCCCCCTTTTATCTCACACATCTTGGCCAAAGTCAAAACATGCCGCTCGCAACACGCCGTCGCACGTCATGCCAGCACCACAAACAATAAAGTATCGTATTCCGCGCTACCTCGGCGCCCGCGAGCAAAGCGATGAAAAAAAGGAAGGAAAAAGAAAAACCCTTGTCAACATCAACACCAAGCCACGATTCGGGAGCAAGTCAAAATCGCACTACACAACTGGCGTTTAGTCATGTCACTCTGAACCAACACTGTGGTTCCTTGCTCATGTCCGTCTTTTTTTTTACTAATCAAGGCTATATACGTTACTCGGTCAGCAGTCAGCTCCCTTGTTGGCGCTTGTCAGCCCATTTGGCAACAAATTGGTCTCTCGTAAGAAGGACCTAGTAAAAAAGAAGGGATACGTTGGTGCGGCTGTCGCACACGATGTAAGGGTGTGAGCAGAAATGCAGGATGAGGGGGGCTAGGACGTTGGCCCGTGCAACCAGCGCCTGCGTTCCAAGCGTCTTTGCTTTTTTTTGCCTTTGCTCCATTGCCCGACTCGTTGCTAACGACAAGTCTTAATCATGATGTCTGTCAATATTTCTGGCAAATGGTGGGGGGGGGGACGAAAAGCAAGCCAGCTTACTTTTTTACTCTCGATCCTGTTCCCCCACCACCAGCATCACTTCCCCCCTCTCTCTCTTTCTTCCAATTTTCATTATCATTTTTGCCTCCCCCTCAACTCTTCGAAGAATCTCTTTTCCCCTGCTTTTTCTGTCTCGGAGTAGAGCCATCATTGCTTTCCGGGGTAGATGAGTTACTTTTTCATCCTATCGATTCGTTAACGTCATTACCGTCACTGGATCGTGGCTGCTTTGTGGGTCTCTTCACGAGGGCATACATAACGATTAGACGCTCGTTAATCTGGACATCCCCTCCTGGTTCGAGCTACTAATATTTTGATCGTGTTCCGGATTTTGATCGTACGCCTGGTTCCGCCTTGTTCCCGTGGAGTTGTGATGCCGTTCCGGTAATGTTGAGAGGGGTTTGAAAGACTGGCTACGAACGAATTGGAGAGCTAGTGTGTCGTAGCGTGTCAGAGGGATCTGATCAGCCATTGTGTGTTGTCGTCGATTACAGAACCGCGGACCATTACAAAAGAAAGAACGCCTTACAGAACGCTACACCACTCTTTACCACAGGACAACACGATCTTTGGACTGAAGGCCTCTCATAGGAGGTATCCAATCTAGTTCTTACCTACTATACTGATCGCCAGACACTATCTTGTCTTTCAGTACTAAGACATCCGAGTTCTTGAAAGCATACGACCAACCTGAACATGTGTTACATTGTCTACACTATACACGTGTGCAACCACTGGATCCCCCAACCGCAGCCCAACAATGGGCCCATACTGCGAATCTGCGACGAAGCCGAAAAACTACGGTTGGGCCACCCGTGTCCCGAGACGCAGCGAGAGCATAAAGTCAACAACAGAAGTCAGGGGATGTGTACAGGGTGTATGTGGAAAAAGGTTAGCAAGTAAGAGGAGCCTAAAAAAAGTGTGCCTGGATAGAGTTCAAGAGTCCACTTACATGGTGGTCCTGGGAAAGACGAGATATGCGGGGACCGGAGGGTTTGGCCGGGGAGCGCGACCAGGGGCCCAGCAATGGGGGTGGCGGATAGTACGGAAGGGATGGACGGAGGGCATGCACGTACGCGGGGGACTGAAACCTCAAAGGGAGACATTCTCGGGAAGACTTGGGTAAAATCTACTCACTGTGTACGGCTTTTTCAAGACAAGGCGCCGGGCACCAACGCTCAAAAAAAAAGTCGACCGACAAAAGGCCGCATGGTCGACACAAGGCCTTACCTACTAGTAGGACAAGAGGGAACCTGGAAAGCGAGCAAACATGTGCACCGGGCTTCTCCGATCAGCCATGGATGCGATGCCCACATTTCTTGAGAGGCACAAGTGAGAAGGCCCGAGTTGTGGTTTCGGTCCGATGGGCAACAAAACATGAAATGTCGTTTTTTTTTCTCTTCCTTTCTCCCGTTTATCCCAACCGGGCTAGGAACGTTTGGCGATTCATCTCGGTGTTTTTTTAGGGGTGAGGGGCGGGTTTCTTTTCCGGAGGGAGAGTTTTTGTCAGCCAGAAAAGGGATAGCCGTAAGGCACCATAACGCGCGTTATATTCCCCCAATTGTATTATTTTGTTTCCCTCCAATGGCTTGTCCCTTTTTCTTTTCTTTCTTTACAATTTCAATAGTGCAATCTCTCCTCTCTCTCTCTTTCTGGGAAAATAGAAAGATCGATATGCGGTCCGTGGCATTAATTAGCCACAACCATTACTTACTTACACAAAGCCATTACGGATATTGTAATTTGTCTTATGTCATGTATTTGCCTCATGCGATCAACGGTCAGAGTATCGTGACATGTTTATGCGTTTCAACGTGTGTCTGTGTGCGCGTGTGTGCCAAGGATGGCGAAGAGATGCTCGGCATGCGATCGACTTTGCGACTCATGTTGGAAGGGCATCGAATCGGACCCTCGCCCCCCTCCCCACCTTGTTTGATCATCGAGCTGAACGCTTGAAAAGTAGAGACTGCCTTGCAACAGATGCGTCAAGCGTTTGAGCAGCCCTGGGCAGGACAGACGCAATGTATACTATATGTGTGCAATAGCCGGCAGATACGAGGCTGGTCGTGACGCTCTAGTATGCATTTGGGACAAACCGGTCTTGGGCTCAAGCGTCATCCGCAATGCACATGCATACTATGTACCTGTGTAAGTACAGGGTATGGGAGTTTGGGCTTGAGCATGGGGGTTGGGGGGGAGGAGGTTTGGTAAAACCGGACCATACAAAATGTGTCCCAAGCTGCTAAAGTTACGTACGTAACAGAACCCCGTTGACTTTCCCGCCGGGTATATGTGAAAAAATTACTCAAAGATAAGCAAAATAACAAAGATTGTGCTGGAAAGAGATAGAAATACAGGTATTGATGGAAAGTAAAGCTTTAAGGTTTAGGGGATCAGGCATTGCACATGTCAGCACTAAACATGGGGAGAGATGACTTTGCTTTAATCTCATCTCAACGGTCTGCTGCCGCTAAAGGGGAAGGGGGAAGGGAGGTATCTAGATACCGCGCGGCACGAACGGATAGCTAGCGCAGTATGCCTCGAGGCGTTAGGTTGGCGAGGAACCCTTACTACTCCTACCTCTTTCTACCTGGTTCCGTCGTCACCTGTCAGTCGACTAGGGCTTACCCCGGGATCCTTTCCACATTTTTCTTCCTAAGTACACAGCCATTGACTAGCCCGGTATGTACAGGCTTTGAATGTCACTGCCTTTTGTCACAAAGCTTAGTTTGGTCGCTACGGGACAAGGGACATGAACGAGGTGCAACATGTTTAAATGGGTTCTAGAATATAAGGTTTTCGATTCAGCGTTGAAGCGGACTTGTACTTACATTCGAAGGACTCGAGGCCCTCATTGGTTCATGTCCGCCAGATGTGATTGAATTGATTGTGGCGGTTGGTGGATTCTGAAGATTGACTTTGCTGGGTCATGTAGCGGCTTTGGGCCACGCGCCAGCATGGATCAGGGCCGCTGTTTCTATTATTGCACATTGCAAAACTTCTGTAAACATCTTGTGCATTCCCATGTAGAAACAAAATGGACACGTCAGCAGGTTTTAAACAGACAGAGACATATCTCGCGATGGTGTGGTATAGACATTGCAACGCATCATGACGTTATTGTCCCAAAGCCTTTGTCATCGGATCGGGAACCAAGCGGGTATACGCCGACATACTACCTTTGCACTACACGCAACAACGAGGTGGCAGCGAAAGTGCCGGATCAGCCACCGAAGCTGGGCGCTTGGGATTTTGCTTTCTTTTCTTGGCCCAGTCAGCCTAGAGCCCGCATGGTTGCTAATGCAACCCATTTTCGACCCCGGGCAATGTCACCGGGAGGAGCGTGTGGTTCCACCTGTGGTGGCAGGGTTGCTCCGAGATCTTGCCGGCCCTGGCTGTAGCTGCGCCCACAACAGCCCCCAAGTCATCAGCTTCAGTGCACAGCCAGGTTGCACATGATGCAGGACAGACGTGGTGTGGGAGCGGGAGGGGCGGTGGGCCATGGGCAGTGGGTGATGATGGCGATAATGATAGAATTTGCCATTGTCAACCACGGCATCGCGTACGAAGCGAGAAAGCGGGGACACTCACTGCATGATGCGCCTTCCCGTTTATTCGAGCGTGTGCGTGTGGCAAGTCATTGCCCGGTTGCTTGGACAATGACGGACGCAGGGTGGGACGATAAGTGGGCAGAGGAAATGCTTGTCCCTTGCTGGGCCAGCAGCGAATGCAGCAAATTGTGGACCAGCAAACGAGTCGTCTCCCTCTTGCCTCTCCACTGCATCGTCATGCGCTACCTGTCAGACAACGGCGCTTTCCAACCACTTGCATGTCTCGCCCACGCGGGGTCTGTCGATCGCCCGCATTAGCCGCCTGCATTCTCTCCCGGAAAGTGATGCAGAGGGGGAGGACATACGTATGTACTTAGTACATACTTAGATGCTCGCGTGTAGTGTACTAGTAGAGTAAGCAGCCAGATGGAACAAAGTTACCGGGTCCCGGGGGTACCAGGCGGAACCGTTGTCAATGAATTTGGATCTGCATGGGACGATTGTTGCTCCCGCACCGCTTATAGTAATATGGCCTAGATTAGGTGTCGAGTTTGCACTGACGCATGGCTACAAGTAGTCAGGCGTCGTATGACGGTTCGGTATCCCACACTGTATGGAGGGGGCGGTATAGCAAGGATAGCGGTAAAGGGGGGAGGGGAAGGTGAGGTTCACGGAATCCCGCTGAGGAGGAAAAGGAGAATTGGCTAAATAGGCCAGACGCGGTAGGCATCTGGGCGCCAGTATGCAGCCGTGTGGGTGCGGTATCGCATCCATCCGAGTTATTGATAGCGGGATCCCGTATTGGCGGCTTGTTGTACGGCTATGTTTGCTTCTGGTGGGTTGGGGTAGGTCCAATGGGCTAGCACTGGCACAGCACAACAAGCAGCAGAAGCAAGCTGGGGCCAGGCTCGTCAGGCAGCCCTCAGGTTCGATACAGTGACATGGCTGGGACAAAAGTATGGCGCCAGGATGAACGCAGCAAAATCTCCGCACCGGCAGCCGCCTGCTGGGGCGCCGCCAAGACGAGGCTCTCTCCTTCCATAAAGCCCACGCAGCTACTGCCGCTTCAAGAACGACGCCCAATTTAATGCGACGCCTCAACTGCCCTCCCGCCTCAGCCACCCACCTGTGCCGTGTACATACTTGCTATAGTGACTATGCCATTGACGACAAGGGCTACTTGGGCTACGGTGCGGGTAGGCTAGTGCAGTGTAGATCCGAGAGCCTCGTCATCGATGCATCGGTTCTTGTTCACCGATGGCTAGTTTGGCACGTCAAAAAGAAAAACGTCTGGCACGCGTCTTGTTCAGAACGGGACCGGGTGATCGCAACAACATGATAAGCTTGAGTACTGATGGTGTGGTTGACCTCTTGATGTTTTCACATGTGTATGCATGTACTTATGTAGTGTATACTACATATGACGGAGCCGCTAGCAAAAGACTTCGATATCTGTATGTACTGTGTACACACGTCAAGGAGACAGAGTTCGTCTGTTGGTAATCGGTTGATGCACATGATACTACAACTGGGAAAGCCTCACAAGGCACAACGGCAGTAGAGAGAGACTTGGACGCGTCATGGGCGTCAACAATCGTCGTGACAAGCATGGTGCATAGCCTCCGGCCAACACGACCGCTGTGGCTCTGCGCCCAATACGCTTGATTGGTGATGCAAGCAATGGCAACTCGCTCTTGACCTTCATGGTTGCCTTGTAGAGAGTCGAGCCGGCAGAGTTTCACACGCATGTCATGTCAATGGCTGATACTGCGCCTGCTGCCATTGGTCAGGTTTTTGCCTTTGCTGCCCGAAGTGTGTAGTGTATCAAGCCTGCTCGCGATGAAGATGACATAAGACGAACATTTATCCGTATTATGGCCAGAGTATATTTCTGCATCTTGGCATCTGGCTGCACCCAACCTGTGTCTACACTGCTACCATATCACTAAGTAGAGATAGACGTCGGCATATCGGTACATCGGCACTCTGGATGGGGTGGCCATTACTATAGCGGCCGAGGCGCTAACTATCAGAGTCTCGTGTAGAGTACCGGGCTGTTGGGAACAATATCCGTATGTGTACATAGTTTGTACTTGTGTAGAGTAGTAGTACGCTCGCAAACCAACCTGCATCCACTCAAGAACACTACCAGCAGCCAAAGCCTAAAATGCAAAGCTTGTGTGGTTGCTCGTCCGATCATTTTCGGCGTTGTGGCCTTAGTCCACGACAGGTGTGGTGGAGAGGAAGTGCACCCATGAAACAAACTATAAGCATGTTTCGCATCCGCCTTACACCTATAGTGGGTGCTCGTATGGAAGGCATCTAGGGACCGTAGGATGCGCCAGCCATTGGCCGCTGTGGCCGCAACGGGAGTGGGAGTACCCTTGGTAGGTCGAGATTGTTTCAGAGCCAAAGTATGGCATCGGACGTGCCCCAAAGTCACTGGACCTTCCGCATTCGTGGCTCACACAATGGGGGGCGGCTCGCTAACCGGCACGGCTTCGCCCCTGGGCCCACACCGCTTAGGTAAGTTTCACGTGGCTGCGGTTCTCTCCCCCAAGCCCAGATGCGCTGAGTGGCGTTTTTGCGGGCCGATGTCCTTTCTGGTCACGCCTCTCCGTGCCACCCCAGCGCCCACCAGTGCGGCGCGCCAGACCTGTTCATACATAGTCCATCGTATGTATGTATGTAAGTCGATACGTACAGATATATATGGAGACGTGTATGCACGTACGTGCGCCTCTGGGGAGGAGGGGGAGGCTGCAGGCTGCAGGCCGCCCAGCATGCTCCCCTCGGTGCAATCATGGCTCGAGGGCGCGGCAGTAGCAGACCCCAAAGGCCTGGTCCTGCAGGCTGAGGCGGCGACGCGAGATCCCGGCTACAAGCCCAGGCGGCAGCAAATGATCGGCTCTTGTCAGATTGCAGGCCGCGGCAGGGATGCATTGGGTGACACGAGCTTTCTGCCGAGGACGCGGGAGCGGAGGACAATTTGCGTCAGCGACGTGCCAAGCCGCGCTAAGCAGACGACCGGAAGCTTCAGGTGTGGAGGTGTGTCTGCCGCTTTGGCGGCGCTGATCCGTCGTTAATCATGACACCCTGCCCCTCGTGTGTCACCGTGCGACCGTAGTCTGTGTACCAGGGAGCCTGCGCGGTGCCGGCACCCTGAGCCCAGCCTTTCGACGACAACTGTCAGCACCGTCACACGCTGTGGTCTAGCTGCAGCGCATACAGGCTGTGTTTCCGCACCGTCGCAGTTGCGCCTGCTGCCATTGCCGCAGCGCTGTAAGTATGGCACATGCAACACGCCCCTCGCCCCGCGCCCCTCTTCTGGGGGCTCGTCTGCATACAAGAGTCGGTGCGACGCCCCACGGCCACATATGTATGTCCTGCAAGCTGGACAAGTTGGCCGCTCGGGCATTGCTTGCAGTTCGCAGCAGTCCAGCATGGCATTGTTGCGACGCCTCTCAGCAGCGCGCGATAGGCGTCCTGACCCACGACCCACGACCCACAACCATCGCCCTCGCAGCTTGCCCGTGACAAGATGGATGATCGTAGCTTTGACTTTTATGCATTTGACCAACCCACATTCCAGATGCGGAGAATTTCATTCCATCAAAGGGGGGATTTTATTTTTGTACTAGAGGGCAGTATGACGGCAATGTGCGCTCCTTCTGTACCCAGCCCTGAAGGCTAGGCGTGCTGCCGACGTTTGGAAAAGTGGTGCAACAACGCCGCTGCTGCGCGATCCAAGCTGCCAGACACCAGGCACAAGCCCGAGTAATGACAGCACCCAGTGGCGTCCTGGTGCTGATGGTGTGTATAGTGTAGGTGCTGGAACACCGGCCAAATAAGATTCATCTGATCACTATATGTATGAGGCGCATATAGCGCCATGTGGTAGCGTATCCATCACAACCGAGTACTTAGCGGAGCCCGCTGAACCTGGCACGAACGCTACCGGATCGACCACGACCTCGTTTCCTGACTGTGACAGCACGACATGGGAGCAGAACAAACACGGGGCCCATGGCGGCTCTGCTGCCGTCGGTCGAGCGCGCTGCAGCGGACGTGTCGGTGTCGTGGGCCTTGGAGGAGGATTGGTTTTTCTGCTCGAGTGCGGCCCCAAACCGGTCGTCTCACAGGCGCAGGAACAGGGTGCGGGCGCATAGGCAGCGCGTCGGTGGTGATGATGCTGGGCACGCAATTTGCTGGCAACGGGTCGCTCAGAGAAATAGCGGACCCCGGTGTGGCTTGCACTAGCGCGCTTACCAGGATATCGTCGCCCATGGTCCCGCACAGATGAAAGCCCACCCATCCTGGGCGCATCCAGTAACCCTAACCCACAGAGAAAGAGCGTTGGACCGCCCTGCCCCTTCCTTCTTCGCTCGTCTGCTGCTTCCTCACTTGCTTCTCCTCCACGAGGCTGCATCCTACTCCAGCCCTTTGCCTCTCCCTCTCCCTCTCCCCCTCCCTCCTGCCCGAAGCCCTCACTGCGCCATCGCGCCAGCTCTGGTGCATCGCATACCACTTGCCTGATCCAGGTCGGGGTCCACATCATCCGTGTTCTGCGCGCTGCTGTCGTTCTCCGCGCCAGCCTCTCCACGCCTCGACTCGCACCCGCCGGCACGCTTTGCAAGACGCGCGCCCAGCACCCACCAGTGAGCATCCATCATCACAACCATCATTCCCCATCTCACAACTGACCCAGACAGCCGCCCTGGCGCCATTCGTAGCCGCTCTTGACGACACTTGCTCACTATCAACCGCCCTGCCACTGTCGCGGCTCAGGTAGCGCAATCGTCGCATTCTAGGCAGCTCAGTCGCAGCAAGTATCATGGCCCAGCACCAGCAGCCTTCGCCCACCACGGGCATACCAGCACACCATGTAGCCCAGCATCCTGCGCACGCGCAGGTGAATGGCCACCCACCCCACGCGAACCAGCCAAAGACCTCATCCCAGTACTTGGGCCAATTGACTGAGGCCGTCTGGACACAGATGGGTAAGCAATGTTCCGTCGCGCGCGCTCTAGACCTTCATTGACACGCAACAGGCTCTCTATCCGAGCAAATGCAGGACTACGACGGCGCCATGCAATGTTACGAGCAGGCCTTGAAGTTCAACCAATGGTCTGTACCGGCTATGCAAGGCATTGCCTGCATCCTGCGTACCAAGGATGCTTTTCCAGCCGCTGTAGAGTACCTGCGCACCATTCTGAAAGTTGACCCCACAAACGGTGACGTCTGGGGCAGTCTCGGTAAGAACATACATCATCTCGCGGCCTTCTAAAACCATTGCTAACTCTACCAGGCCACTGCTATCTGATGATGGATGACCTACAGCAGGCCTACTCGGCCTACCAACAAGCCTTGTACCACCTCTCTGATCCCAAGGTATGTTTTCTCTGACTTGCAGACAATGCAGCCAACTAACGCCTCCCAGGAACCTAAACTGTGGTATGGCATTGGCATCCTCTATGACCGCTACGGATCTTTGGAGCATGCCGAGGAGGCCTTCTCACAAGTTATGCGTATGGAGCCTACCTTTGAGAAGGCAAACGAGATCTACTTCCGTCTGGGTATAATTTACAAGCAACAGCAAAAGTTCAATCAGAGCTTGGACGTTAGTATCATCGCACCTTGCAACGCGCGAAAACATTCTAATTTTTCATAGTGCTTCAAATACATTGTCACCAACCCTCCTCGCCCACTCACTGAAGAGGACATTTGGTTCCAGATTGGACACGTCTATGAACAGCAGAAAGAGGTTTGTACCATCAAAGTCTAAAGGCTTTCAACAGCTGATACATGAGCTAGTTCGAAGCTGCAAAGGGCGCTTACCGCCGGGTCCTCGAGCGCGATCCCAATCACGCGAAGGTGCTTCAACAACTGGGATGGCTTCATCACCAACAGAGTACAAACTACGCGAGCCAGGAACAGGCCATTGAATACCTTGAGAAGTCGGTCGCTTCTGGTAAGTCTTGTAACCAAGCTTGATCATGCGCTAGCCGCTAATTTCTTGTTCTAGATCAGACAGATGCACAGAGTTGGTACTTGCTCGGTCGTTGTTACATGTCTCAACAAAAGTACCCCAAGGCGTACGAGGCTTATCAGCAAGCTGTATATCGTGACGGCAGAAACCCAACCTTCTGGTGCAGCATTGGTGTACTGTACTACCAAATCAACCAGTACCGCGATGCGCTCGATGCCTACTCTCGCGCAATCCGATTGAATCCCAACATTTCGGAAGTCTGGTACGACCTGGGAACACTGGTAAGTAGCCCATTACTCCTACGCTCAAAATGCATCATTAACAATGTCACAGTACGAGTCTTGCAACAATCAGACAGCCGATGCTCTCGACGCATACCAGCGCGCGGCCGATCTCGACCCATCCAACGTACACATCAAGGCTCGCCTTCAGCTCCTACAGAATGGACAGACATCTGCCGGAGCCCCAAATCAAGGCAATGCTCCTATACCTCAGGATGTACATCCACAGGCTTATCAGCCTGCGTCAGTTCATGGTCCAGCTGCTCCACAATGGGGTGCTCCTCAACCACAGCAGCCTCCTCAAGGCCCTGCTCCTCCTGCTCTGGCGGCTGGCTGGGACCGCCCTCTTGCTCAGATTCGAGATCCGGGCCTACCGCCTCAGCAATTGAACCCATATGAGCAGCGCGAGGGCATTCGTCCTCCTACTCAGCATGCTCCTCAGAGGCCTACTAGCCCGAGACAGGAAGCGCCTAGGCCCTACGCAGAGCCTCCGCGCCCTCCCACCAGCGGCCCTGGTCCCCAGGGCCCTGCCGGCCCTCCACCTCCTGTCCCAGGACCGATGCGTCGTGGCATGTCTCCATCTCCAAAGACGCACCATGTTGTTCCTAGTCCCTACCACCCGCAGCCACCACAGCTCACGCCTCAAGCAGCTCACGCGCAACCACAGCCGCCTGTGCACCAGCAGCCGCAACAACAGCCACCCCAGCCTACCCGTATCTCGAATCCCAACTACGGGCCTCACGCTAGCAGTGTACCTCCCCCACCTCCCCCACCACCTACTGGTCTTGGTGGTCCGCCAAGTCAAACGTCCACACAAAGTGCTGTTCCTCCATACAGTGCCCGTCCTAGCAGCCCTGCCCCCGAAGTGCGCCCTATTGTGGAGAATCGAACAGCATCCCCACGTAACGGTTACCAGGGCCCTTACCAGCATCACCCTGACCCTTCTACTGGCGGTGGTATCGCTAGTGGTGCTCCTCCACCAGCATCGGCTCAAGCTGCTGCTGAGCAAGCTGCCCGCGATCGTGACGAGCGCCCTCCAACTGCTCCGCCAAAGAGACATCGCGAATGGGAGGAGAACGACCACATTAGCGCCAAGCCACCTACGAATGATGAAAAGCGCCAAAAGATTGAAGAGCCTCACAGCCGTCGGCCCACACCCCCACACCGCATGTCCTCGCCTCAAGTGCCACGCCAGAGCCCACAGGATGGCCCTGACCCCAGGCGGTTCAACGACGGCTATCATCCATCTGAGGCTGCCCATCACCCACCTTCGCTACCCCCGATGACTACTGCGCGACCGCTGTCCCGCATGTCGGAGACATCGAAGCCAGAGCGTTCTGAGCACCACGAACCGGCTGCTCGCCACATGGATGTGGATGAGAATTACGATGATGAAGGTGATGACTCGAAGCCAAGTGTAGCGAAATCTGAGCGGAGCAGCCCACGCACTGCACCTACCAATGGCGTGACTCATGCTCTTGCCGCTGAGCAAAAGTCATAAGTATGACAGCAGAGGGCAGGGCTTGGGCCACATCGAGCGTTCCTACCATGTCTTTTCTTTTCTTCACACATGCACTGTTTGTTTTGTGGGATTTGCTCAGATGACTTCGGTTTTCTTTTTTCTGGTTTGGAGTTTTTGTGACGAAGGGTCCGGCCGTGGATTTGTAGTTGGATTGAGGTCAAGGTAGAATGTAGGGGACGTGATAACGCTCTCCTGCACGGCGATGATACCCTGCGCATTATAGTGTAACCGCCTCTGCGGGTGTTGTTTGTATTTTCTAATTAGCCAAGAATGTCATAGCAGTTAGTATGGAACTCTGAGTATGCTTGCATGATGAGAGTGAAGGTATCAATTCGTGTGTAGTACATAGATGTATAATAGGTACATGAGGGTGAGAGTGGGGTTGCGCTTGGCCGGCTTTGGAGGGCCACGCGCCATGGGCATTTGCGTCATCGCACTGCTAGACCATGGCTCTAGCATCATGGGCAAGCTAGGACAGCGTTTGTTGAACACATTACGAGTATTTCACCACTGTTCTCGTCGCACGACCTTGCGTCGCGAAACTGCGCAAAAGATTGATTGTAATCCGGGCAATACAAGACCAAGGAAGGAGCGGCACCACCCACGGCTACTCGACCAGCTTGTTCGGCAGCCAAAGACGACATTCTCGCCCTCAGGATTGTGCGGGGTCATCGGTCAGAAGCACATACGAACCATGTCTTCGGACGCCGACTACGCGGCATTTCTCGATAAAGCGAACCAAGACACGGGGTCAGGGGAAGTAAAAGAAGCATCACAGAAGAGCTATGGGACAAAGAGCGTCAACACGGCAGTGCCAAACGGGCTCAAGGAAGTGAAGGAGTACTATATCAGTGAATCTGATGAGCCGTTTGAGCCTGTGGCACTCGAGTTTGACGGCAGCAGCGTGTCTAGTGGTAAGGGTGGCTCTTTTCTGCTATTTTAATCTTCATGCATGAGGAGTAGACGGAGTTGCTAACGCTGGACATAGAGGATCTCGCGAAGCTCCTTGGAGGCAACAAAGTGGAGGAAGTCAAGGGGACTGGTTTTGAGTCACAGTACAAGGGCGTGATTGACGCGGTGAAGCTGGCGACCAACGGCACAGTCAAAGTGTTCCGCGTTAAGCTAGAAGGCACGAGGGCAGAGTACTATGTTGTAGGGGTGGACGAGAAAGAGGGTAGGATTGTAGGGCTTAAAGCACTGGCTATAGAGTCGTAGTGGGGGCCGTTGGGACCGGGCATATAGCTAGCACAAAGCGAGCGTGATGGGCAAGCCGGCAAAGACACGAGGGTCATTGCGCGAATAAAGCCGATTGAAACGTCGTGGTGGCTGGGATGGTGAGGTGGATATGCAGCGGTAGGGGTGCTAGGTAGTGGAGCATACCGTTCAAAGAGGCAACGATCAAGAAAGATAGTGTTTTATTGGGAAAGATTGTGTACATGACGTGTGTGAAGCGGAGCAGCCCAGGCTTGGAGAGAGGCTGGCTAGTGTTGACAGGTTTTGGGAATGGGACTTGGTCGACGGTACCGTGGGCAGTGATTAAAAGCCGAGCCAGGTACTTCGGGCATGGGAAGGCCCAGCCTTGCGGTACTGGGGATGTGACATGAGCGCATTGATTGGCCGGCTGGAGTGACGGGATTGCGCCAATCACGGGTAAGCCACGGGCGGAGGTGGCAGCGTCGGCAGAGTCCAGAAGCCGTGGGTGCTGCGCGTTTACGAGTTTTCATTTCGGATACACCCTAGCTCAGCCTCGCGCGCCTCGACGGCAAGCCCTCAGACGGACACACAGACAGACCGGCAGACAGAGAGACAGACACATGTCAGTAAAAAAAAAAAAAAAAAAGAAGAAGACGATAATGGGTGGTAATGACGACATGTGCAAAGAGCACGTCTTGTTTCGACATGTCAACTGTTTGGTCCAGGCAGCGTCCATGTCGTGGGCAAGATTGCCAGCTGGCCAAAGAGCCGTAACAGAGCTGCGTCGGGGAGGCGAGCAGGACGAGGGAGGATCATAAAAAGACGAGCTAGATCGCCACGCTATTTGCGGCAACGATACGGTGGTGAAGCACCAACGCGCGATAAGAGACGGGGGTGGGCATGGACACTGACATGCAGCCAGCCAGCCTCAACCGACGCCGGCTACAAAGGGTTGAAAGCATTTCACCTCGACTTGGACTGCACATCTGTGGTAGCGTGCCAGTGGTTTACATACTCTAGAGGCCGTCGCTGCTGGGGCTGGGAGCTCGCTGATTATATGTGGTGCGACGCGTAATGGGTTTGGCGATGATCCCCAGGCTATTGAAGAGGGCAAAGCAAAGATGGCATGGCGCTCTTCCTGTGCGCCCACATGTCGTCGACATTTGCCTGGCCAGCGTACCGCGTGCAGCAACGTTTCTGTAGAAACAGCAGGCTGCGCCCATGGACGAGGCTGCAGAACGGCCGTGAAAAGAAAAAAAAAGTAGCACAGGCGACTGCGAGGCCGTCAACACTGTCATGGCGGCGACGGTTGCAGCCGAGTCTGTCGTTGCTGTTGCCGTCGCCGTCGTTGTCGCGAGAGACGGAAAAGGATAGCGAAGCATGAAATCGCAATTTAGACAGCGAGGCACTGCCCCGGCTCCACCACGGGGTGCCAGGGCAGGGCTGCTCACGACTTGTGTTGAAACGTGCCGGCCAATGTCATGCCTCTGATGTTCGCCGCATGCAAGCGCCCTGTCTGGCTGTCTCTGCTATGCCTGCGCCGGCGTCGTCGTCTCCTCTGTCTCCAGGTGGAGCCGGAGTGGGTACCAAATTCAGGAACACTCGACGCCCGAGCTCTCCCAACCATCTTGCCACCCTTTGCCCACGGCGCCCGCCGCTCTGCCTTTCTCTGCACCCGCCCCTCGTCCATTGATTCCCATCCCGTTTACGACGCACTTTTGCTTTATCCCACACGCCCACTGTTGCTGACTGCCCATCATCTGCATCCTCGATTTAGCGCCCGGCTTTCTGTCTCTTGCGTCACTTGTTCCTGCCCGTTGAAAGCCGCCAAGCTTTTTTGACGCACGCGTTCCTGGCCCATCGCCCTTATCCCGGCCGCCTCCCCCTCCCAGTCTGGGCCAGGAGCCATTCGACTTCCCCTTGAATCTCCATCTCCCTTTTCTCCTGCCTTACGACACGACACCAGCTGCGGTTCCCAGCTGTCTTTTTGCTCGCCGCCTTTGCACGCTCTGCCTCTACCGACAACAGGCCTTGCAAACAGGAGTGTGGAGGATTCCTTTATTTTCCACCGCCCGTCGTGTCCTCGCAGCCAGCAACTCTTTTTGGAATTCCATCCGCCACCTGAATACCGGCCAATTCGTGGTTGCGACACTCGTTTCATCCAGCAATAACGAATATTATCCATACCGCCTCCTGTCTCTCCTACATCACTGGCCTCTGGTCTACCACGGGATATCTGGATAGTCAGATAGCTTCACCGTCCACTATCGCTTATCGCACACGCTCGCTCACTCACTCACGCACGCCATGATGCCCCAATCACCAAGGGGAGAAGGCCCTCCCCACCTCCGCCTCAACTCAGGGAGCCAACAGCCCAATACCGACGATCTCCCCACACCGTCGGTGCGACCAAGCACTTCGCGAACAACAACCGCCCGCTCGTTAACACAGCCCATCCGCCCAGCAACCTCTCAGAGCGTTGGCGCACCCCATGTCTATGCCAACGCTTCCGTTGCAGAGTCTGCTGAGATGCTACTACCGCCCGGAAGACTACGGCCCAGGTCCTATCGGGATGAGTCTCCGCTACAGTCTCCGTCAGGCCTGTCTTCGAGACGCACGAGCTGGAGTTCAGACTTTACCGGAGCACCCTTCGCTTCGCCCTTTGACGACTCGAGAGCCCCATCCCGCGCTGGCAGTGAGGACGATCTGAATACGCAAACCGTGTCTGAAAAGTTCAACATTCTGCCCTCCGCCGGACTTTTGCTTTTCCCTGAAGATGTTGAAAAAGACGATTACCTGCATAACCCCGATCCCAACGACAAAGACAAGAGGGACTGCGACGTCTTCACCCGCAGAGGTATAGTTAATGTCGGCGGTCTAGCTATTCTTGCTCTTGGCATCCTCATGCTTTTCGTCGGTTACCCGATTCTGTACGTTCCTGATCTTAATGCATATTACCCGTTGGCGACGCTGACCTATCCTCACTAGGACTTTTGTTGAAAAAGCTACAGCACCAGAACGGACACCATGCTCAGGCAATCCGTTGTGTATACCAGGCAAGCAAGAAGAGCCGCTACTCAAAAACATTCGCACAGGCCTTATCGACCCGGACACACCCAAGGAAGCCATGACCCGTATTAGCGCTAATGGCGAGAAACAAGTCTTGGTCTTCTCCGATGAATTCAATATCGATGGTCGCAGTTTTTACGATGGTGATGACCCCTACTTCCAGGCCGTGGACATTTGGTATGGCGCAACAATGGATTTGGAGGTAGGTTTTGTTGAACTCCTTGGCGTCCCAATGGCACTAACGTTTTCCAGTGGTACGACCCCGATCAGGCCTTCACCAAAGACGGTACTCTGAACCTCAGGTTCTCGGCGGAGCCTAGCCACGGTCTCGATTACCGCTCCGGTATGGTCCAGTCATGGAACAAACTCTGCTACAAGGGTGGTCACTTGGAGGCCAGCATCTCGCTCCCAGGACGCGGCAATGTTAGTGGTTTCTGGCCCGGTTTCTGGACCATGGGTAACCTTGCCCGTCCCGGTTATCTGGCCTCTACGGAGGGTTTGTGGCCATACAGTTATCATGACGAGTGCGATGTTGGTATCACACCAAACCAAAGCTCATACGACGGTCTCAGCTACTTGCCTGGAATGAAGCTGCCCGCTTGCACATGCAAGGGAGAAGACCACCCATCCCCTGGCAAATCTCGTAGTGCACCGGAAATTGATGCCCTGGAAGGTTCAGTTCATTTCCTCGGCCCCGGAGAAAGCAATGCCGTCGGTGTCGTTTCTCAATCCTTCCAGGCCGCGCCTTTTGATATCTGGTACCAACCAGACTACGGTAATTATTGCATTTTCTAGACATTTTTTTCTTTGACTAACTTGAGGCAGACTATGTAGAAGTCTATGACAAGTCAATTACCGGCATGAACGCCTACAAGGGTGGTCCTTTCCAGCAAGCTATTTCTGGCTTGACCAATTTGAACAATGACTGGTATGACGGCAAGCAATACCAGACTTACTCATTTGAATACAAGACCGGATCCGATGGCTTCATTACATGGTATGTTGGTGCTGACAAGACCTGGACCATGAACGCCCCATCTGTCCGCCCCAACGGCAATATTGGCACACGTACCATCCCCGAGGAACCTCTGTCGATCATTGCCAATTTCGGAATGTCGAACAGTTTCGCAGCCATCAACCTGGAAGAAATTGCGAAGGATCTTCCCGCTACTATGCGAGTAGACTACATTCGCATCTACCAGCCAGAGGACAACCAGATCGTTACTTGCGATCCAGAGGGCTACCCTACTACCGACTATATCAAAAAGCACCCCGCGGCTTATATGAACCCTAACCTTACCAACTGGTGAGTCGTAATATTGCCACGAAATAGGAGCACTACTAAAATACTCTAGGAAATCTACTCCATACGATTGGCCCAAGAACTCGTTCATGGACGATTGCCAGTCATGAGCCCATGGCCTTTCCCGGAGAGGGACTGCCGGATCTCGGTCCCCAACACATTTTTCCTTTATGCCGACTACCTAACGTGGCCACGCCAGACGAACATACCCGCAAAAATGGATTGCATTGCAAAAGCACGTTTATAGACCACCTCGTTTTTCGATTTCTTTGCAAGGTCTGGGCATTTTGCACGGACCCTGGGGCATTTTATCTAGGATTCCATCTCATCGCCCACGCATACACACGGACGGAAATTTTACTGGCACACGCACATTGTTCGATTTCTGATTTGGAGTCAACACTGTCCGTGCTTTTGCCATGTCAGTTTTCGTTCACCGGCTGCTACGGATTGGCCCTTGGTCCATGTATCAAAACAATACGGCACGTTGTAAAATCTTCAGCAATGCGCCTTTGTACATTACAGCATATGACTCATCATACATGGCCTGTATTAAGCATCTTGCGAGTTTGGAGCCCGTTTGTCCTTTTTTCTTGAACCTGGGGTTGGAAGGAGTTGCTGGTCATCGGTACCGATCTCGATTATCCCTTATCTATTATTTGCTTCTTCTCTGCCACTTGTAATGCCTCGACACTTGTTCCACCGCTTTTTTGTTTTTTCCCTGCTTTCGATCAGATACCATATGGAAACAACAGCATCATTCAGTGCTGCAGGCGACACGTGGTGGAGGGGATTTCTTCTAGGGTTCATCTTCAGATGTTCTTTTTTTTTACTTTTTCTTTGGTTGGATCTCAGTCATTGTGCATGGTTGGAGCTTGGGAGTAATCAAGGACGACAATGGAAGGGGGGTTGACGATGGAATGAAGGCGTGCTTGAATACTTGAAGCAATTTTATAATGTATAGCTGAAGGAGGGTTAGGGGGTTGGCGATACTAGATTGCGTGAGCTGGATGAGTTGAACTATGTAGCATATAGATGGAAGCTGAAGAAGCAGAAGAGGAATACAATTGGAGACAATGGACAGAAGAGTTATCCAGGAGCATAGTATTGTCGTTTTCCCCTCCCCTCCAGACATGTTTGGCATGAAGAGAAACGTGTATGTAGACTAGTTGTGTTGAGAAAGAAATATATGTTTGGGAAACGTTAAAAAGCATAGAGAGGTTCTTATGCTCCAGTACAGCTGGAACACGCTATGTAGCAGGCTGTGTGAATTGTAGTTGGATTAAAGCGCTGTCGAAGGGAAATAAGCGAATGCATGTAAGAGTATAGCACGGCTGCATTGGGATGAACGGGGGTCAGTTGTTTAGCCGATGCATGTATGCAGCACATTGCAAAACATTGTGTGAATTATGGTAATTGTTGTTTAATCCTCATCTTCTGTATAAGAAGAAGAAGAAGAAGAAGAAGAAGAAGAAGAAAAAGCGCATATGTATACAATATGACTATTCATGTCCGTGTATATACTAGTAACTACTTCTACTACAAACTTCTACGTAAGACACATCCCATCCTCTAAAAGTTTTTTTAAACAAGCACCTTCTTAAACGCCAGCGTCTTTGTGGGATCAGGCATGGTCTGCTTTCCGATTTCCATCTGGGAGTAGCGCTCCGTCTCGCCATTGGGCATCTTGACGTCGTACTCGAGGACGAGGCGGGCGACTATCATTTTGATTTCGTTGGCGGCGAAGAAACGCCCAGGGCAGGCGTGTCTGCCGTAGCCGAAGGAGAGATTCTCTTCATTGGTGGTGACGAATTGGTTGCGTGCAATGTCGCTGGCTTTGCCTGAGGAACGTGCCTTGTAGGCGCGGAGTCCGTCGAAGGTGTCGGAGGAGGGGTAGACGGATTCGTCGGTGTGGATGGCGGCCGCGGGGACTTCGATGAGGACGCCCGGGGGGATGTACTGACCGTTGCTGAGGGTGATGCCTTTGAGTGTACGGCGAGTGAAGGAGGCTGTAGAGTAGAAGAAAAAAACAGGTTAGCATTGAAGCGCTTCTTTTGTTTCTTTCCCTAAGGAGTTCTTTTTTCTCCCTGAGGATCAACAGTGGGTGTGACAAGTGGTTTTACTTACTGATACCGGGAGGGTAGAGTCGCGTAACCTCCTTCATGTAGCTATCTAGCTTGACCATTTGCTGGAGTGCGCGGAACGTGATGATGCCACCATTCTCAGCCATGGCATTGCGGACCTCCTCTCGGATCGGCTCAACATACTCTGGTGTAACAGCAAGAGTGTAGAGGATATTTGTGGCGGTCATGGTGGTAGTGTGAATAGCGGCAAAAATGACTGCAAGTTGGTATTTGGCGAGCAGCGCCACAGAATCCTTGCCATCACTTCGGTTGATCATCCATTGCAGCATATCGTCTGGCTCCTGCCAGTTAGGATCCTCGGCTTTAGCAGCTAGTCGCTCCGTGACAAGAGGCTGTAGGATTTTCTCGGCTTGCTTCTCACGGTTGCGAAGGGCAATGAGTTCTGGGGTGCGTGACGCTAAGAAGGGCTTCAGCCACGGGCGGAGCTTTTTGACTCCGTTAACAGCATTGATAAGATCTATGGTGTAATTGCATGCGGCATCAAGGTACTCGGGATCCTGGGCTAGCTCTGGGCCAACAAAAATGCGACCCGAGACCTTGGCAACGATGGTGACTAGCTTTGCGTTGATGTTGATTTCAGTCCAATCTTCGCATGGCGGCAAATATTCTCTTAACGCAGCATCGACGTCTTGACAGATGATTGGATTCAATCGAGCTGTGATGGGGGTCAGCAAAAACTAGCTCATATGCCATAGTGCTTTTTTGCCTTGAAATCTTACGTAGTGCTGAGGTAAGTTCACTCTTGACCACATGGATGGCCGTATCACCCTCAGTTTGCAGTCTTGTGTACTTGGCTTCCATATCCTACCAGATGAGGTTAGCAAGATTGTTCTATTCTAACATGAGGTATATTTCTAACGCACGTTCTCTATGGCCTTTGGAAAGCTGAGGACATCGTCAGGGATTTTCCGAAGCTCTGGCAGCAAACTCCGAGGCACAATGACGTTTTCTTGGCCTGGACAAGGTGTAAGCAACGACCTGAATATTTGCTTTTGGGAAGGGGGTTGACCTACCATTCTCGTTGGTAAGTCTGAAAACGCTATCTTTGAACTGATCATGTGGTCAGCAGATGGGTTTTTTGACGAAAGGTTAAATGCGTTGTACATTGTGGTACCCATCTTGATAGAGTTTTCTTGCCGATGCTATGAATGCTTGCCGCGCCTTCTCACCACTGCCAGGGCTAGCGGTAGGCAGCTTCCCAAGCTGAACTTTGGCCTGAAGTTTGGGGAGCAAGACACATGCGGCAAATATCACAGCAGCTATGGCTGTTGTCTGCAGCGTGTGCACTATCTGTGCAACAGTCTGCGGGTCCATGTCGGCAGGGTTGTGTGCCAGAGCAGGCGAGAGAAATGGTCAAATCAATTTGGGACGTCGTAGGCAATTGTGCTGAAGTTGGGAGTGAATGCCCATGGAGGGAAGATGCAAGATATAGGAGACCATCTAAGCGATCCCCCGGCTTTATTGCTGTGCATTAAGCTACTCGCGTGGGTCGCGGGCCTGAGAAGAGAAGAGTGGTCAGCCCCGAGTGAGTACGGTGTATACGGCGGCAGACACGGCCGATGGGGCTTGTGTCTGGACATGTTCTAGGGTCTTGGCGAGAGATCTGCACGCAGTCTCCACGGTGGCTTTCTGACTGGCACAGCCGCGGTCATGGCCGACTCCACTGCTCGGCTTCGTGCCTTCACGATCCAATCAAGGTGCTTGGAATACGTTCGGGGATTTACTGTAGTGTAACCGTGCCTGCGTGCTTCGTTGGACTTAATATGGTGGCGAAGCTGTCTTGGTCGCTGCCCAGACGCAGTCAAAGTAAAGACTAGCAAACAAGCAGATTTGCCGGCACATGAATGCTGCACATGAATGCTGCACAGTTGGCGAGATTGACGGCCTAGCAAAGTCAGCAGTGAGGCGACGAGAGAGTGGAGTGTACTATGCAGCTCAAGCCACTTTCTCATCTAACGAGCTCGGCTAACGAATCTTGCAGTGGGGTTGCTTCATCAGGGACCAGCATCCTCTCAGCGCAGTCAGGAGGTGGATGACGCACATGCAAGTCCAAATCATCGTCATGGAAAACACCCTATCCTCGCCAGCCACTAGAGCTTGTTGCTGCCATAGCATAATGCTCAGGAACCGGTACACTTGCGGCGTTCCACTGCATGTCTATTAAATTCAGCGAATTATCGTCGCGTAGCTGATCTGTCCTTACACGACGGCGTGTGCTTAATCCACATTTGATTAGGCTGCCACCTCTCGCCTCCAATCAAATATCCATGTCGACTCGGGAATCTCGTATCCGTTTTACACAACGGCGAGCGACCTCGCATTCGGTAACCTTCCACACTAGCAACTCCAATACGAACTGCGTATTATTTCGTTGCTGACAACTTCCTTCTGTTGTGTCTTGCCCCTTGAATACACACGTTAGCATGTTGCAGCATCTCAACGCGTATACAAATATGGCAGGGAGGCGAGACAGTGCCTTCAATCATCCCTAATATCCGCATTTGTGAGGTAGGTGCAATAAATGTTGCACAGCCAAAGTGTCGCTCTGTTCCATCAACGTTAGTGCGCGGGGTCGTACTTTTTCGCGTTAGTATGGGCACTAGCACTAGCAGAGCAGATGGCGCAGCAAAGACGTCTGTGCATTGAACGGTCGGTTACGCGTACAGCGACTGTCTTTACTGCTCTGTGTATCTGCCGCCCTAACCGACCAGCCTTTGGGAATACGTGGGCAATTGCCGCCCCCAGCAATGGCATAATGTCGCGCGTTGAAGGCTGTATGAGAGCTCGATAGCAGACGGTACACGTCTGCCCTACAACTTCTCAGCTAGTACCATGGGCCCTGCAATCTCGTCTCTTTTCTCTTCTCCACTGATGACTTCGACAATCGTGAGCGCAAACAACATCGCAGTACCCGGTCTGTGTACATAAAGTTAGCAAACTTCCTCGATGCTTCAAGCGAGACTTTATGTTACCCGCGACTTGTGATGACCTTTCCATCCACGACCAATCGATCTTCGCTGTACTGCCAGCCCGCAACCTTGATTTCTTCTGCCACACTTGGGTGACTGGTGACCCTTTTCTTCTCTTTGTCGAACTTCTTCGTCGAAGCGACTAGTGCCGTAGTCGCTGCACAAATTGCAGCAACCCACTTCCCAGCCTGTTGAAAGTCGTGGATTAGTTTCAACACGGCATCGCTCTCGCAAAAAGTCTTCGATCCCGGTACGCCCCCAGGTAGAACGAGCACGTCAAAGTGCTCATGAGCAGGTTGCAAAGGGACAGAGTTTTGATTCGGGTAGTCAGGTACAATGCGGATATTACGTGACATGCTAGAATGGGCCCCCGACTTGTTAGTAAACTCGGATGCTGTTCATCCATCGAGTCGTAACTGACTGAGCATATGCTTCATTTTGGAGCGATACACCTGCACTCTTGACTTCAAATCCCGCTCGGGTCAATACTGGAACCATGTGTCAGCGTCCAAGCCCAGCTCTGTCCTCGGTCACCTGCTGTCGGCATCGCACAACCATGACTCCGTACATACCATCATAAGGAGTGACAAACTCAATCTCTTCAGATCCGTCTGCAACAAGGATCAGAGCTTTGGTCATCTTGGCTAATGTGATTTAGTTTTGCGGTATCTGAGAGTGTAGTTGAAAAAGGCTCAGCTAAGCGTGACCCGGGTATGCTGACATCCTAATGGATGACGGAAGGGCCGGCCCACAGCAATAAGTAGACTCGGCAACGACAAGCCGGGTAACGGACTAACGGCACCTTTCCACCCTACCTTCTTCCTACACTACAAACACTGACCAATGCGTTACACGCCCAATTGCACGTCTCTCAATAGCATGCGAAGAAAACCAAGGCATCACTTTTAGATATGCGCAGTCAAGCTGGTCAATACAAATAGCATTCGCTTGTTACCGCGGAATGATCGCCTGCTAAAACCATCAAGGATATCGGACAAAATGCCAAAAAAAAACATCATATATACATCCGCCCAGTGTACTATATCCAGTTACATAACCCGAGTTGTCCTGATTCGCCCCCGTATAAAGAGAGCGTTGTTACCTCATCCCAGTGTCATTGATACCACAATGTGCAGACACACATCTTGCATGCATTGCGGATCCTAGGATATCTCTCGTGAGCTCATGTAGTGGAAAAATGGTCGTTCCAAAGATATGATGCCCATGGATACAAAAAGGCAGCCCTCATCCGCCTCTATCCAACATCTTTCTCTCTTTTGTGAGACATTAGAGTAGTGTACAGCTTCATGGAGCGCCTGCCTCCTCCATCTGCTGACCCTTTGAAAACAGAAAAAACAAACAGACAGGGTATGTCAGAAAACAAAAAGCGAGGCCATGTCTATCGTTGCAATACATTGCATTGCCAAAGGCTGAGGTATCAAAGGCAAATGAAAGACATTCAAAAGACGAGCAAATGGCTAAAATAGGAGTCTGGCTGTTCAAAACTCCAAACACCAAGGCCATTATTGTAAAGCAAAGCAGTGTGGGTCGTAGTCGGTCCCGAGGGATGCTAGGATGAATGTTCGGCGTTGGTCCGAAGTGGGGCTGTAGAGATATATGCAGGAAAATTTGCCGTAATCACAAGCTCATGGTCAGCCATTCCTATACGGAATTTGTTAGCAAAAAAAGACATATCAATGTGGACACGTTTGTACATACCCATTCAGCAGGACCGGATGATTGCAGACCCTGGCCCATTGCGCCCATGGGAAGAGCACCAAGACTTTGTCCTGGGAAGGGACTAGAAGTTGTAATGGTAGTGTCTTTTCTGCGCAACGGCACCCTTCCATTAGTGTCGTCCGCGTCGGCCATTTCCAATTCTTGTGACTCGCTCTTGCTCTGACCACGGTTTCGCTTGGGCGCAACGGCGACACCGCGTGTTTGTGTCAAAGTTACGGAGCTATTGGACTTTGGTGGACCCGGAGCAATGGGAACTACACTGTTTGGTTTGGACGAGGTCGGTGTGGTAGCGGAAGACAAATTGCTGGAGCATCCGCCAGCTGAGCCGGTGGATTTCGGCGACTCCGAATCAGTCGCCTTGTGCGACGTGGGCGTCGTGACTGGTGTATGTGCAATGGAATTCTTACGAGAAGATTTCTTTGACGAGCGCGTGGATGCAGTACCCACTGGTGCATTGCCACTACCACGATTGCGCTTCTTGATGACATCGGTCTTCAGTGACAAGGGCCGAACCACGCCGTGCAGCTTCAAAAACAGGCCGCATGCATTGCAAAGTGGGTGCCCTTCGGGGTTACGGCGCCACAGCGGCGTTGTTTGGGTGAAGCAGTTCGTGCAAGTCGTCGGAGCACCACCTTCGCCTTGTTTTGTTCCACCAGGACTCTGAGGTCGCGATGGAGCCGCAGAGTTGAAGCCAGACTCTGGAGGCGAGTTTGGCGATGACACGAGGCCGTGCATGCCCTGATGCATCATTCCAGCTGCGTTGGGGGTTGAGCTGGTGCGGGGTATCTTCTGGCGTCGTGGATCGGTGCCTCTATTGCGTATGTCGCTTACAGAAGCCGCCGAGCCATGGGTCCGACCAAGGCTGCCCCCGGGGCTCCAATGATCTTGCGGTGAGTGAACCATCTCGGTTCCACCAATAGTGACGGTCTTGCGTGGCGGACCAGCAGGATAGCGCGCTTGCATGGGATTGAATTGGTTGGAGAGGTTTGTCTCCCACTGATATCCCGTGTTGAAGTCGATGGAGCTGTCATCCATTTGTGAGTATTCCTGTGGTGGCATGGTACGGTCGGCGAAGGCGCTTCCCTCATCGTCCTCGGCATCGGAGTCGGCACCAAAGGTGAACATGTTCTCTTGACGACCCATTTGCAGCTCGTGTTGTTGGCGCAAGGGCAGGTTATTGTGAAGTACCTGCGATGGATCGACGTGGCTTGATTGCCCAAAGGAAGACACTGAAAATGGCAGTGAGGAGCTCGCACTCGTCACTGGGCTGAAGACGGAGTCTTGACCACCGGCCCCAGGGTTGAAGATGTATTGCGGTTGCATCGACGTCGATAGGTTTGATGGGCGGTGGGGTCCATAGGAAGCGCCATGTTGTGAGGTACGGATATCCATGCCGCTGCGGTCAAAGTACATTTGGCTGTCTTCCGAGATGGGCTGCGGAGTCGAGACGGTGGAAGGGAAGGCGGAGCTGGGTGGAGAGTAGTAGTCGGTGGAGTTGAGCGACGAGGCCATGGAGTTGTGATTAAACATGTTTGAGTTGAATGCGTTGTGGCTCATCAGAGGTGAGCCGACGGGAGAGAAGCCCGAAAAGCTCTGCTGGTAGGGTCCGGCCGAGTGGACGGCGGGATCTTCGTGCATCTGAAAGGTATCTATGGAGAAGGCACCCTGACCCTGGGAGGCGGGGAAAGTGGGCGGTTGCATGGTGGTGTTGTCCAGCGAGTACTGGTGCAGGTCGGCCTCGGAGTGAGCATCAGTGGGTATCATGATGCTGTTGACAGGAGGGACCAGAGGCGAAGCTTCAGCGCGGCGCTTGGGTGGCTGATAAGGCGTTAGGGAGGAGCGACGAGGAGAAAGCGAAGGAGAGCAGAGCAGAGCAAGAAGGGAGGGAGAGATAGGAAAGAGGAGGCAACAAGGGAGAGTAAGAGATAAGGGCAAGACTCACTCGTCGCTCGTCGATGCTGGTTTTGCGGACGTGTCGTGGGACGTAGCCAAATTCATCCTCTTTGCTGATGGCAGGAGGCACCGAGGGGGCAGAGGCGCGGGCGAGGGAAAGGTTATGGTCGCTGGCCAGATGCGGCTTCCTTATCGGTATCGCTGGGGCTGTTGCAATAAATGGAGCCGCATCCTCATTCGACCCTGGGGGCGATAGGCCTGCAGGACTGCCAACCGACGAAGGAAATATAAAATCATCCAGGTTCATTGCGTCTTGGGCAGGCTGGTGTACCTGCGCCTGCTGATCCTGCGACTTTCTCAACTGCTGGGCAATGCCGCTTGGAGCGGATCGGGGCGGCGGCCTGGACGAGGCCGCTGGAGGAGGCATCATTTGATTGCTCTGTGTGTTGTGGCTAGGCCTACACGACAAACAAAAGGTTAGCAGCTGGTTGAGGCAGGCTCGCTGGTAGTGGCGCAAAAGCAAATGGCGGCATCCATACCCTTTGTTGCGATCCATGTCAGCACGACGCATGTTCATGGCCATCATTCGCCATGTCAGATTCTCCATGCGCTCTGCATTGGGCAGCTGTGTCTTTGCTCGTGAGTACAGTTTCCATATCTGCGTGCCTAGTGGGTCGTTCTTCTGCATCTGCTCTGGCGACTCGGCCCCAGGACTGCCCGCATCGTTGCCGAATGCTGGAAATATGGCATCCTGGAGCACACCCCGGCGGGCCGAGTCCTGCGACGACGAAATCTCCATGGTGTCTTTGGGCAGGGCAAAGTCCATGGAAATTCTGGAGGCGGGATGTGAGACCTCGCTGGGAAGCAGTGGTAAATGTGCAGCAGGCACTGAGGGAAGGCGATGATGTAGCTGGGTGCGTCGGCGCGTGCTCTGGATCGGATGGGAGCACCCCACGTTAGCAGCAGCGGCGGCGGCCCTCAGCTGCAACCACAGCCGAAATGGGGCCCTGGACAGTGGGTAATTAGTGCTGGGTAGGGAGGGGATGTGTGGTGCTTGTGCAGACAGAGTGAGCTGGGCGTGGCCGGGGCTGGGGGTGTGGGGGGGGGTTGCAGTGGACAGTGGACAGTGGACAGTGTGTGGGCTTGGGGGAGGGGGGCTGTGGACTGCTGTGCTGTGCTGTGCTGTGCTGGAGGAGGGTAATGGACAGCTTGCTGTGGTCGTGACTGCAGTGGTCGTGCTGCTTCACCTCCACGGGGAAGGACCCTCGATATGTTTAGGCTCGTGGACCACCAGTGAGCGGCGCAATAATTGAATTGCAGCGATTGCGGGCTACAGCATGCGACGGCAGCAGGGGGCGCTGGGTGGGTCGAGAGTCGTGACGCTGGGCCTCTGGGAAGAGGATGAGATGCAGAGGGTGGAGCGTTCGCACCCACGCAGCCCCCACCAATTCACCCTCGGTCGCCAATCACGCGTGCAGCCAGCGTGGCCCTCGTAGTCGCAGCCTCGACGCAGACGCGCAGCCGGGCGTGCTGTTGTTTGGGGCCCTGTCTGTGTGTGGTCTGCCTCACCCCTCGTCGGTAGATGGATGGTAGACAGACAGACAGATAGACAGATAGATAGATAGATAGATAGTATCATTGCCAAACAAACAGTCTCTACTCTACACAGTACTATACTCTCAACAGCAATCTCCCACGCAGCAGCAACGACGGCGGGCGGTTGAGCGACAGGTGCGCCTGCCTCTGCTACTTGCCGCTTAGCATGCAGGCCCCGGTCCGTCTCAAGACCGCCTGAACCGTGCAGCTCATACACACTTGGGATCCTGGGTAACGGGCTCGGGGCCATTCGACTACTAGCACAAGCAAGCATTGGCATGTGCAATCACTTGCGGGAGGATTTTCTATTTTTTTTCCTGCGGCAATTCTGGCCACCGTGTCTGGCCCTTTTTGCCTCGCTGCCTCGCTGCCTGCCACGCCCGTCTGGGTACGTCACTTTTCCTCCTGCCTGCATGCGCCATCGGTCTGCGTCTGCCCGAGCCTCGCTAATGTTCCCTCATTCCTCTTGACATGTTCTAGCACGGCTTTGCGATCCACAGCCATAGTAGTCTTGAAAGCTTACGCGAATAGACAACGGCTCCTTCAGCCGTGCTATTCGTCAGCCTGCAGCCTCCCCTGGCCCGCTAATGGAGTGCAGCAGCAACATTGTCCACTGCACGCCTACATGTTTATGTAGCTATGTGTGTACACACCTACATACGTACGTACAGTACGTACATGTGTGCGTGTCTTGGCTGTGCCTTTTCCCACTCTGGGGCAAGTATGCCTCGCCGCACTGCTCACAATCGGGCTTGGTCGCCCGACTCGCTCGACTGGCTGACATTGCTGGTGCAGCCAGCGCCAAAAAAAAAAACGACGCGCACTCGCCCTCTCCAAAATGCAGCAATACCTGCTCGTTGTTTACCCGCTGTGGAGTATCTGGTCCGAATACTGCCGCAGCCCACCCTTGGGCTCGGCACTTCTATCCCTACATCTCCCGACAGCCTCACGGCCTCATCTCAGGGTCTCTTGTTTACTTACCAGACCCACCACCTTGATTAGTCCCTACTTACCGCGGGCCCACCTCTCACCGCGCACGAGCACGTGGCTGTAGTCCCTTTTGGTGATGCACAATCTCCAGACGCGCCTTACACGCAATACAGGTACAACTAGAGGGTCTGGCGCCCTCAACAGCATCCACCGCCCCAGTGGGATTACCCTCCCCCATTAGACGGCACCTTGTACCGGCAACACTGGCACATTCACCCGCAATCCTTTTTTGTCCCAACCCAGCCAGAACCCCAAACCATTGTTCCACCCCGAGTCCACCAGCACCCACACGCGGACATGTAGCTACTGCGGCCGTCGGAAAATCCGCGCGGGTCGAGGCAGATGCATACTCGTCGACATGTAACGGTTACGCACACGGTGGAGAGAGCAACGTGAAACTGGCAACACTCGCATGAACTGTGGCCATGGTTTGTCGGTGGTGGCAACTCTTCTAGATCTTTGCCTGCACAGCTATCCGTGCTTCTACACACATGTAGTCCGGGCAGGGACATACGTCAGGCAAAGAGCCATGTCCATGCACATACATACGGTACTCGAGGCACGTGAGGCGCAGCCACGCATTTTTTTTGCCGTTTGCACTGCGATCTGTGAGACTTGGAGGCAGTCCTTGAAGATCGAAGAGCATCGCTCCCTCTTGGCCTGCATTGGTTCCAGTACACACAGGTCGTCGAGTTTAGTGCTGCTCACGGCTCACGGCTTTCTCCACGAGCATATCATGCTGTTGTGTGTAGTGGTCGGTGTATCAAAGCTTGGAACCGCGCTGCTTTTGGGGTCCAACCAAGCCGTACCCACCGGCAATGTTTGTAATATCAAGGGATGCAAAAAAAGGGTCCAGCAATTTCCTGTGCATCGATACATTGATAGATACTCATTCATCTACTTACTCACTCTACACAGATGGGTTGCCCTACTGGCATTACTTCGGGTACGACTCATCTACTAGCCCGCGAGCACCGATGGTTGACGTCGTGCATCGGCTAATCTGGAGCCAGTCGTTTAGATCCCGGCTCACCAGTCCAACGGAGTTTCACATGCGAACCAATATCACAACCAAGTCATGTCACTACTACACTAGCATCCATCTGCGCCGACTGCTGAGCCATTTTCTCCAGAGCATGTACTCTAGCACAATCCAGTACGGCCCAAGGGTTCCGTCTCCAGTCTACTTGTCCGCAGGTAGAGGCATGCAGGCAGGGTGTGCTCGATATTGAGAAGAGGGTGCACCCCCACGTGTCTTGCCCCGAAAAGAGCAAGCGGTCAAGCCGAGCATTCCTGTCCATGCAAGCGCCCCCAAGCACCTATCCGACCCCCCCTCCAAAAAAAACGCCATTTGCTTCTGACTTGCATGCATAAGCTGGTAAAGTGGAGCCTAGATCCTTTGCTAAACCCGACTGAATCCGCTCTAACTTCGCTTGTCGCCGCATTGATGGCTTTGGGCACGCTACACACACAGTAGTCGTTCAACAACACGAGCCTCCTCTGCGTCCTATGCTGCATCTCGCCCTGATCCAATCTTGGTTCCAAAACACCCTTCAATGCCTGCGCTATCGGATGTCTGCACTCGCTCTTTGTCGGAATAATCCTCGCGCGGTATTATCCGCTTTATTGGACCGCGACCCTTAGCACTGGTGCTGGCGCAGTACCGAAATCCACACCCACACACATGCGCACCCTCGCACGTCCACACGGCACCAACGGCACCAATCAACCGCTGCAACCGCCAACAATCAATAACACCAGGGCCCCCAATCCCCTTGCGATCATGCGGGTGCATATCTCCTACTTTCTCCTCGTCACGGTCGAAACGCCTCGTTGGCTTGGACAAGGTTTCAAGGTCGCATGCCTTCGATACGAGACGCGGGATGCCCGTGGGGGTTGGCGTACGTGATTCATTTAGAAGACTCGAATATGGGTAATTCGGCGGATGATCCCTTGATCGTCCACGACACCGCCCTTGGTCGATCCACACTTGGGCGCACAAACGGTCGACCATCGACGGGGTCGGCCGTGAGTGAACAAAGTGGAAAAGGGTCCTTTTCCTCATCGTGTCCTTGCTGCCGTCTCGCGTGCTCCCTCTCCAGATTCGTACAAGGCTGTTCGTCAGCGCTTACATGTCACTGCCGGCCGTCCATACGTCGAAACCAAGGCAGTGGCAAGGCCTGTCTGTCCTGGGTCGTGACGTTTTGCTACATGATTGTCCGCTGGGTATAGAATTCGGGAAAGATTGGTGGCGGCGAGGATGATGCTTGCGTCAGTGAGTCCGGCCGGCCCGTGGATGGGGCTGCACGCTCGCTAGAGTGTCTGCTGCGTCCGAGGACAGCGGGAGAGAGGGCCGTAGCTTTTTCCTCAAACAAAATGCTTGTTGTTGAAGACCAACCCTCAATGGCTCATGCTTGACTTGTTGAAGGGAAAGGCGTCTTCAAGGCGCGCCATCTTGGCATCCTAAGCGGAATGGGGCCACAACGGCGGAGCGGAACCAGGTCGTCCAGTGCACAGGGAAAACGGGGGAGGGAGGGGCTCCAGATTTGCTTTCCAGCCCAGAAATGCAATGGCGGCACAGGCGACTTCTTATACAGGTGCAGGGTCTACTGCCAGAGCCAGATTGTGCAGTGATACCATTGCGCGTTATCATTGCGCGATTGATAGCCGTATTCTTAGTGGTGCTTGCACCACCCCCTTTCAGCCTCACATCTTCCCTCCTCACCGTCCGAGGAGCCAATAATGCTTGCGAATGCAGGCAAACGTGGTCGGTTTGGGTGCAATCCACATATCCAGTGAGTAGGTGGCCTTCCTATTGCGGATGTGAAACAGAGATAGACTATCTCCAGATACCTTATCTTACGCATGGAAATGTATACTGCGGCTGTGCGTGAAGCAATGAGCATCGTTTGGCTTCCCCAGGCACATGATCTGGCGAATCAGCGTAGTCGATAAGAACTCCAGACCCTGCATCTTGTTGAGCTGGCAAGACTGTGCTTTTGCTATTGTCGTGTCTTGGGGCCTATTTGCTGCCATGATAACTAACGTTTTCGCCGCCGGCCGGTCGTGTAAGCCGGGCAATCAAAATTGCGGTTTTTTTTGCATGATCGTCGTAAGTGGGTTTGGATAAGGGGCCCCCACAGTATTTGGGGAGGGCCTAACATCGGGGTGCGGGGATTTTATGTCGCGGTATGTGAGTACATTGCTGGGTGGCTATACATTTTCATCCATACCACACCAGCCCAGTATCGCTGCAGGAACCATCATATGCTTCGTCGGGTATCTGTGTACATTCCGATGATTCCGTCTCTCGAGCATTTCCTGCCGTCCCCTTGCTGATATCCAAGCGCCCTTCTCCGTGGTTAGAGTGGCATCCACGCTCCCTATCTCGTCAATCGGCCTGACGTGATGTGACACAGAGATTGCCAATTATGGCACCGCCTTGCCCTGTTTGTACGTTCGTCTCGTCTCGGGATTCGAGGCGTGCGCGGGATACATAGCACGGTCGCTGTATGGCTTTGTTTAATTCATTCCTTTCCCGCCTTCTTGTCGTCCACCGCTCCGCCACCCTTGACCGTCTCTTCTCCCAAGACTTTGCTTGCCGCCATGAACCTAGGTATCTAGTGTTAGCGCCTGTCATCTATACAGCCTGAGCCCTGCTCTTTGTCCTGGATTTGGCCGAGTATCCCAACCGTCGCGACTTACATGGCGCCAGCATAACCGCCCAATCCCCGCATATCCTGCGCCTGACCAGCCGTCATACGCATCAGACTCTCCAAGTCCGCCATGTTTGCCGTCAGTTGTGCCAGTTGCGCTTGTAGGTGAGAGAGTTGGCGCGGCTTCTGCGAGGGTACGGTACTGAGGCGCGAGCCGCCTGGAGTGTGGGAGCGAGGGACATTCGACATCGTAATTATTGTAGTGGCAGGTGCCTTTGAGATTTACCGCTGGGAGTCGAGGTGGATATAGTCGTTGGTCGTCAGTGTTGGTGGTGTGTTTGTTGTGGACGCAGAAGTGGGGGACGCGTCGCATTGGATCGTGGTGGGACTCCCGCGGCGAACAGGGCTTGGCGATTGGAATCTCCACTCCGCTTCGACTTTTCTACAACCTCAACTCCATTGCCCCTGCGTACCACCATTGATCCCTTGTGGCATCATCTCACCGGACTCACCTCGTGAGGAACCATGGCAACTCTCCAGACCGTCCGGCGCTGGATCATGACTGGCGCAGTCGCTGCTATCACAATAACCGGTACTATCTATGGCGCGGGGTTGAAGGGACAACAAGAAATCAAGCAGGTATGTTGATCATTCACTTTATGTAAAGGATTCGTAAAGATTGCTTCCTCTCAAATGCACGGCATGCCTGTGAAGGCAACCTGGACTACTGATCCTAGTCCTGAGCGTTCAACAGACCATATGCTAACGATTTGTCTCTTTAGCAAAAACGACAGATCCTTCAAGCCACACCCGAAGAACGAATCGCCCAACTCGAAGTCACACGCGCCGATTTAGTCCTAAAGAAGAACGAGATGGAAAGGAAAATTGCAATGATTGTCGAAAAGAGGAGGGCGAAAGAGCAAGGGCAGGCTGACGGGAGATGAGAAACGGGAAAAACAGAATCTGGATCATTTTGCCGACTTACCACATCTCCGAATAGGCCGTATGGGATATTAACATGTCGCTATGTTCATAAGAAGCCACCTGGAAGTCCCTGGAGAACACCCCGGTGCTACAGAAACCATTCCATCTTGGACTAATGCTACATCAACGATATGGAAAAGAGCGATAAATAGTGACAAGAGTGGAGACTTGGGCATTGCCCTCAATGTCTTTTGCCGGTTTTGGACACACACTACCGCATACTTGGTCGCGCTACCCATGACGAAGTTAGAAGCTTTACCGAGATCAAAAGCTGACAACGGATCTTCACAAGACTCATGATCAATATGTATGTCATCACATTGCACGCCACTGATCTTGTCGAAGCTATTATGGTCTGTTCGAATTAAGCGGATCGCTTCCTGGTGTAGTAGCGTATACAAGGGCAATGCTGCTTTCTCATAGCTGCACGTGTTCCTTCACAGCTAGTGGAACTATGTATAACACATCATAGTGCAACGATGGTTACTGGAAGGTCAAAGGCATTACAAATGTATTTTGCCAATTGCCCCACGGGAAGAATACATCGACGTCGATCTTCACCAAACCAAATCTCCCCTCCACATGACCTTCCGTGATGCTGTTCACCGCCTCGCCATACCTACGTACATAGGATGAAGGTCGCGAGACCCATGTGTAACCGCTACATGCAGTCGTCCAAGCGAAGCGCTAATGACTACGCTAATCCCTACGCACATGATATGCCCGATGACAACATGTCTCAAGCTATTCGGCCGTTCTTCATCTTAGGCGAAACGGATCATCTACGGTGTTACCCCAACGATCAGCCAAACATTATGCGTACTCCAACATCGTCATGCAGCCAAATCCAATTTCGGTCGGAACAAGGAAATCCGGTGCCACGCCAGTTCGTGAAAGCCCTATACCTATCCTGGGAGTGATTGCTGTCCACGCATTGGATTGGCTAAGGGCACGGCGTGATTGGGATATGGAGACTTCAGTTAAATCTTTTTTGTTTTGCATATTTCTGTTGTCAACCCGAAGTAGGTTCAATCACTGAGCCGAGCCATTGAGCAATCTTTATCTTCAATCGTACAAGACATATTTTAAGAACACATAATATTGCATTTCCTGCACGATAGTGCTCAAAGTGTACCATGTTTGAATAATTAAGTTCTCAAGAATAGAAAAGTAAAGTTTCCAAAATCCAGTCGTCGGTGAAATAAATACCTCTTCACGTTGACATCAGATGAGCTCAACTAATGTAAAACTTTAAGATCGAGTCCCTGATCCCTTGCTTGACTTTGAAGATTCCCACCCCATGTGCCATCAATCCCGCTCCTCGCTCTCATCCCGTACCTACATTCTCGCCATCGCCCCCCATTTCCAGATCCACCTAACGTTCCCCAGATCCCCATCACATATCTATCTTCGCACCCGCCTTCACACCATAGGGTACTGCAGCACGAGCCACAATCTCATTCGATCCTAAAAAAAAACACCACTCGCATCAGCCCCATCCGCTCGATTCCGAACCTACCATCAACACCCGCACATTTGGAACGCAAAAAATCCCCTGAATTCCATCAAGTTCAAAAAAGAAAGAAAGAGAAACAGCGCAAAGGTAAAAGACTCACCATGATTGCCACCTATTAGTTCTAGTACTTGATATAGAACTCTCTCGCCCGCACCCGTGGACGCAACAGCCGTAGCGACCAAACAGATAACAAGCATGTAGCTAGGCAGCACTACGGCCCCGGAGGATGTGGCATGCGGAGTGTTATCGAAGGAACCGCCGTCGAGGGGAAACACGGTGAGCGTCATCATTGAACTTGAGCCGATGAATCCAGTTGAAGAAGGAATTAATATTTGCCGTTGACTCTCTCGTTTCGCCTAGCAATCCGACTTCCGTCTTCCTTTGAAACCCCGATGATCTTTCTGTATCGCGTTATCTTGTTGGATGAAGACTCGTCTTTCGAATTATAGTGAGGGAAGGAGAAGGAGAAGAAAGTGCAAAGTACATGGAAAACACGCTGGCTCTCTTTTTCAAGTCCCTGCAGAGACAGAGAGAGACATGCTTTTTCTGAGACAATGTCTGATTTCGGGGGGTTCTTGGGGGTGGATTTCGCGCCAGACACGCCCGCTTTGACTGTCTTACTTTGTGTCTTAAATTGACTTCGTTCAGAAACTCTGCGTGTTTATTTTTGAGCTGCGAATTCGTTTGAGGGGCTACTGCGCTGTGTGAATTGAAGACAAGTTGCGTAATGTGGTTCTATCAGCTTGCTCGATTCCGGTATCCCCTGTTTGGGGTTTGGGGGTTGTGGTGAAACAGGTGATACAGATGACTTTGGTTGCTTCCTTTTTTTGTGGGGATTGTATGGATTGTATTTGGTAGTGTGGAGAATCTGCGGAGGTTCTGGGCTTCCATTATCGACCCGGGGGGGTCTGGTAATCTACTAAAATAGTTGCGTGCATGCCTCGATGAGTTGTGATTGTCTACTTTGTAGACTGGTACTAAAAGACATACGCAATGCATTTCAAGAGGAATTTACATAGCAACTGCTAAAATGATATATTGGATTGAAGAAAATCTATCCGGGGTATTGAACAATTACAATGAAATCTATTCAGCGTCATCGTTATTTCTGACTTCGGCATATTCATATGCTTCGTCTCAACTCCGTGTACTCATCAAATAAGGGCTGAGTAGGCCCTACGTGAAGTGTGCTGGGTAACCACCGCGAATATACGCATGCCATCCCTTACTCCTCACGACCGCGCCTGCGGTTGTTATCAATAAACACCTTCTTGAATCTGAAATGGCACAGATCCTTCGTAACTCCCCAAGAACTCTTCACATTCTCCTGGACAAGTTGTCGGGTTGGCTTCTGGAATAGTTGGTCGATTTCCTCAAGAGTAAGATCCTTCGTCTCAGGCATAAAGAAGATCTGGTAGAACCATCCGACAACGGCGATGCCACCAAAGAATCCAATTGTAAGACCTGTCTTGGTAAAGGCTTCTTGCATGCCAGTGAAGTTGTAGGTGATGATGAAGGAGGAAAGAAACAGCCATGCAGTCGAGGTAGTCATCCCGTAGGACCGGAGATATGTAGGGTAGACCTCAGATGGAACGACCCAAGTGAGTGCGGCGTAGGAACCGAAGAACAACATGTACAGGACCAGACCGGTAAAGTATACAGCGAGTTTGCCGCTGAGATCAGTTATCTGGTAGGAGACGCCAACCAGGACGAGACCAACCAGAAATCCAGGCAGCATGGAAATAGCCCAGAAACGACGTCCGCAGGTTTCCATGAGGAATATAGCGGGAATTGTGCCAAGCAAAAGCGAACCTCCACCAACAAGCGAAACATATGTGGAATCGTAGGTATTAAAGCCCATTTGCGACATCAAAACTCCGAGGTAGTATAAAATTGCATTTACACCGGTAAATTGACCTAAAAACACCATTATGTTTGCGTAAATAATGGCGCGTCGTGGTCGTGGTTTGGTAAAAAAGTCCATCCATGGGAAACGGTTGGTGCGTTGAGCGGCCACCTCAGCCTCCTCCATCTCGGTGCTAACTTTCATAACGAAGAATTCCTCACGCGCCTCGTGCGTAGAGATACCACGAATACGCTTCCATACCTTGAAGGACTCAAGAGGCTTCTTCTTGTGCATCAGGTATCGGGGGCTTTCCGGCATGAAGAGAATACCGATACCCATGATGGTGGAGAACACGAGCGAGGAACCGAGGATATAGCGCCAGTTTCCTGGGACTTTGATGAACATGGCAGCGACGGCGTAGCCAAGAACTTCTCCTAGCGCGATGTTGAATTGATACAGCGAGACAATGTTACCACGCATTCTGCTCTCGACAGTTTCGGCGACATAGACAGGGACAGTACCTCCTTCGAGACCGACACCAGCTCCCAGGATGACACGGGCGGCAACAATCATTCCGTAGTTCATGGATCCAGCTTCGAGAGCGCCGCCAATGGTATAGAGAATGCAGGAAATAATAATGGCCCAGCGGCGACCAAAGTACTCATTGCATGGCGAGATGAGCAAAGCACCAGCGACAGCTAGATGAGTTTAGTCCGAGTCTCGAAAATGGAATATCTTTTTTGGAGACTTACCACCTAGAGGCATACCAGAGTTGACCAGCGAATTTTGTTGATCGGTAAGACCCAAGTCTTGGGGAAGTGTCAAATTGGCACCGGAAATAAGCGACTGATCGAGACCAGAAAGCAGACCACCCATGGAAGCAAAAACAATAAGCATCCATGTGAAGTGCTTAGGGTTTTTGAATTCGAGGTCAAAAAACCCTTTCTTATAATTGGCCTGCTCAAGCTGCTTTGAAAGATCCTGGATTAGATTCTCGGATTCCCATCCTCTCGCATCTTCAAGCTGCTCTGTCCGGGCCTTTGGGGCAGAATAATCGGGTGCAGGAGCAACCTGAATGTTGTCATTCTTTTCAGTTTGGAGCTGCGGGTCTGCCGATTTGTTGCCAACCTCGGCCATCTTGGTATCCTTCTCGTCCATGATGGGCAGTGATCAGCGAAGGAGAGGGCGTTCGAAAGAGGGAGAAGAGACGCAGCAGAATCGCGAGTGATCTCTCACACACGAAAAGAAAAAAACACTTTTCAGTGTACGTTTTCTTCCTTTATAAACCCCAGTGGAGAAGATCGGTGCCCATGGAGAAGTCCCCATGGTGCTCCTCATACGACTATAGTGACGTAATGTGGAGTCTCCATGGCACAGAGACAGCAAATTTTCTGGCTTGCATGCAAAGCGATACCGGGTCCCTTGCAAAAACACTAAGCGCGAGTCTAAAGCCGGTTGTTACAGGTTTGCCAATCGTCGTCCAGTAGCAGTAGAGATGGGCGTTGATAGACAAGCATCGGTCCGACGTCTTGGTGGAGCTTGGCTGCAAAGAAGCTTCTAGCGCCCCACATGAGGCTCTGCGATCCAACAAAGTTTTCGCCCGAGATATCCACCGATTGCACAAGAGGCAGGGTGTGCGTGTCCCCTCGTCTCGAACGTCATTCCCCGTGGAGTTTGTTGGAGGTTCCTAAGCTCGTGCAAGCAAAACCCCGCAAAGCTGGACATACAGTAGGTAAAGATAAGCATCGAGTAGCATGCGGGAGTGGCGGACGACTAGTCTTTGCAACCAGTTCTCAACACCGTTCAACTGCCGGAGCCTCGACCGACTTCACTTCAGTCAAAGCGTCAAAGCCATGACGTCGTTATACCATTGGATGCATCAAAAAGCGGTGCGAATTGCCAAAAAGTAGCAAACCAGTTCGACGCACGTATCACCATCGGAATCGGAGGGCGGAGGAAACCCTGGTCAGTGAGGCACTCTTCCAGGTTTACCACCGGGGTTTCGGCGCCCATACCCTTTATGGACGTAGCCGTAGAGGGCGGAGGGAGGGAGTGTACCTAGCTGTAGTACACCGTCCGACATGTTCCGCTCCAGCCTCGCCTCCCCCAGCCTGGAGGTCCTGCAATAGTGCTGCTAGGCCCACTCTCCAGAAACCCCAGGGGCACCAGAGCCATGTGTTGGGGCCACCTCGGGTAGAACCGGCCATGGAATACGGAGAAACGAACGTATAGCATTCGACATTTTGTGAAGATCAAAGTGAGACGATAGTCACCAGCGGCAGGATGAGCTTTGTTACGAGTCAATTTCTACAGCTCCACCAACCATCAATATGAGTTGTACAAATCCCGACATGGCACCACGCCCCACTACCGTCGAAGCCCAAGGTGCACTAACTTACGAGCTACGAATGAGCACAAAGATCACAGCACCAAATTCTCTGAACTGGAATTTTTGTTTCCATTTACGAATTCAATTGTTTGTATTTGTTCGGCGTATGGCGTATCAGCTTTTTTTTAGAAAGGAATGGCAGACCACACCTCACTCTACCGGAATTGAGTATCAAAAATCCCCATTTACATAAACCAGTAGTAACTGTACAAATCGTCTTCACGAGTCAAGAAATACCGCTCACACATGCTCGATCTGCTAGTTTCCTATTCCTTCCGTTGCTATGTGCAGCTCCACTATGAAGTGGTACTCACTAACATCGTTCCATGACTCAGATATCGAACGAGAGAATCATAACGGCATTAGTTGCTTCTGCAATAACTTCATTGGACGCGACCGAAAAAAAAGACAAAGAGGCCTACTTTCACGGCTTGGGTTTAAGTGAGGTGGACCACATTGCTTCTAAGCAAAACTTGACACTCACACCAAAGGGTTTGTACGAATGGTCACAATAGACGATTATTTTATTAACGATGAACAGAGCATATTCATGTCCTTTAGCCAGAGTACCAGGCAGCGGATCAATACGTTTACGATTTCCAACTGGAAGGTCCCCGGACAAAGAAAAAGAGATGCGTACTGCACGTTCATAGGTTCAAGCTACCACAGTAAACCCTGCCATCATTTACACCAACAACATCGCCGACAAAACACGGAACATTGCACCAGCATGAAGGGTACGGAAAACCATATCAGCAGACTATCTATTTCATTCATCAAAAAGTCGATGTATATTCATGCACGCTAAATACCCAACAAACACAACCATGATCACCTCAGATCTTCTCATCCTCAAACAACACCACCACCACCCCCCAAACCTCCCGTCAACCCCTTCATTCTCCTCCCCAGCAAATCATCCTCTGAAGCCAAACTAACCAAACTCTTTCTTCTACCACGCTCACTCTTCCTTACTCTACCCCTACCCCTTACATTCAAATCTCGTTCTTTTACAGACTGATTGTTCTGCGGACTTCTCTTCCCCTTATTCAGCACCGTCATTTCCAGCGGTCTATCCTCATCAATCGAGCTCGCAGTCCCCGTCCGGCGATGGTGTCGCCCACGCTGTGGCGATGTAAGCCCATCAATCGCATCCGCCAGTCCCACCGTACTGAAATAATCGCCTCCTGTATCGCCCGGCCGTCTGACTGAAGCAAGCGGCGTGTACATGGGCGTTTCTAGCTCGCCTTTTTCGGCATCGGCGTTAAAAGCCTCGGTAATCCATTTGCCACAGCGATGAATGTACTTCCAGCCCTCGGGGAACACGCCTACGAATTGCAAGAAGCCATGGCTGATACCCGGGATGAGATCGACGTTTACCCAGTTCTCTTCGTCAAACTCGCCGCGAGCCCAGTCGAGACCGAGGTCTTTTGCTGCTACCCATTCTGCGCGCTTGGCCTGTCGTAGACGTCCAGCGAAGATGACGGTGTCGTCGACAAGCGGGTCACGCTCACCAGTCAGCATCCAACACTTTGGGAATTTTGCTAGGAGAGACTCTGGTGCAAGCAGCGGTGAAAGAAGAAAGTCGGTGCTAAAGTCTGGACGATGGTGCGGGCCTATATACAGGATGATCATAGCCCGCATCATTTCCGGCGTCAGAATGCGGTCGTTGAAGTACGAAATCATACTCGATGTTGCAAGGCGAGTTTTAATGGTGGTTGTAGGAGGTGCTGGCAATGATGCGCCTGGAGTAGGTGGCTGAGTCGCTAATGGCGTAGGTGGCATACTGTTGGTGCTTGCTGATGCTACCTGACCGGCGGCAGTGTTACCGTTGGCAGTGGTATTGCTTGTATCGAGGCGAGGAACGGAGTGGTTGTCTATGCCAGTATGGGCAGCAGAGAGCCTGATCATCGTCTGGGCAGATTTGAGGGTGCGAGTGGAAGTTGCATTTGCACCATTGGTTATGCTTGGTTTCTTGGTATCATCATCGCTGTCTGTATCAGATCCATAAGGAGTATTCGGCGCAAGGTGTCGGTAGTCGTCGCTCTTATGTCGAAGAATAGGACGATTCGTCTTCCTCACCCTTCGGTCGCGGATAAGGGCCATCTGCTCGTCTGACATCCAGTTTCCAATGTTCATATCCAGCGCTGGATAGACCAGCACTACGCCGACAGGTGGTGGCAATGCGCGTTCGCCCTGCCATCTTCGCGTTTCTGTTGAACCACTTTGGAGAACCATGAGCACCATACCCACAGCCAAGTTACCGCCTGCCGAATCACCACAAACGACAACTTTGGGTTCGACTTCTCCCGATAGGCCCATACATGTCCCCCTCGAAGCCATGATCATATGGTAGACATCATAGCACTCGTTCAGCGCATATGGATACGGGTGTTCAGGTGCCTTTTTGTAGTCCAGACTCAGCACAGGCAGACCAGTCTTACCAGCCCATCCCATGAGCTTATCATCGTGGTTTCTTGGATCCATAGCAACGAAGCCCCCACCAGGTATATCCAGCACAATCTTATCGTGCTTCTTAAGCGCGCTCCGTGGGCCGTTGAAATATAACCACGCAGTCACAGGCTCTTTATACGAACTGGCTCTTGGTCGTGGTATCCTGATTTTGCGTGGCGGGTACACCATCAACCTTGGGCGCATCAAACTGGTCAAGGCGCCAAGATACGGCGTCGTTCCTTTGTTCCACGCGACACGGAGGTGATCGACGGTGAGAGTAGCCCTGATCTTTCTCACCTTCTCGTCGGCCTGCTCTGCGCATATCATATAATATATGCTAAACACAATCGACAGGAAATCTCTCAGGCCCTTTCGCTTGATGCGCATGGCAGACCAGAAGCCTGCATCCAGCGCCGTTGTAACCCATGTTGCGCGGAAGTAGGAGCGCGAGTAGAGACTTGCGAGCGGCTCGGGGCACTCGAGGCCGACGAGCTTGCCAAAGTTGCGGGCAACGTAGAGGTAGAGGAGCGTTACGAGGACTGATTGCCACACAGTCAGTTTCCTGGAAAGAAGGGCGGAAATGCGGCGGACAATTGGTGGGCCATGGCGGTCGCCTCTAGAAAGGGAGGATTGTAAGCATGTGTTATTGGTAAACCGCGTGAGGGCTTTACCTGTAAAGATAAAAGGACCAGAAAGATACTACTGCTAGCACTTGGATCTTTCGAAATTGCACTGACGGCCGCCCAAGTACATGATCTATCATGGCGCAAGCTCGTTCACTCTCGCTCGCACGGCGCTTCCCTTTATAAAAGCGCACTCGGATGTTCTTATTCTGAACCTGTCAAATAAAGAGCTTGCCTGGTTCAGCGTCATGAAAGGTGTCAGAGTCGGGTCTCCACGGTGGTTGTAGCGGCCAAGTCTTGCACCAGCATATGCGAATGCCAGAAATGTGGGAATCCGGGGTATGTTGCGGGCGGCGCAACCTGGGGTAATAAAAGACGGGGGAAGGGATTGTACTACAACTAGTGAGATCGGTGAGAAGGAGAGGGGACAAAGATTGGCATGCTTTCAGCCCATGGCCATCCATGTTTCTGAATAGGCGTCAAGGCCGTCGACAAGCGCGGCGCATTTGCTGCATGAGGCTCTGTGGTTGGGTGAGGGTTCGGCATGTGACAAGCTGCTGTGGATGCGTGCGTGCCATGTGAAAGCTGCGCTATGACATGTTCTCGGCTTTGGCAACATTTTGTCCGAGAAGTCGCGTCATGCATCCCAGCGGGAGCCTAGTCCGCCAGCCACGGCATTCTCCAGATCTCCATGTTCTCTGTCTGCTGATTGCTATTTCTAGTAGTAAGCCAAGCACGTGAATGGAATTTTAGCTATGCGACGGTTGTATTAGTATGGTATAGTATGTGACTGCCATTATAAGTAGAGGTACGAGGGGTTTTAAGAATAAACAACATGTATGACGGAAACTCGTCATATATAGTGTATACCATAACTGTAGAAATTCCGGAGTATTGTTAAAGAAGAATAGGTATAGTAAGACCGCCAACACCCCGAATCGCGTGCCAAGCTATGTACCATGAATGGGTTAAACACCTCGTGTGCAGCCCCAATTTAGGCCCGTCACAACTGCGTCACAACTCTGACAGGGGGGCTGCAACCAATGATCTCTTCAAAACCAGAGAAGCACTGTAACAAGAATAGAAAAGAAAAGACAAAAACATCCATCGTACCTCACCAACTCTCACCTTCTAGAAATGAAATCGTTGTCCGTACGTAGTATACGTAGGTCCAAGTAAGCATCCTTACCTGACGGCCTTGATCCACTCCTCAACCTCAAACCCAACCCTCCTCAAATCGGGCTCGGTAAACTTCCCTTCTTTCTCCTTGTACACAGTGAAGCACCTGCTGGCATCGTCCATATCAGGCTTTTGCCCGATCTGACCCTCCTTGGCATCGTAGCTCTTCACATACAGGGTGAGATCGGGGCCGACGGTTCCCCGCCAGAGCGTGGCCATCCACTGCCAATGATCCATCGCGCTGTACGCGTCTTGAATGGGGATACGAGACGCGTATGCGACAGATGCATGGAGCTGGAAGGTTGGCAGGATGATAACGGGCTTGGGAGTTGCAGCAGGAAAGTTGTATAGCATGGTGGAGTCTTTGCGCGAGGTAGTAGTACTGGTAGAAGTATTTTTGTCGGACATGACGATATCTTGACAAGAGAAAGCGGCTGAAGAGGTGGTAGTGATATACTCAATCATCTCTTTGCTCTTGCCATGCCACTCTTTGATCAAGTCGAGATAGTCATCGAAAGTAACGTCCTTGCCATCATTGCCAGGAACTCTTGGTGGCTCGGTGATCTGGGGCTTGAACTCGCCTTGTTTGGCAAGGTGCTCGTTGAGCCATTCGGAAAGCTCTTTGACCGCAGCCAGATTGTCACCTTCGATGGCGACAATGGCGCCACGGCCTTCCTTACTAGATGGCATTCTCTCCCTGAGCTCTTTGTATGGAGGTGTTATGCGACCAAGTAGCTTGATCTTATTTCCGTACGCATAAGCACTGAGAACTTCTTCTACGCTTCTAGGACTGGAGCTGTGAGACGAAGGTCCCACCTCCACTATCGAGAGCCTTCCATCACGAGGAGTGCGGGGAGGCGGCATGGTCGCGCTGTTCGGGGGCGAATACCGTATCTGAATAGGAGGCAAAGATTCGCGCCTGGCGTACTGTGTTGAAGGAAAGTAGGGCCCATCTGCTCTGAGACCGACGGCAGGGTGTGGATGTCCATATTCAAACCTTCGTTTCTTATTCGGTGTAGAAGGGCTTGGGGCCGTTGAGTCGTCACGTATCGCCGAAGTGACTCTCAGTTTGAGATGGTTGAAATTCGGAGGACCGTGACCCCGTGGGTGAACAGGTGACTCCATGCTAAGGTTGCTAATCACTGGTAGGTAGCGAGTCGTTGGTGTGATACCTTCAGTGATGTTAGGAGGAGGCAATATAGGAATGCCAGAAGGATCAAGATATGGACTGGTAGGCGTCTTGATACTGCGACCGCCACACCGTTGACAACGATATTTGTCAACAGTGGTATGCTGCCCGAAAGGGTTCAGAGGCGATGAACCAGATTTGCCTATTCGACGTGGCTGATATCGGTAGTCGGGATACTGTTCCTGGTGCCTAGCCTTCTCCTCCTAAACACCATCAATATGAAGATAGGCAGCCGGAAAGAATTGCAATACCAACCTGTGCAAGGTCTTGCCAAATCTTCTTGTGCTCTTCAGGTTCAGCCTTCCACTGTTCACCGATGATCTTGGAAATGTCAGGGTTGTTGAGACCAGGGTTACGAGCAATGATAGCCTGCTGATGGTGCTGCCGATAGAGGATAAATGCTGTAAAGGGTGGTCAGCAGACTGCGCAAGTATCTTCTGCAAACAAAGCAGTATTCTTTGTTCTGATTCGGATTCCGGATTATGACGATATGGTTGGAAGATAGACCACTGCGGGACAAAGAGAGATCTCGAACCCACTATTCCTGGGCCGGGGTATCTTTGGTTCTGGCTGACAGAGACAAACGTGGCCTACGAAGTCCGGAGAACCAGCGGTTGTTGATGTGGCACTTGGAGGTGGCTTTTCATCTGTCGGACTGCCAGATTCCTCGCTCTCAGATGCTTCCACAAGGGAAACAAGCCTTTTCCTTGTAGGCTGAGGAGACGATATGCCAGTTGGCGATGGATCGTTGTCGTAGTTGTGCTCGGTGGTAAGATTAGGCATTGAAGTAGAGTGTGACTCTTGGATCCGACTACTCTTACGCAAACTCCGTGGGGGCATCGTGGCATCTATAGGGGAGTGTGGAGAAATATGTTCCGTTTGCATTGTGGATCTGACGTAGCGCCTTGGAATGTTGAAGAAAGTCGCGACGGAAAGTGGAAGTGAAGACGGAGGAGGTGAAGTCCAAACAATCGGTGGCAGCACTAGACTTGCTAGCATTTTTTTTTGGGTATTAACAACAAGATAGCTACGCTAGTGAGCTTCTTCAAGGAAAGCTACGATTCATTGTCCCGCTTTTCAATGAGTACGAAGGCAACGAATTGGATCGACTACGCAATATTTCAGGTTTCTTTAAATGCACTATGCGACATGCGGACGCGTAGCCTTTCCGGTCCAGTAAGATTATTGCTCCAGTCCGATGTAGTTGAGTTCTCTTGGGAGTTTCTTTGTTCTCTAATGTCCAAAAGCGGCAAGGCCCTGTCCATCAATTCGCGAGACATTGCGGCACGCCTGCAGCCGCCATGTAAGGGATGATAACAATGCAACCCGCTCTTTCACGGTAATTGCCAAATGGCGCGGTCTCGGGAGATGCATAGAGATGTTGCACATCGAGCCAACACACTATGCTACAAGCGGGGTGCAATATGTGTAGTGTCGCTGAGCATCAAGTACCGTTGTAGGGGCTTGGCCAAGTTTTAAAAAAGTGTCTTTAATACAACTTGCTAATACCCGGGAGGAAATTTGAGTGTGAAATGCTCAGCCTCTTGTTTCTCAGGTTTCTCCTTGTCGTCGGAGCCCTGCGTCTGTTGCTCCTTGTCCACGGATTGGTTTCCGCGGATGAGGCTGACGGCTTGGTTCCCTATTAGTGCATGGGCCGGTCCGCTGAGTTGAACGTCATCCCTTTTGTCTGGTCAGCCTGAGACAATGCGTTTGTGTCGTGAGTGACAAACCAAAATAAGTGCTCAGCTGGCGTGGAGCATTTCTGAACGTCGGATGCTTGCAGACTGCCCGCACTACCTCGCTGCGAAGCTAGACATGGTTGCTCAATGTGTTCAAAAAGAGGCGCTTGTTTGCCAACGCCAAATGCATCCGAGAGTTGTTTCGAGTGAAGTTGCTTGGCTCGGACTTCTTGCATGATCGCCTCGTTCGCCTCTGGCATGTACACTATACCGTTCTTCCAATTTTTCGCAGTCCGATGCAAAACTAGATTCCAATATGACCACAAGAAGATGAGTCGGTGCTGAGTTTCCGCAAATTGGGCCTCACGCATAGCTTTCTTCTTCATCTGGAACCGAGGTAGGAAACTAACGTCAATCATCTTCGGGATGACGACCTTGGCTGGGAAAGGGACATCTGCAGCCAACACATCAAGTTGGCGAAATAATGATGTGATGCTCTTATTAATTGCGTACATTGCAACACTCTTCTCCAGCGCCGAGTAATCCAGAAGGTCCCACAGGCCAAAATAGACTGCGAAGAATGTCCACTCATCCTCTTTACGTAGGCGTTGCGGGATGAGTCGTCTTCCTTTGTTGTATGTGACAAACTGCTCCACTTGTGCCTTGAAGTCAAACGACATGACAGCGCTGCTATTGCTTTCTGAGCCCATGGCTTCCGCGTAGACTGCAGCGTCAACCAAAGCACCAGTCTGCGCCCCATCAGCCGCCATTGGCACTGAGTGTGCGAAGTTGTCAACAGTGTCACATTCGAGCTGCCGTGTGTGTCAGGCCACGACTTCTTCAGAACATGTGGCACTTACCTTCTTGCATAATGTCTCTACCCACAAGTCGCCTCGATCCACATCGCGAGCAACGATAGCAGACGACGCTGACGATGAGACACGGTAACTGCCCGTGTCTGACCAATCGTTACCAAACACCACGATGCGATGCGCACTTCCGCGCCAAACGGTATGTACAGTTTCCTCAAAGCCGGCTGAGTTCATCCAGGTAATGTACAAAATCGTGAAAATAGCAAGAGCAGCACATACGTGCAGCCTTGACACGAACCGCATCGTGTCGTCGATCAAACCCTGGAAGTAGATGAGAGACCGAGGCAGTAGGGTATTGATGATGTGAGGTGTCTTAGGGGATCCAGGTCGAAACCAATGTTTTGTCAAGAGATAGGCTGTTGTAAGCGGCAATAAGCAATGCCGTTGCAGCCAGCGAGCAAGTAGCATGACGCGTCGGTGCAGAACGAGTCTTGCTGTGGGTATCAAACCCGGACGAACAGGGGCCACAAGCACGATCCTACAACCAAAAGTGGGCATGTGTCACATGTGTAGCAACAGTCTCAGCGTTACCAAGCCATACTTGCTGTCAGTCGATGAACATGCTCCCAGCCTGGGCGATTCGCCACCCACCCCCGTTCTCAGGTCAGGCTCCTGAGCCATTGTTACTGCTCCAATACTATGTATAGATGTTGTGCGCTTCAGGCCAAAATCAATGGGACATCAGTAGCTTGCACACGTGGTTGGTTCGGGTTACTCGGCATAAAGGCCCACTTTGTGGCGTAATCTGTGGGGCGTACGTCTTGGATCCTTACGTATATATCCATAACGGGCAGAGATGAGTGGAGGAAACACCATGCAAAGCCACTTATGCCAGGCACGCTATGCTGCTAAAACTCAATGCGCCATCCTGTCTGCTTTGTGAGACCCGGTTAGCTATAACGCCGGTCATCACCCCACGTGTACAGTTCACTCTTCATTGAACTTCAAAATCGAAAACCTTTTCATAAGGAAACCTCGCGTTGCTCCCGCATCGTCAATCCATTGTGCAACCACAAATGCTTTTTCCGCCCACCTCTTGGCCTTTTCGTCGTTCTCCTGCACATAGTAGTCGATTGCGCGATTGAATGCGGTGGTCGCTAGCCACTCTAACTCCGTCTTAGGATAGCGCTCGGTTTCCTTGGTCATCTTGTCAGCCAAGTCTGCAGTGTCTTCATCTGTGCATAAACTAAAAGTGCTCGTGGCATGTCTAACCTCAAGGGGGCAGTGATAGGGTATTATCGCAATGGGCGCAGAAAATTATAGTGACAGGACTAGGAAACTGGAGACTCACGCCCTGCTTTGTTGCCGCGATATGTGTGACTTGGTCGATGCATCTGAGACTAGATTCATCATCAAACGGGAGTGAGAGGCTGAAAAGGCATCGGAGCCATCGAGACAATTTTGGCATGTCGCTGCCTGGTTGTCGGCTAACTAGATTGACTATCTTCTGGAGAACAGATAGTACTTCTGTGAGGTGTGTTAGTCTAGCTCTGACGATGCTTCTTCATAGTCGTCTCACTTTTCTGGTACTTGACGTCTAGTTCTGCTTGTACGATACAATGATAGGTGACCAAAGTAAGATCGGCCAGTGTTTCGTAGTGATCTGGGTTCTTATATACCCAGCACTGATCAAAGAGTTCGTCAAGCTCATCCCATTTCCGAAGCTTGAGTGCAGCTTCAAGTTCTAACTTGACAACCTGGAAGTGCTTCGAGATTATGTCGGCTTTGGCAGACTCACTGAGCCTGTTGATGATTTCTGATACGGCGCGTCGGAAGTTCTGACTATGCTTGCGGACTTCCAAGTACTGTTGAGCCTATCCAAGTCGTTACTGTTGATCTAGTTTTCAGACGTACAGCGAGCACAACTTACATTTTGCTCAACATTATCCTCCGCACGCGCCAAAATAATCCAAGTACAAGCAGCAAGAAACTCACAGAAGAGCAACCGAAGATCAAGATCGTTACTCGTATTTGAAATATCTTTTTCTTTGAGTAGTTTGATGAACTGAGAACCGTCAATAACTTCTTTTCACGTTTTCACAGACTGTACTGACCTCCACACAGCAATCAAGGAGCCTGATAAGGTGTGCTGGGGGCATCTCAGCACAGTGTTTTAGTGATAGATTGTAAGAGTTCTTAGAGAACCATTCGAACTCCACATCTGTGAACATCTCTTTGGTAGGAGTGCTTGGCCTAGTTCGAGATGCTTTGGCCTGATCACGGGCTTGCTAACGTTAGATGAGTCTTCGCATCAAGTCTTCTCACATACCTCCTTCGAATGACTTGCAAAGCTGTTCCAGAATGGCAATTTCGATTTTACCATCATTGATGAGTTCAGATTGCAGCATACGCGTAGTTGATCTGCTCGTGTAAGAAGCTGCAAACCTTTTCAGGATAGGAGACTGACCGCAAAAGTGCAGGTAAATGTACACCTGTTGTGGCGCCATGCTCATATTTGTCGAGAGCCTTTCGTAGGGCGTTGATCGCTTGCCTCTTATTCCCTGCTCTCTGAGCTTCCATCACACAAGCATAAAGAAGTGTCATGTCCTTAGCAGAACTCCGACAGATGTGATCCAAGCATTCAGTAGCTACATCGTCAGTAAAAGAAATGATCATTCCTGAAGACGCGCTTACTAGAATCCGCATCTCCACTTTGCAATGCTACCTTGTACATCAGATACCGTGTTACTGGTTCATCTCTACCAGTTTCAGTCATCCGAGCATATGCACTTCTAGCCGCCTCGTAGTCCCGGCGAGTAAGGGCGCACTGGATAATCTTCCTACACTTTGTAAATATCTCAATCAGTAACACAAAAGATCTGTAGCACCTTGACACTTTGGCTTGATTCTGTACTCCGGCCTTGTCAAATATAGGATGAAGGCACATATGACACCATGCTTCGGCCATTTTGTGTTTCTCTTGACTTACTGCCAATTCTACACACTTCCATAGCAACTGCATGTTCTTATCAGTGATTCGATCCAGTATTTGAGACAAGTAGAGCCTACCGTTTGCGCAGCATGTGTAGCAGGCGCAGAGATGGGAGATGGCAGATTTTGCGAAACGACGTCGAAGCGATCCTGCAGTTGTTCAAGCGCGTTCTCGGGAGAGTTTCTAGTGGTACTAATCCAGATGCGTGTAATGATAGCTTTTTCAATCCATTGTTGATTCTCTTCTCGAAAGAGGCGTATATCTATCAAGTCATCGAGTGCCTTGATGGCTGTAGCATTGCTTCATGGAGTCAGTGATTGAACAAACATATCAGATCAAGTACGCACTCGTGTTCATTCATTTTGTGTATGTGATGCATGAGCCTACTCAGAATCAGCGAGATCCATGTGTATGCAGATCAACTAAGCATCGTTCAGGTCACGCACGTCTTGAAATTTGTTTCATTGAGAACAATGGTACGAATCATACGCAGAAGAACTGTGATTATTAGCAATTAGATTCTGAAAAATCCCAGGGCCTCACCATTGTAGAACTCGGGGGTATCGATCTTTTCAGTTTCGGAAAGTAGCTCAAGTTTTAGTAGCAAGACTCCCATCTTGTCTCCGAAGTCCTAGGAATCAATTAGTGCTAGCCCTAAACAGGCGATGTATAGCTCTTACTATCTCCATTAGCTTCACTATCTGCCATGCCTTGTCTTGTATCTCGGGGGTGTTTATCTTCATGTATGCCTGGACTAGCGCATGTTTCAGCTCGAATCTCACAAAAAACGTTCTAGAATGTACCAATGGCTTGCATGATGCTAAGTCTCAGCTCTCCTACTTCCGGACTGAGCATCTCCAGGTCTTGTCCGTCAAAGACATCATGTGCGCGTTCCAGCCACCGAGACGCTAAATTGTAATCGCGCTTCGCTAAAGCACCTTTTCCGATTTCGTAAAGTAGGTCTGCGAGGATTTCGGTTGTTGTGGGTGCGAGTGTCGTCATGAGCTGCTTGCATTTGATGAACAAGTGCTCTGCGGTGTCCATGCGATCCTGACGCCATGCCTGTAATACTGTAAGCTATACCTAGCAACTGCAGAGAAGTTCACTTTGAACATAGCTGATGAATCTCACTAAGGTCGTTCGAACTGCAAAGTACTGAGCTCTCAAGTCATCTGCAAGCTCCTTCTCCTCTCTACGCTTGTCGTCGCCTTCTTGACTAAGGACATCTTGATAGTCCGCAGCACGTTCAAGCACTTTGGTCGCTATGGCCAGCTCATCACCTTGGATACATACCCTAGCTGCTTTTAGCGCGACCTTCATAAGACGGATGTAGTTCTTGCGCTGGCGGCGTTTTGTATCGTGACCGCCGGCGGAGTCGAGAAGCAAGAACGAGAAGGCGCGCAGGAGAGACAGAGTACGTTTTTGGTTCGCAGTAACATCACTGGATTGAATGGTAACATCTGTTTCGTTCCGTCGCTGTCTTATAGCCAAATTCCATAGCTCGGTGCCGAGCCGGTCGAGCTCCTCTTGCTTCGCGAGGACTGTAGAGGAGGCTTGGAGGGGAAGGGTGCGAATATGAACCTGCAGATCATCTGTAAGTGCCGCATCGTGACCGCTTTCGACCCTCTGGATGAGTGTTGTGGCGAAAGCTATGCACTGGTGAGTGCTGTGTTGGATCAATTCTCATAACTCGTACTCACTGAGGACTGCTTTGAGCTTCTTCTCGCGCTCTACTTTTGCTACAGACTGGAACGACGGCATGAATGCACAAAGTTAGTAGTACATGTGGTGTGATGAAAGAGGGTGATGGGAAAGGTGGTAAGGTTGGAAGGATGTGACTCCCACTTGGAAACTAGCTGTGCAACAACGAGGAAGGTACGGTTCACAACCATAACACAAGCTTTGTTTTGGATAGCAAAAAGAACTAAAACACAAGGAGCCTAGAGCAACACTAAAGCCAGATATGGATATCTTTCGCAGCTGCAATCACACCACTACGTATGCACGCAACCCTCCAGTCAATTAAGCAATGAAACGTATGTTATGTGTCACATCATATGCGCGCAACCTCCACAACCCAGCAGCTCCATCATACAGTTTTGAATACAGAAATCAGATCAAAGTACTACGACGCAGGTAACGGGCCAGAGGTAGCCTCGGTTATAGGAAGGAAGTTGCCGACAATCAACGCGGGTCTAACAATTGTCAGCATAAGATTTTGTAGGAAGGGCATGTCTACTCACATATTCCAGGCATCTCGCTTGACAGTGAAAGAGAAACAGCAACGTATTTCGGGATCCTTAGAGTTCGGATCAGGGTTTTTCAACGAGCAGCTCGTCAGAATAGCTTTCTGAGTGTGATCAAAGGCGATTGCACCAAACTTTTCCCAGTATGATACCAACGATGGCTCAGCAATGATCTCATGTAGAGCAATGTTCCCCTTGATGTGTCAGTACCTATCGGCTCAGTGGAGATGAATAAGGAACCTACGTCTCGTAGCTTTGATATTGGTACGTGAATGAGCCGTGCCATTTCCTTGTTGCCTCGATAAATCTCGCCTGTTCTTCGCCAACAACAAGCTGGAATAGCCATGCTTGCGAACACACGATCGTACTCCATCAAGCTCTTGTCGAACCACATTTCGATACGCACCAAGTCTACATCGGTCAGACTTTGCATTCGTTCTCGAAATTTTGGCCGGAAGCGGTCCAGTTGGCGCAATACTCTGACGCGGGATATTTGCTGCAGATTCTGTTCCATGTACTGGTTGAGTCTTGCATAGCCCTTGACATAGTTGAAGGGCTTCAATAGTCCTGCGTCTACTTTTGCCTTGAGTAGTTTGTTCATGCGCTCTTCCGGGCTATCCGATCCGGCCGGGTCAGCAGCTGTTATGAGGTATCTTTCTCTTGCTTTGTCAATAGGCACCCCGCCTGCGGATCGTTGTGCTGTATTAGCAGCAGCATTCTGCGCAGGTGGGGGAAGCAACTGTTGCTGTCTTGATCCATTAGGATTGAAAGCAGAGTTGCTGTTTAGAGAGCCCATTGAGTTCATAAGGGAAGCGTCAGAAAAAAGAGAGTGGAAGTCATTGCCTCCGTAGAAAGCACCGTCGTCCATGAGGCTGTTGTTGAGAAAGTCGTTGAGCAGATTATACTCGTTGCTCACTTCTGAGGTATTGAACATATATGAAGGATGAAAGTGCATGTCCTGAAAGTTGTTCCGTGACGATGAAAGCAAGTCATCATAGTTCCCAACTTTAAGGCTGTCAGTGACGATGACAGCTTGGGGCTGAGAGAAGTGTGACTTACAGGGCTGATTACTAGCCGTCAAAGCAGGCGGCTGTGGCGCGGGTACGGGGCCGGGTTGAGTACCTGATGCCGTGCTTGCATCTCCATTAGGGGGCAGTTGATGCGGTGCCAAATTGAGTCCGGCATCTGGAGCAGTGGGCTGTTGGAGGGTGGCGGCGGGCGCTGCTTCGGACGTGGCGGGTTCAATCTGAGGAGGCTGACTCTGTCCTTCGCCATTGTCTGGCTCAGACTTGGCCTTCTTGACACCTTCTCGAGGCTCATCACGACACAGGTGGCCAATGTTTCGCTTGACACAGCGTGTGCATGGTCGTTCCTATGTTCGCATAAGTCCAACCGTGCCTACAAACTGCGAAGAAGATGGTGATGACTATACTCACGAGATCACAGGTCATGTGCTGATTGGCATGTGGTCAGCAAGCAGTAATAATAATTGTCGTACACGCATCAAAGTGCCATGTGTCAAACGTTGATGTACTGGCTATGGCTTACCGAACGTCTGCAGTAGATGCATGCTACATTGGGGCGTCAAAAGTCAGCAGGGCTGTGGAGACGTGTGGAGATGCACAGCATTGGAGGCCTACCATGATTGACCTTTCTTCGCTTTTTCGAGGTCTTTGCAGGCGCCTCGGAGCCGGTCGCAGTAGGCTTGGTTTTTGAAGGCGAGGCGCTCTTTGGCGCATTTGGTTCGGAAGCAACATTGGCCTTGTTAGCCTCACCGTGTTCCGTCATGGCGACTGGAGAAGATCCATTGGATCGTCGTGCAGCTTCCGTCATCCAGTGCGGTAAGTGGGTGGGTCGAAGCCGGATGCTTTTCTTGGAGATGCGCGGGCTTGATTGGTGTCACTACAGGGATCTCGTCACGCACTGCAGCATCGCAAGGAGCAGCGAAGGTCGACAAGCGCCAGAAGCCGCGACCTTTGTTGCACGGACGAGTTTGTCGTGGCGGAAAACGCGTGGCGGAGGTGTATAGTTTTGAAGACAGGAGGGCCAAGTGAATGTCTGGTCGCGTGCTTTGCCGAAGCGAGGGAATATTCCGGAATAACACCACTGCTACGCAATCGGCGGGGGAGCTGCGCCGCCCACCCTGTCAGCCAACCGTTTAACAACTGCTTAACCCGCCCATGGCTTTTTTTAAGAGGGAGAATGTCCAGCTCACGCGTTACTCGCTACAGCGCTTCATCTGTTGTGTTTTGCACGAGTTTGGCACGAGGCACGGTAGCTGCAGGTGTGGTTCTGCGGCGATATGAGAGCCAGCTGGAGCCAATCACATTTGGCATTTTGTTGCTACACTACATGAGAGTATTGAAGCTACCAGAGTCCACATGCACGTTTTCCGATGACCACCCTGTCGGATCCCCTCTCAGCTCCAAAACTGGGAGACATGGGGGTGGATGCCGAAAGTATTGCAGTTTCGTTGAGCCCCACGCCCAACCTGCCACAGCCTCTTACGGGCTGTCTTCGTATACTACATAGTGCTCGAAATATAGTAGTAGTAGTAGTAATCCTGAAACCCGTCCTGAAGTATTGGATAAACGCCAACCCCTACAAACGTCACTCGTTTCCCCAAAGTTGCTTTATGCGCCTAAGTATGTTTACATTACCTTAACAAGGAAAGAAAACTCTTGTCCCGCATCCGCATCTCAATATTTCACAAGTTGGCACACTGTGCAGCATTGGCATGCCGAAATAGGACATCATCTAGCGCAGCTTGTGCATTGCCTATTGCCGTATCGAGGCCCTCTACTTGGATATGGTTGTTCTGCATGTTCTTTAAGCTGCGTTTCAATTGTTCAAGCACAGGGCCAAGGTCGGAGTCGGGCGAGTCGAGGGACGAAAGATCTACTGAGCTTCGTGGTTTCAGACCAATATCCTCAGGGCGGTCGCCATCAATAGCGACCTCGTTGTCGGTTTGGAGCAAGGGATGGAGCTACTGCAAGTCAGCTATCATTTCGTCCAAACAGCAGGAGACTGCCACGTACACGTCCATGCTTCCGCTGATGTTTCCACTCAGCCCTCCACGTCTTTGCGTTCTTCTTCATCGACTCCAGGTATTCTTCGTCCTTGCCAAGCAAGTGCTCGGCGGTCTTGATCTGCTCATTGAGCAGCTGCTTCGAGTGTCGCGCAGTAGTGACTTCTCGCGAGACTTGAGCATTGCGCTCCGTCAGCTTATCGATGTTAAAATGTATGTCTTTGGCTTGTGGAGGAATCCGCGACTCAGCCAGTTGGCGTGCTAGTCTTCGTACAAGTGGGTTAAGCGTGTTGTATGCAGTCATGACCTTCCGCTCGTCCCGCTGTGTCTCAGCCGTGTCCTTCTTCGCATTGCGCACCACGGCGAGGATCTGCTCCAAGACCTGGGGTGATATTTCTGGCCATTTGTCGACTTGGTCGCGTGTGATTCTCCTTGATTTTGCCTCGAGCCGTAGATACTCCTTGCGAGACTGGGCTTCTGGCTCAGCCGCGGAAGCGGCAGTGTCGTCAGCTTTGCGCTTGCGAGGTTTTGGTCGGTTTGATAGAGCTGGTTCTATTAGGGATAGTTCATCTTCGGCTTCTTGTGGCTGCTGTTTGGCTGAAGGCTTCCTCTTCTTTGCTGTACCGGGCTTTGGCGCTGGCTTCGAGCCGACGGTGGAATTGCGACTTCCTGGTGGTCTGCCCCTCCGTTTCTTTTTGACTTCTTTATTGCTAGAGCGCGTAGGCGCCTATGCCGGGTCAGCATGTGCACACGTCAGAGGACTTGTCCGCGGTTTACCATGATGACGTTGTGTGGGAATGGAGACGCGTCGACGTACTGTTGACAAGCGCGTTTGGTGGGGAAGAGGCCGAGTAGCGTGGGCGCCTCTTCACGTGCGTCCAAGTTGCCTTCCCTCTCCCATATCATCATAATCACATGCAATAAATATGTCATGAGCCAAACACTAAACAGCATTCTGTGTATTCCTATCATTTTGTCTACGTGGATAGGCCAGGTTTGTCGCTCTTGTCATCCACCCTCATCGCCTCTCCAATATCTACGACGCAGGCGCGCTCAACACCTCGGTCAGATTGACCACAGTCGCCACAATCGGACGTTTACCTCCGTTGAGGAAACCATTCCATGATTCTCCACCATAAATCATCAGGTGCTCCGGTCTATTCTTCAAAATCTGGATAGGATGCGAATACGCAGATCCAGCGGGCGTAGCATGTTTCTCCCATTCGTCCACAGCGCCGCCTTGTGTATTGGTGAACACCTGGCTGTTTGAAGGATCAAACCCAACGATAGTGCTAGCGGAAATAGCGACCATAGCCAGAATATCCATGTATAGCTTCATATCTGTGATAATATCCGTTGCTTTGGAAGTTCAGGCAGTAGCTGATAGAGATGAATCAAGATATGTTTAGCAGGTAATGACCATTGTTTTTGTATCATCTATATTCTTGCATCATTTTTATTACACAAAGAATATATAATCTCCCAATAAACACATTCAACGGGATCCCACTGAGGTCTTACTGGGGTTTGGCCAGATATAATGGTCTAATTACCTAGCTACTGGAGGATAACGTTCGCATAGAGTGTCGTGATGATCTAGAGCTTATTCAACGGGATTACCGCGATCCCCCATCGGCCCGAGCCCATCACAGTGACGTGCTTAGGTATCCTGCATCTTTCTGTCTGAAGTATTGGTGTTACATTGAGAACATGTATTAATTCAAGCCTTGTTGTTATTTTTGTACCTCAGTGTAAACGTTTCGCACGAACATGGTTAGCCTATTTTAACTCTTAGCATGTCCTTAGTCAGTTGGCACGTATCCACAGTGAATCCTTCCAATGCTTACTTCTGTGCAATATAAGTGTGAGTGAGGTGATGATATACCTGGTAGCTGGTCCCAGAAAACAACAAATAATATCGCACATGCAGCTTGACTACGCATGAGACCCATTAACCGGCGGATGAAACTTGCGGGTTCTATCATCTACATATAGCCACCAAACTCTAAAGAAGAATAGGGCAGACGTGAACTGCGTGCTTATGTTGGTGAAGGGGAAAGTCGTCCTCTTGCCTGGACTTGCTGGGCCCAGAATGTTGCTGTCCCGCACCTTATAACGGGAGGATCAGTAAACATCACCGATAGGGTTTGCTCGACTGTCGATGCGCCGATAAAGTTGGATCAGAGTGACCCTAATCACCTTTCTGTGTAAGAATGCAGCTGCTCACCCGTATCCTACATTACGCACTATCTAGCCTCGACAGGTAACAAATGCATTACATTGTAAAGAGTGCAAACCCCGAGTTTTCTATGCTATACTCACTGGCTTTTATAGTTATTACAGCCATCCTCTTGCTATAGTTTTGGCTGATATCATACAGGCAGCTTTAACCGGCTTGTTCGGCACACCGGGAGTCCCGTACTGAGAACCGAGCAAAGCACAATCAGATTGGCTGTGAAACAGACATGAATAAGCCGAATAAATTTAGAGTCCTGTCTTGTAGTACTCGAGTTTTGAATGTTGCCGTCGTAATCCTAGCGGACTTTGCTGATGGCTCAGCGGGTCTCTGTGCATCGCTCACACCTTGAACATTGACCATGAGCATGACTAAACTCCAAGACTCAAATTTGCCGGTATGGAACGCTGTCTCTGTTTTGGGTCGCTGGCATTGGCGGGGAAATTTAAGGGGAACAGCTGGCAAAGGGTGGTGCCTGTTGTTTCGTTTGGTAATCAGCCACCGGCCTTTCTGTTTCTGTTCTCGCCGTTTTGCGCATGCTCGAAAACGGAAACACCTGCCAAACGGTGCAGAGGTGCGACATAAATGGGCCGACAACTCGGGCAATATTTCTACTTTGAAGCGGGGAAGCATTTAATAATATGAAGCCACGTGACTTTCTGTGGCTAGAATGTGGCTTACAGGCCGTGTTTCAGCCACATGAGAGGATCGACACCGCCCGTGTTCATGTCAAACACCTGGAAGTCCAACCCGGAAGCGGCAGTTGAGCAGGAATGCGGGGGTGCGTAAATGGCTTGCAGGACTTCTCCACTGTATTCTTCCGTGAGAAGCACATTGCCTGCATAAACGTGGAGACTAACACAAAAAACAAGACTTCTGGAGGCACTCCGAAGAACTGCCGTCCGTCCAAGACTCTTGGCATCATTTACTCGAAGTGCTATGGGACCCTCTGACTCGAAATTCTCTATCTTCTGAGCTTTCCAATTGGTTTCGGAGCTCGTATCTTGACTAACGTCTGTCTTTATTTCAGTGCCAAAAAGTCTTGGTATGGGGACTGAGCATAAATCCCGATAGTAGCAACCCTCCTGTTCCATAGTGATCTACTCTCTAGAAACAGTGGCGTGAATGTTTCAATCCGGAGAAATATGGGGATTTCAAAAGGTATTTAAAGGCCATTGAGGTTCAACAGTTGTAGAAACACCAGCACGAAACTCGGAAACATACAACAAGCACTGCAAAATGCTTCGCCCAGCTTCTCTCTTCGCACTTGGTGCCCTTCTCTTCCTTTCACTTCTCGACTCTGTGTCTGCTGCAACAGCCGGCTGTGGAAAAACCCCAGGAATGAAGAGTGGTGTTCACACCATCACAGTCAACAACAAGCAGCGCCGCTACACTCTCCGCGTGCCTCAAAACTATGACAACAAGCGTCAATACCGCTTCATCTTTGGCCTGCACTGGCTTAACGGTGACATGAACGCGGTCGCTAGTGGAGCTGCTCCCTACTACGGCCTCGCTGCTCTTGCCGGTGAGAGCACCATCTTTGTGGCCCCAGACGGTCTCAACAGGGGATGGGGTAACCAGAACGGAGAGGACGTTGCCTTCCTTGACGCAGTCAGGAAGCAGATTGACAACGAGTTCTGTGTCAACGAGAAACTCCGCTTCTCCCTGGGTTTCTCCTTCGGTGGTGCCATGTCCTTCAGCCTGGCTTGCAGCAAGGCGGCTGACTTCCGAGGTATTGCTGTCTTGTCTGGTGCCACTCTCTCTGGATGTGCCGGCGGCAACACCCCTATTGCGTTCTACGGTCAACACGGTGTCAAGGACAGTGTTTTGCCCATCGCCTCCGGAAAACAGATCCGTGACCGCTTTGTCAAGCTAAATGGATGCCAGTCCAAGAACGCACCCGACCCATCGCCCAACAGCCGCCAGCGCGTCAAGACCGTATACGATGGATGCAAATACCCAACCCAATGGACTTCCTTCGATGGAGACCACGTCGCGCTTCCAGGAGATGCAGGAAACGATGTTGGAGCTCAGAGCTTCACACCTAAAGAAGTCTGGGCCTTCTTCAGCCAGTTCACCTAAGGCAACAGTTCTTCGATTGAACAGGGGCAACAAGACATACTCAGCTATTGCACAACATAACTTGTCGACTTGGACTGAATCGACACACGCGAGGGAAGACACTACATGGAAAATCTGTATATATAAAGTAGATGCTCGCTTTCAAAATTCAATGTACATATGAACATCAGTATTCGCCTTCTGACTGCTCTTCTTCAGATTGCTCTACTTCTGCATCGCTTACCATGTCACTTAGTTCAGCACTCTCAGCGTCGCTCACACCACTGCTTTGAGCATCACTCTCATATTCCTCAGTAACCCTCTTTCTTCTCTTTGAATTCTTCGCGCTTCCTCCCTTTGGGCTTGTGCCGGCATTTTTGCGGCCACCTGTCCTCTGGACTAGATGTTCGATTGGGCAACCCTTGTTCCACCCTTCGCTACTCTCACCCGTGATTGCTCGACATCTTGGACATGTTTTTCCATGCTTTATAAGTAACTGGTGTAATGGGTACTTCAGATGGTCTGGTACTCTGACTTCGCAATGAGCGTATGTCGAATTGCGTGTTGGACCAGCAAAAGTGCCTTTTGCGCCTGGAGCAAGCCCCCTGGAATCGCCTGGCGGGGGTACCCAACCTAGCCACTGACAGAGCCGGAAGACGTGCGTATCAACTGCGAATGAAGGTCGTTGAAGGCAGAAGAGAAGCACACAGGATGCTGTCTTTGGTCCAATACCAGGGTATTTGGTAAGGGCATTGAAGGCGTCGTCATTCGAGAGTAGATGCAGATGGTCCAGAGATATGACGTCCTGGCTTGCTTTTTCGATCTCTGCACTCTTCTCCTCTTCCGCCTCATTGGCGGAACCTGGCGCTTTGTTAGACGAAGATTGAAGCTCTTTTCGTCGCGTTTGATTTTCTTCCCAGACCATTTCCAGAATCCTCTTGATATCCTTGCTTTTCACATCGGCTAGTCCACCACTCTTGATTGCTTCAAATATCTCTTTCTGGTCTGCTTGGCGCACTTTGTTCCAGTCTACACTGCCTTTGCCAACGCCTTCTTTCAAAATTCCAAATTTGGTGACAAGGCCTGCAAAAGCGCGAGACGAGTTTGTTCCAGACGTTGCAGCAGAAAGACGTGTTCGGATAAGAGCGTCGAGGACAGAGGGTACTTCTCCACACCCTGAGACATCGAGCGACGGAGCGGGAATGGTCTTCGGAGCTTCTACCTTGCCGTGCACTTTCGACAAGAGACGTGTGACTTCTTCACATTCTTCTGCAGTTGGATGTGGGTAGTTCGGATATGGTGTTTGGCCTGGCGTAAGGCCATAACCACCAGTCTTGCCCTTGCTCTTCTTGTTTGGACTTGTGGTGGTTGCTTTGTCAACAATGTTGCCAACGTCCTCTTTCTTCACATTCGCTTTCTTAGTTGCTTTTTTGATCTTCTTTGCTGAGTCTTTTTTGATGTCATCATCATCATCTTCTTCTTGCTTGACGGGAAGATCTGGAATAGCACCAAGGTTATGTGGAAGTTCGTTGATATCCTCTTTTTTTACCACGGATTTCTTGGCGCGTTTGGTGCTCTTGGGTGCAACAGGCGCATCCTTGGTCTTGGTTTCTAGCGAGACTTCCGCCTTGATAGCTTTCCTCTTTCGGGGATTGGGTGCTTCTGGTGTCGTGGGTGGACTGGAAAGTTGTGCCGAATCTTTACCAATGACTGGCAGTACCTGCGCAGCTCTGCCTTTTGCGGCGGAGCTTCTTGTAGCTCGTACCATGTGGAATGATCTTGTTGATTGTGAGAAATGGGTTGCGCCCCTGAAGGTACCTGGCCGCGATGCCAGGATGACCCTGATTGGTATTTTGAACGCAATAATGGACACAAAAGTGATAGAGGCCAGAAGAGGAAAAAAATAGGAGGTACCTTTTTATGCCTTCTCAACTGAAAAAGAAGGCAGTGAATTATAGAGTGAATCGCCACTGAATAGTACTGGGTAGGTCATGACGTCGATGATGATGATTGGAGCTCGGACCCTTGTTCCTGCTTTAGCGTGCAGGAGGACACGCCGAGGCCCACATGGTCCCGAGTCTGACTGCTTCCAGCTACCCCACGTTCCGTCTGCTGTCGAGACGTTACTCTACACACCCACATAGTTGACTTCACCATGGCTCACAAAGCACCTCTAATCGTCCCTGCGCTCAAGCGACACACCGCTACCGTCATCGTCGCTCATGGACTTGGAGACAGCGGGGCTGGCTGGTAAGAAGCGCTGAGTAATGTAACATGATTCTGTAGACCCTGACAAGAGCAGGATATTCCTCGCGGAGAACTGGCGCAGACGGAGCAAGTTCGAGGAGGTCTCGTTCATCTTTCCGAATGCTCCAAACATCCCAATCTCCCTGGTTCGTGACCAACCATCGACCCTCCGCGGATGCTGCGGCGCAAACACAGCATGAATGCTGATACACAGCTTAGAACATGGGCATGAGTATGCCAGGGTGGTACGATATCAAAGAGCTGGTTAATCTGGATGGCCGCAGCGAGGATGAGCAAGGCATCATCCAATCTCAGAAGTACTTCCATTCGCTCATCGACCAGGAGGTTTCGAAAGGCATACCTGCAAACCGCATAGTGATTGGAGGCTTCTCGCAGGGTGGCGCAATGTCCATACTATCAGGAGTAACATACAAGGAGCAGCTGGGGGGCATTTTTGGTTTGAGTTGTTACTTGCTCTTGCAAAATAAGATCAAGGACATGATCCCAACCAGCAACCCGAACCAAAACACACCCATTTTTATGGGCCATGGCGATGCAGACCAAGTGGTCGCACACAAATGGGGAAAGAAGAGCGCTGAAGAGCTTGAGAAGCATGGATACAAAGTTGACTTCAGGACCTACAAGTATGTCCTCTACAGCCAGCAGAAGATTGTCTCTAACAAGAATCAGGGGCCTCGTCCACAGCGCCGATCCTGACGAGATTGACCATCTCGAGTCCTACCTTAACCAACAAATACCTCCGCTAGACAAAAAGTCAGAGTCAAGCGCCTGACTCGCCCACAAAGCCGGCTCGACAGAAGTGACTACGGCGCTGGTCATAGTCATTACTTTGGTCATCGCTTGGTTTGCGTGGTACAAGAAGCGCGATATAGCATCGAATCAACCGCGCAATGACACAGAATGACAGGTGCCGGTAGTTTGGATACTTTCGTCTAGGCCGCATGTGAATGTGGATAACTTTACATGTTGGGGTGTCAGAGATAGATTTTGGTCGCCTGGCAACTGAGTTCACTCATTGCTACGTTCACCTTGTTGAAATCGATCATGTTGTCGCTTGAGTTTCAGCGGTCATACAAGAGTTTGTCGTAAATACTATCACACAAAACCCTTGTTAGTCGCTTCATTCAAGTGGGCCTGGGCTGAAGAGATTTCCCACTACTTGTTTTCGATCTGTAGCTCCACCGCATTTCCCTTTTTCCTGGAACTAACATTCCTCAAGTCAAAACACTCAGTTGTTGTACGAACTAAAATTTTAAACTTCCATCAAAATCCGATATGGTCTAGTGGCTAGGATTTGCCGCTCTCATTCAGAGTCAGTTCGCCTCACAGCGCCGGCAAGGCCCGGGTTAGTAACATCCTCATCATTCACTCCAATCACCAGTATTAATTCCGCTTTAGGTTCGATTCCCGGTGTCGGAAAATCATCTTTTTTGACTTTTTGGTTTCGTCAAAGATAAGGTGCCTAGGCAGATAGCTCAGGTGAAGGGTGGTTGCCATCCCAAGGTGTTGTTTCCAGGCAAGGACTATCGAGCCTAGATGTCGACATTGTTTATTTTTAGCTCTTTTTTCGGTTCTCGACCTCTTCTTTGTTTCTCCTTCTCTTTTCTACTCTTGAGAAAAATTCTCTGGCTACGCTAACGCCATATGGAGCACCAAAACTCTTGCCAATAACCTATCTTCGAACAATCGCGATATCAATTTTTTAGACCTGAGACTTTGGGTACATCATGCTGTGTGTAGCTAGTATGTAAGCTAATCTCTGGTCCTGGGTATAGTAGTCTGCGGTGGCATATCCGATATTGTTTGCTGGAAAATACTTTGACCCCCCGGGAAAAATCGTAATTCAATTGTAAAACTTTTTCGGAAAACAATATCGATATGTAAGGATAAACAAGTATCTGCCATAGGATAGGAATCAGGGGGTAACCACCGCATCAACTCTTGATGATAGTTGCTTACTCATATACACTAGGGGCATGTATTGAACAACGCATCTATACATGTACGGATGGCGGGATAGGTCCGATAAAGCACTCTACATGTACACGATGCACACCGCCCCGGGTTGCAAAATCAGTAGTTCATTTCTCATTTACGCAGAGCAGATCGGCTGCCTTTTGCACTGTCAAATTCGTATTCCGGTTCAATCAAGCAGTAGCTCGGCGGCCTGAACCAGCCCTAAGATGTTCTTTTTCCAGACCGAGTCATGCACACATAGCCAATACCCGAGGGAAAGGTTTGTTTAACTACCGACCACAAATTCGTGCTTAGTTCAATGTTTTAAACAGCATAGCAAGGGCGGTGTAATAGGTCCTGCATTTTGTATGTAAATTCATCGCATGATGTTGTAACAGGTCTATTATTGTCTCCCCCGGACTCACGGCGCCTCAGGTACGGCCGAGCAGGGGGTGTCAGCAGAATCATGATCTAGAAGCTCTAGCCCCAGTCTAATGTACTCACAGGTAAGCACTTTCTCTTTTTCTCGACATGGGCCGCCGCCTCCCTTGTGTCATTCTGTCAGTACCGTCCCGTCCGTCGCCGTCTCGTCTAAGTAGCTCCGCCTGTCAAGCTTCCGCCTCAAAAGCTTTGCTCGCCGATAAGAAGAAAATCAGGGGTAGAGTCTTTGTCCAGCCAGCCAATCTGCGCTAAGCGAATGTTTAATTTTGTAGGTACGTAGGGCGGCCCCAATGGATCCCTCTCCATCGTTCACCTCCACTTGTTTTTGCATAAACTCAATCTAGTCCTATACGACGGCAGCAGAAGCAACCAACCCGCCCCTCAATTGCCCAAAAATCCATCGGGCACCATAAGCAACTCTCGTCCCGTTATCCCCAATATGTAAGTAGCACGATGCCTTTCGTCATCCCGCATAGCGCGTAAGCCTAAAGTGGCGAGCATGGTCGTTTCACACACTTTGCCGGCCTTCCGAATTGGCCTGATTGCACCGGTGCCCCATGCGAAATTTCCGAACAAAAAAAAGAGAGCCAAACCCTCACAGCCCTAATGTCTGTGCGTTCAGGCACGAGCATCGTATGTGGGATTGGCTTTGTGCGCGACAGCCAGTAAGCAGTAAGCAGACCATTCTAGCGCCGAGCCAATGCACACCCTCGATAGCAGCCCTTGTGGAGACACACGAGGCGCCGCAGGGCTACCACTGTCATTGTATGCAGTTCGTTACTCTTTGGGGACTGGGAAATACGAGAGGGGTCTATCATTAAAAAGCTCAGTTTCCCGCATACAAATGGTTCTTCTTCTCTCTCTATCGGGTCATCAGTACGAATTCATCGACTTGCACTCGCTTACTCTCGCTCTTTCTTGACTTCTCTCGTCATACAAACGATTACCCGCTTTCTTAACAAAAGTTTAAATCGAAAACCCCTAATCCTAATTATAATGCGTTTCTCTACTTTCGCTCTTCTCTCCCTGGTTTCCGGTGTCCTCGCCGGAAACTGCGGTCCTCAGAATGGAAACGCAAAGTGCGCTTCGGGCGAGTGCTGTAAGTTTTAGAATAATTTTTCGAAACCATGAGAATAGCTACTGACGAACTATTCAGGCTCCCAATATGGCTGGTGCGGGACTACTGTCGACCACTGCGACGCCAAGACTTGCATCAAGGACTTCTCTGGTGCCTCTTCCAAGTGCAACAGCAAATCTCCCGCCCAGACTTTCCCCGACGGCGTCCCTGAGATTGATGTCTGCGGTCACGCTCAAGGTGGCGTGAGCTGCCCCGGTGCGGGAGCCAACGGTTACTTCTACCGCTGCTGCTCTTCGGCCGGCCACTGCGGGCCCAAGAACGACCTCCAGGACCAGAACCTCTACTGTGGTACCGGATGCCAGGCCGGCTTCGGAAAGTGCGACAACCAAAAGGCGCCTGGTGAGCCTGCTGGCGAGAAGGGCGTCTCGCAAGCCGGAGAGACTTGCGGTCCTATTGTCAACAAGAAGTGCGCATCTGGTCTTTGCTGCTCTGGATCAAACTTCTGCGGTACTGGCGAGGACTTTTGCGGCGCTGCCAACTGGTGCCAGAGCAAGTGGGGAAGGTGCAACTAAGTGTGTTGTTTGAGTAGAGAGATCCGAGAAGCTACGACGTTTGAACTCTTCAAAGCCTAGATGAATAGACGAGAGCGTGCGGACGCGAGAAGACAAATACTATGACTTGCATGATATGAATCCAAAGCTACGCACAGTCCAATGTGAATGTCCCACTGTCATGTCTATGAAAGCGATGTCTTGAGTCTTTCTGTTTGATGTGTATTCCCTACCAACCTTGCAACAGCATTATGATGACGGTGCCATGTCCGCCAGTAAAAGAAGCACCTACCTCTCACCACACAAACTATTCACTGCCAGCAGTCTCGCGGCTAACCCTTCAGCACATCGAACTGGCACATCTGAAAGACCCTTTGTCTTTATGAACTCTGCGACAGAGTGCCAATTCATAGCCCATAAAGTTTACAAGCCTAAATTATACCATTAAGGACCGATGCTTTGTCTCTCAGTAAGAAAGAAAAGAGACCCATGAAGTTACATATAGAAAGAGAAGGGGACTGGACAAGACATACAATTCGTGACGGCGAATATTCTGGTCAATATGTAATGCTGCAAATAACCAAAAACCCTTTTCCGTAGCTTTACGTCAACTGTTAAGCCGGTGCAAATGCTGAGTTAAGGTTCATTCCAAGCAAGTTCTCATATATTTTTCCGCTAGTACATCTTCCAGCCGTTGCACGAGATACGAAGGTCTAGATTCCTTGGCTCTTCTTTTGTTAAAGTAATGAAGAAGGTGTGGGATATACTGCTGCATCCAACCAGTTGAGATAGCCTTGTGATGTCGGAGTGAGGCGCGGGCGCCAAAAAGGCCGTCAAAACGGTGCTGAGAAGCCTCTTTTAAGTGGGAAACTGGTTCACACGAAGGGAATGAGCTGATTGTATGCTCGATATGGAAGACCGCATTAACACCCATAGTGATAGTGGTGGCGGTGCAGCACGCAAGCGCGCGGTTGGACAATCCCAATATTCATCCCATCTCACGAGGCGCATCTCAACCCTCTGTGCGAGAGAATAGCGCAAGGCAACTTCATGCGTTCAACCAGCTGAATGGGAAATGTCAAGTCCATGTGACGAACAAGAACCCAGAACTCAGTAGAAGGATGAGAGCAATACCCTTCTATTCAATCCATCCTATGCGGCACAGCACGCTATAACCCCACATATTTGCCAACCACCCAACCGTGAACAATGAACAGTGAATGTGACCAAGCTTTCACCCCCGCCTTGCTAAATAATTCTTCAGGTTACAAACAATCCGTAGTCCTCCTACTTCACAACATATCACCTGCAACCCCAACCCCCCACCACACACACACACCATGGGAAACACGGTATCAAACTTCGTCCAAAACGCTATCAACGCAGTCAGGAACACAGTAGAAGAAATGTTCCATCGCATTGCACCACCTATTGTGCGCTACGTGGCCAAGCACCCGCTGCGTACACTCGGTCATATCGGCAGCGCTATGCTGCTACTCGTTCCTGGCGTCATTACAACACCACTGTTGGCTATTGTGGGCTTTTCGGCACGTTTGCGGTCTTGCAGTCTGCGGCGGTAAGTATATGTCTGTTTTTGGTGTGGAATATTGCTGATTAGAACAGATGGGAGGTTATGGTGCGGCCACGGTCGCTGCAGCCGCTGGAGGTACTGCTGTCGCTGCAGAGGCGTTGGGAGCTGCTGCACGCGCGAGGCGCAACTGAAGAACAAAACATATATGGTTCCACGTGGGTAAAACATATCCTCTTTGAAGTTGCTATGAGCACACTATGATGATACCGAATGAGTACGGCAGGGTGTGAATACAGGGAGTTCCTTCATTACATGGATAGAACCCTAGTCCTTTAGTCAATGCATGCCGATTCGCTACACATTACAATTCGTGACACTATGGTCAATCCCGACTCAGGACATATCATGCTATTATAGATTATAAAGCTTGTAAAGAAGTGGATTAGAAGAACTCATGAGTGATCATAACACTGATCGACTTAGTTGCCGACCTGAATGGCGTAGCCGCCATCCACAGTGATGGTCTGGCCGTTGAGGTACTGACAGCCAACGGCAAATAAGATAGCAGCGGCCATGTCCTGGTCCTTTCCAGGACGCTGAGCAGGAAGGCCCTCCTTGTGCTCCTTGGGCATTTCGCTCTTCTGATTGTCGTCTCGGCTCTCCTGGGTGGTCATTTCTGAAGGGAAAACACCAGGGGCAATTGAGTTGATTCGGACTTTGACTACAAGATGTCAGTGAGAACCAAGGTGCATTCAGTAAGATGTAAGACTTACTGCCGTTCTTTGCAATCTCAGAGGCAAGCATCTTGTTTAGATGTATGGTGGCGCCCTTGCTGCTGTTGTAGGCAAAGTGGCCTTGCGAAATGCGGATATGACCGGAGATGGAGCTGATGTTGATGATGGTTCCGGAATATCCCTTGTGTGACTCCGTGGACTTTTGCAGGAGAGGAAGGAAGGCTATGCTCATAAGGAAGGGGCCGACGACATTGGTTTGGTAAACGTCGAGCCACTCCTTCTCGGTAGTGCCGTCGAAGAGCTTCTCGACCAGCTCCTCTGAGCTTCCCTTGACTTCAGTCTTTTCTGGTGCAATGCCAGCATTGTTGACTACTCTTGTTAGCATCGGGTCTCATAACCAAACCACGGAAGCTTACCTAGAATGCATAGACACTTCTCCTTAGACTCAATATCCTTCTTGATCTTACTGTATTTAAAGTCAGCATTGCAACACCCGACAGACCTAAGAAAACTTACGATACACCCTCTTTAGTGCTGACATCACCGACGATTGGAATGATCTGTCCCGCAATGTTTTGTCCATGTGCCTCAACGACCTTCTCAAGCTTCTCTTCCGTCCTGCCAACAATGTATACCTTGGCACCGTTGACGGCCAATGTCTGAGTAATCATGAGTCCAATACCAGAGCCTCCTCCAGTGACCAAGGCGACTTTGCCCTTGACATCGAAGACCTGGCCCATCTCGAGCTCGGGGTTGTTGGACGGAGGCATGTTGGCGTATGTGCGTTGCTGCAGTTGCGGTTGAAGTTGATTTGTTATTTGTTTAGTCCGATTGAATTCTCGCATGTAATTCTGATTTGGAATGATGGAAGGAGTGAGACGTCGAGGGGCCGAAATTGTAATGTAGCGGGCAAGGCGGCTTGCCATGACGTCACGAACTCGGAGCGACATTGCAGAAAATCTAGATGCAAAAAACAACGGATGTGTATGAGTGAAGTGAATGGAGTGAGCGAATCAAGTAGCATCTGTCAGTGAGGTGAGGGGGGATGCATGCAAGGAAATGGTCATGATGAAATCACTAGCATGTCAGATCGACCCGCATGCCGTATCACTTTCTGACCGCCTAAATCTGCAGAATGTCGATGTTTTGCAATATCGAATTTACAAAACAAAAAAACGTCGTCCTCACAGCCTTTGCATGACATAGGTGAGTAGCTCATTCGTGGCCCAGTTGCAGCGCGAGGAGATATCCAGCCGTTGCATTGAAGTTCAATATCCTACGTCCACTCAACGCTTTATGGCTAGAGCTTTTACTTCGAAGGTTCAGCATCAGAGTTGGTCTCAACATGAAAGCTGATGAGTTTCATGCCACTCATGAACAAACGATATGGTCAAGCTCGTATCTCCAACTATCTGATCGAGGTGTGGCGCATTTCTCAGAACTGATATGCAAGGAGACGATGTTGATATCGAGATATGAAAAGCCGCTATGAAGAAGGTGAGGTGATGGTGGAAGAGAAGCAAGGAATTTCCGTTCAAATACGGAATCATCATCTTCTGCTTTATGATGAATTTGCATAGACCAGCGAGATGTTGTGCTCATTCCTTCCTCTCAACACGCTCAATGAAAGGTGCAACAATCCGTCCTTGGATAACACTAACCATTTACTCCACTGTTGCGACCAAGGTCACCCGAATCCGGAGCAAACCCTTGCTTTGAGCAAAACATTGCTCATCTCATGGTGCTCACCCCATTCGTCACCATGCTTGACGAGACCAGGGAATGCGCAGAAGAGGAACGTGCGGTCTGCTTCCATAACAGTATCATCGTCCATGGTAGAGTCGGCATCGTTGATAGCTTCCATTGTACGGTCGTCGAGGTACATTTTCCTGCCTTCACTGCGAAAGAAAAGAAGCTGATAACGTGCTTTCTGAAGAGCCAGTGTTCGTTGGAAGTCTACAGCATTCTTGAGAATCCCACTTAATGCCAGTTGTGCACTCGAGGTGATGGTAGTGGATGTAAGAGTAAAGAACAGATGACAAACATCCCCAAGGATGCGGTGTAGCAATTCCTCCTGTTCTCTTACAAGGTCAGGTTGAATTCTACTACTCTCAAGCACTTGTATCGTTGCGCGTTTCCATTCACTGAAGGCAGGGCCGCTATCGTGTACCTCATCGGCAAAGGACTGGATTGCCGCGAGTGATGTTGGCAACCCGAAGACTAAAGGTGTTTCAAAAATGGGCATGAGCAAGGTCGAGATAATAGCTTGATACAGGGCAAACTTGTCTGCACCCTGGATACCATTCCTGTATTGAGGATACAATTTGCAAACTGTTTCCTCGGTCTCTTTAGGTAGATTTTCAAGGTTCAGCTTGGTCCGCCTGAGGGTTGAGATTGTCCATTCTCGGACACGGTTTGCAAGTTCGGACAAGGACGCAACGAGGTCGCTGTCGGTAACCTGAGACTGCACGCGGGTAAGAGATGATATACTCGATTTGAGGGAAATGATTTGCTGGAGTCTTTCCTGTGACTCTTTCTCTGCAGCCTGCAAACGGAGTTTCAGATCGCCTACTTGGCCTGTTGATTTTGGCCGGTCGCTGTGTTGTCGAGCACTGTTTGGATACATGAGCTGGTCCTCCAACTGGGCAACCTGGCAACGTAATTCGTGGTTTTGGCGCACGAGCTCTTCGCTTTCGCGCTGTACGGCGTCATTCATTGTGCTCTCCCAAAGGTTGCTCGAATCTCTGCGCACTTTTTCCGTGTCTGAAGGCGATTGGGTAGGCTGCTGGCCCGATTCATTAGTGGCATCCTGGCTAGGCGGTGCTGGATCCTCGATGTTGGTGGTAGGCTGGGTAGGCCCCGGTGTGCGCCCACTCTGGTGCTTGTGCATATCATTCAAAGGAAATATGCGTCGGCGTGCCTGGTCCTTGGGCATATTGGGAGCAGGTCGTGAGGCCTTTGGCGGGGTGGTGGTGTTGTTTGACGTGGACGTGGACTGCGACTGTGGTTGGCGGTGGTGGGGTTGCAGCCTACCAGGGCTCTTTCGTTCGGTCATAATTGAGACGAAACATGGCGAGTTCAGGACTGCATTGGAATCACTATGACAGTCAAGGTTCTGTACGAGGCTGAGACTTTGGATGGTGTCGAGGTGAACTGCCGTTGAGAGGCCAGCCGACGAGACCCAATCGTGCAGTTGAGGGCCAGCCCACCATGGTTGCCCCTGCAGCTGCTGCATCCGCCGTCTTCGTGTACACACCGCGACCTACCTAGGCTTCAGCCTGCCACTGCGCTCTACCCAGGGACCCAGATTGTGCAATGATCCCAAGAAAAACCGCTTGATAACGGCGGCGTCTCCTGTACGCGCCGTTGCACTTCAATGAGCTTCTGCTCTCCTCTGGCAGGATTCAGCCCCGAGGACATAGTACCCCACGCGACGCCCACGCCTATCCTTCGACGCCCATAGCACCGCCACAGCCAGCACGAAGACTGGGGAGCAGAAAATGAAGAGCACATTCCCCAGCAGAGGGAGTAGCATACCCACCACCTTCAACCCGGGCTCCAATGGCAGCGTGGACGTAGGCAGCCTGCCACCGCCCACCACTCCCCCCAAAGACAGGTTGGTTGTAGGTGTTGACTTCGGGACCACATACAGTGGTAGATACGCCCATTGCAACCACGGTAACCATGCCGTCTAACACGAACCAAGACTGACCACCGACAGGCGTTGCTGCCGTGTACAGTGCGACTCCTGATGATATTGACATCATCAAGACTTGGCCTGGTGGAAATGGTGAGCTCTTGTGCATCCGCGACAACATGTACCTCAAAGAGCTAACACGCGCCTCCAGGTATCACCTCCGACAAAGTCCCTACAGAGATTGGCTACAGCGAACCAGCCCTGCAACACGACTCTACTGCCTCGCTCAATGCGTTAACCAAGCCCGCGCCGACCATTAAATGGGGCTTCCAGTTCAAGCCAGACGAGACGCGCCTTCGATGTATCAAGCTCTTCCTCGACCGAAATCAGAAGCTTCCACATTATGTCTCGCCTCTGGACACGGCTGCCCAGCTGCGCAAGCACGGCAAGACAGTTATTGAGGCAGCCACCGACTACCTGTCGCAAATATACAAGCATACTATGGAGACCTTGACCCGGAGATATGGCGAGGCGTTTATTAGTTTGACCAAAGTCGAGTTTGTCCTGACGGTACCTGCTGTGTGGTCAGACGCGGCCAAGGATGCAACTCTAAAGGCTGCCGAAAAGGCCGGCATGGGCAACAGACATGAACTGAAGCTCATATCTGAACCCGAAGCGGCTGCCGTATATACTCTCAAGGCCATTCAACCAAACCACCTCAGGGCCGGCGACAACTTCATCGTATGTGATGCAGGGGGCGGCACGGTCGATCTGATTGCCTACAAGATCAACCAGCTATTCCCTCTACGCGTTGAAGAATCGGCTGTTGGCACTGGTGGTCTCTGTGGCTCGACTTTTATCAATTACCGCTTCGAAGAACACGTCAAGCAACGGATTGGAGTAGAACGGTACACGTGGATGCGCGAGAAAAAGCAAAAGACGTGGAATATGGGCTTGAAATATTTTGAAGAATTCGTCAAGCGCAACTTTAACGAGGAGGAACATAGTGAAGTCAACATTCCCTTCCCGGGTCTGCCAGACGACGAAGAGGCGGGGTTGGATTCCGGGTTCCTCGTCATGAGTGCCGAGCAAGTCAAGAGTCTATTTGATCCAGTCATAGAAGAGGTCATGCATTTGGTAGAGGGTCAAGTTGAGAGTATAAGGGAAAAAGGAGGTCTGGTTTGTGGCATTATATTGGTCGGAGGATTCGGGCAGAGCAATTACCTCTACAGTCGGATGAAGTCACATTTCAACAGCGCGCCGCCGCCGCCATATACTGAGAGGGCAACCCATTACGTCGCCCCAGATGCGGCTCAGTCTATTGAGATCTACCAGCCCATACATGCCTGGACCGCTGTCGTGCGCGGCGCCGTAGTGAGGGGTCTGGAAGGTAACATGGTCATCAGCCGACGGAGTCGCTGGCACTACGGCACAAGCTACGCAACTGTTTTTGACGAGTCCAAACACCCCATCTCCGACCGTTACTGGAGTCCGCTGTGGGAGCGGTGGATGGTATCTGACCGAATGCAATGGCACATTGCAAAGGTAATGTTGCATTCTCTCCCCTTTAGCTACATAATCAGTCCACTAACACTTACCAAATTTAGGGCGCCCAAGTATCCGAATCCCGTCCCATATCTTTCCACTACACACGCAACTTCCGGCCCGGGCAATCTCTCGTCGTAGAAGACGACCTCATTGCCTGCGACGCTGACGTTGCCCCGGACTCGCTTACCAAGGATCTCATCAACGTTTGCACACTCACCACCGACTTGAATACCGTGCCTAAAAGCCTGTTTACCCGCCTGAAAACGACAAAGGGTGTCGAGTTTGATAATCTGGATTTTACACTCGACATGCGGTGTCAGAGTGCAGGGTTGGTGTTTGAACTCAAGGTCGAGGGGGTGCGGTATGGGAGTGTTGAGGCAAAGTTTCATTAACGGAATTGTGAGGGGGGTGGTGTAATATGTAGACATATGCCAAAAATGATGTTGCACATGTGTAGCCTTTGTACATGTCTTTTCCTTGCGGTGATTTTATGCAAACTCTTGTGCTTCGTGAGAGTTTTCTTTGGATCATATTCGTCTCTTATTCTTTCATGTTCTTCTCATCTCCCTCACAACTTCTAAAATCTAACGAGAAATTATACACTACCTTATCATCTCCACTCCCCTTCACCCCACCGCATGCGCATTTTACATATCCACCCTCGTATCTTACCCTCGTATCTATCCTCGTATCTCCCCTCATATCCACCCCATCTCCCACCATCTCGATCCCATCTCGATCTCATCTCGCCAACTTAGCCACGATAACCCCCCACAAAGGTCGGCGAAGTTGTAATACTCCAGCACAGTAACCTTGCAACATGACTCTTCAACCCCTCAAACCCACCGCGCACCCGAGTAAGTCACTACGATGTCACTCGACTCATCCCACACACACACACACATCTATACCCTGCAACTTATACCGCACCACCGGCACTGAAGCAAATCTCCACACATACACGACCGACTGACCGACCCAGAACAAAGGGAACACCCCCCATGTCCCTCCAAACGCCTCCCAGTACGAGAGTGGGGATGGGCGATGGGAAGGGGGGTCCGTGTTCTAATGTCGTACATGAAATATAATCCACCTTCCCCACTCACACACATACATACCTACCTACTCTCATTTCGATACGTACGTAGAGTGGCTTTCGATACACGATACAAACTAAGGTCTAGGAAAGTGTGGGTATTGACTGGGACAAGGGGTTATGGGGGAAACACCTGATTAAGGAGATGGGGATGGGGTTGCATGGGATAGGGAGTTAGAGCTGAGAGAGTTCTTTTTGCCAAGAAAGTGGTGGTCGGTGGCCGGTTGTATGCTTCCTTGGGTGTTTTGGGGGGTGGGCGGAAGCAGACAAGCGGGTTTTGTCTTGGGCGTGTGACATCTTTCTTCGTTTGGGGGGTGGTTTAGGGAGGAGAGAGTGTGTGTGCGATAGAGAGAGATAGAAAAGGGAATGTAGTAGTGTGTATGACGAGTAGTATACGTGGAAAAAAATGACCGAAAACAACTGAAAATTTCCTCAGATTACTTTTTTCTTGGTGTTTTCTTGGGTTCTTTGTTTGTTTTTTATTTTCCTCTTTCGTCTTCGGACCGTTTATCCAACGTCCTCATTACACAATTGCCATGGTGGCTCAAAAGAGCATAAGAAAGAAGTTCGCAGGGGATGGAGAGTGGAGACGCAAGGGAAGAAGCAAAAAAATAATCGGGAAGGCGCTAATGCAAGTGAAGTAGGTGAAGGAGCAACGAGGGGGCTGGTCTGGAGGAAGAAGGGGGGCTGGCTCCACAACCCAGTGTTCCGACTCCGAGTTAGAGGTAAAGACGAAAAAAAAAAGCTCGGATGACTTGCGGTATGTCGCTCGTTTGGTGCTTTTCTCTTTTACCACCCCCACATACCTCTCGCACCCCTCCCTCTCTCCACTTGCCATGGTCCCGCGGACCGGTGGGAGAGAACCCGTATGCACATCATCAGCCGCGGATGCGAGACGGAGACAGACAGGCGGGGACCCATGCTTCAAAAGGATGGGTATGTGAATGCAAATGGTATCGACGGACGAACGTATGCAGGTACTCCACACGTAAGTACTTACAAATACACGAACGCACACACCAAAGGATGAAGGCGCTGCTTGTGTAAGGAGACCAAGGCCTAGATGACGATGTAAAAGCGTGTGTTTTGTCAAACCTTGTATTCCTGGTGGTACGCGCGTGGGACCACGCTTGCGCACTGCCTTACCGATCACCAATACGCGCTTGCACCAACCAACACAAAAGCCTGTCAGAATACCAAGAGATAAATTTTGAGCGAGAGAGAGAAAGACAGAGATGGTGGTATGAAGAAACAAACGCCGTCATGTATGCCAGGGCGAATAGGTCCGATTACGCGTCACGGCGCCTGTCAGTTGAGCGGATATAGAAGGTCGCATGTTTTGCTTCGTGTGTTTGGGTTCACATGCGCGTTGTTTGTCAGACACAAGTGGGTTTGTGGCGTGGTTCGGATTTCCTGCCCGGGTCGGATGGAAGGATTGGAAGATTGACGGCTAATGTAAAGCAGACGGTGGCGTTTGTAGCGTGGTGGAGACAGGAGCGCATGGCTTTGAGGTCACGCTGCCTTGCTTGCATGTACTGTATAGTGGTTTGGGTGTTTGGAAAAAAAAGGTTTGGAGTAGGCTTCATTGGTGTAGATATTAGACATGGTAAGTAGTGGTTGCATGGCGTTCCGATTTGTTGGGTTCGTGGGTTGGAATGATTTTGCGCGCGGTTAAACAAGGCCAAGAGCATGTCATTTCAAGGGGCTGAAATGGGTAAAATTCATTGCATACATGATGCGTATCACTACACAATGGATACCGCGCCCTCATCGGCCATGGTGGAGTCTTGACGAGGCGGAACGGGAGGTACGGAGCGCGTCAGGGCGGTTGGCAAGAGACACGGACAGGCGGATCTGACAAGGTTCATGTATGCGGCATGAGACGCGACTTGGTCTTGGGAAATGACGTGATGGGTCGTCGCCATTACAGACTTGTTGGTGCGCTGCGTGCTTGAACAGAACGGCGAGGTGATAACGGAGGAGCAATACATATCCACGTGCATGTGCTTGGTTGGCCTGACGAACAAGGACGAGGTTGAGAGAGGGACGACTGCGATAGGCGTTGTAACCTTCCATTGCAGGGTCCACGAGCCGATGAACTGTCACACGGCAACAGCCGGCTTTTGTAGCGCTAGTGACGTTGTCATTGTCGATTCGAGTCTGAATCGATGACAGCTTGGTGGCGTGTGCGACGAGGCCGGAGCGGAGAGCAAAGACGATGATGGATGGTTGGATGAATGGATGGATGATGGATGGGGGCGCCGGATGGACAGGGGGCTGGACTGAATACACAATTTGGGTCTAACGAGGAGCAAAAACCCAGACACAGCGCACGGCTTAGCCGTTTGGGGACAAGCATGACAGGCTTACCAGAGGACCCAACACGCTGTGCCACCATTATTGCTGCTGTCCTTGGCACAGTCTTCAGCGAACATGTCGTCCGTCCGCGCATAGGGCTGCATGCTATGATGGCGGCCTATGCACCATGAATTCGTTGCCTGATAGCTACCAGAACCGTTCAGCAACGGCTGTGTGCTTCCACGGTCCTTGTACCAGCTTTCTTACACAGTTGCAACACAAGCGCACGCACTTGGCCATGCCCGATACGACTCCTGCATATCCACTACGCTGCGAGCTAGTGATTCGACGCACCCTCTCCACATGCAGATGCAGACCCTTCACCAGTACAGGTCCTCTGGACCCGCTCTGCACCAGGCCCAAGGAAGAGAATCCTGCAGTAGCAGCTGGCTGGGAATAAGCAAAAAGAGTTGCATCCTTTCGTAACAAAGTCCCATCAAGCCCACAGCTGCTTATCCGCCTAGTCGGAGTCGCTCCGCCTGCTTCACACCCCAAACTACTTGCAGTAACACGGCCGAGAGGATCATCAGCAACCGAGGCTTTTTTCCTCGACTTCTTTGATAATGCATGATTCACACGATACCACTGATCAGCAGGCGTAGTCTGTAGTCGAAACCCGCTCAAGTGCAAGCGCCTTTTCGGAGCAACGTCGACGGGCCTCCTTCCCGGCTGTGTGGTAGCGGGAAAAGAAAGGAAAAATTACCACCAAGTCTAGGGAAACGGAGGATATGAGCAAAAGCAATCTCCGTTCGCCTCCGCACCATCAACTACCAACACGACACAGCAACATGGTCGCGAGCTCCGGAATTTGAAGGATCACGGGCGACTGTGGAGTCGAGCCGACAGCGTCCGTGTGTTTGTCGGCCAAAGAGAGCGTGGAGAAGAGCAATAAAGTGGGCAAAAATAGCTGCTCTACCTTGTCGTTATTGCTAGCTCTCTTTTTGCAATAACCGAGGGCCCGGGAATCTTGTGCGTAACTATTCCGTTCGTTTGATGAGCCAGCTACGACAACAGTCAAAGGCCTGGGCGTCAGTTGTGCAATCTCATCCAATTGCCACTATTCTCTGCTGCAAGCAAGGTTACTCCCCTTCTGTATAGTAATACCGGTTTCGCCCTACGAGACCACATTAAGATTACACTTGGAGCAGAGCCGAGGTAATAACGCCTGGCTTCATCTTCCGTATCATTATACGCAGGTACCGGTGGCGGCGATGCTGATGCTGATGCTGATGATGATGATGATGATTAAAACAGCCTAAACGTCAGTGCTTTCACTTTACAAATTCTATGCCATATCCTGCCCACCGCCCGTTTGGCAACAAGTCGGCCCGTGATCCGCACGCCTTGTGTTACAGATGGACATGTGTACTTCATACGTACACACGTATATCCATACACCTAATCGATTAGCAGAAAAGGAAGGACGTTAGCCATACGTCTAGGCAAGTCCATGCGACGAATCAAATCATGTCTAGATTTGACTATGCCTCCAGCTCCATGGTCGCTAAACAAATGCCAATCGCTAGCGTGCATCATCGCACCTCGGATGGCCATCGGTCGTTGGGCTATTAGAAGAAACGTGCTACAGCTGTGAGAAAAAAACGTATCCGAAACCGAAGCCACCAACGACCCAATCTAGCACGGATATGCCTTGTTCTGGTAAGATAGAAAAAAGTGGGAGTAAGCCCCGTTCGAAACGTGTTTGGCATGTACAATACGGAGTACATTCCTTGGGACCCTTGGAAATCAGCTTATGAGAACTTCGACACCAGAGTGCGCACTGACCTACCATCCATCCAACCAAACCATGGAAAGTAACGTATCATTCCCTTGCAGCAGATGGCAAATGTGAAAAAAAAAACCATGGCCTCATTCATCTGCCGAGGTACTCTAGCGGTGAGGTAGCGTTAACTTGTATTTGGGTGTCTCCGATTGTATGCGCATGCTACAAGCGTCATACACGAGCCCCTAACCCTGCCGGTCCAGATGGCGGCGGTCTAATTCGTGCTATTTATACAAAATTTGATAGACTGAAATGCGTACCCGAAATGTCTGATGAAAGCGCTAAACGTGAAAAAAATCAAAAGACTGGCCTTGTCAAGCAAATGCTGGATGAACGGTGGAAAAAACAAATCAACAGTCTATCAAGAACTGCAATGCACCAATGGCACGGGTCCGCGCAACTGTTGCTGGGCCGTTGGAAAAAGCAGAATAACTGGATCATGTCGGACCCAATCATGCAATCGCGCCTTGTACTCCTTGAATAGCCTGCTCTTGTACCAACAAAAGATAAGCAGTAGCAAAACTGATCAAGTCTTATGCATCCATTCAATCCTGAGAAACGGGTCTGAAATATGCGTCTTGTATGTACGTGTGAGTCTTGAACCCATAGTGTCTGTATTGTGATGAATCTTGGCCAAATTAGTGAAAGCCTCCCAGAGGTGCAAAAGCGCTTCAAGATGCCGAGTAGAATTGCGGTACGCCTGACTGGCCAAATCCAACCGGGGGTGTTGCCTCTTCTTGTACGCGATCCAAGTGTCCCGGCTCTGCAAACCAATGCGCACTCATCGATCGCGCAGACGAGGGTATTGGCGCACCGTGGCTTGGCATCGTGTCGTATGAAGTCCACGTTGGCGGATAGTAAGAATGGTTTGGGGCCACAGGCGCAGAAAGGGGCGCAGGGCCCGAACTGCTCAGTGTGGTCGCATGTATGGTAGAAGGGTTTGTGTCTATCGTTGCCGGAAAAGGATATGGAGAGGTTCGCCGGTAATTATCGTTTTGAATGCCCAGGCCCTGACCAGGATATTGATGTGGAAGACCCTCAATGTTTCCGTAAGACATTGAGCGAGCCGGTGGTTGGAATGAGGGCTGTTGCCCCCAGTGTCCATCTTGAGGACCGTAGGACATGGTGGAGCTTGTGCTCATGGCAGCTGGAGTATGTCCACCTGAAACGTTGGATTCACTTCCGTATGCAGAGTTTACTGTCGAAGGCGAATGTCGCCATGATGGACTTTCAGCTACGGTAGAAGACGGCAAGAAGCTGTTGGTCGGCGGCCACTGAGTATCTATAGGGGGTGGGTAAGGATAGGAAGGCTGTTGCACGGCTACTGCAATCGTTAGTGTGTCGTAGAGGGAGCTGTCGTGTGATACTTACAACCGTTGGAGCCAGGCGCGTGATGTGGATCGTTTTCGAGTTCCATGGGGTAGCCATAGCTCAGAGGCTGCGCCGCTGAAGGTGGCCCTGAGAAAGGCGTCCTGAAGTCGCCCATTGCATCTCCAGAAGCGGAAAGAGGGTGCCTGGGTGAGGTGGAAACCGGTGTGGCTGGCTGCACTGCGCTGTTTGATTTGGTCGAGATAGATTGCGACTGTGGCATGTCGGCGTTGTGCTCGACTGGATAGAAGTTGCATTCCTTCTTCAGTCGAATGCAGTTTGAGCAGCGGCCATGACGATCATCAGGTGCTAACAGGCATCGAATCTTGCGCCTCCTACAATGTCCTGTTTGATCACTAGTCAGTTATCATGATCTCGTTACCAACAGGACACTTCATGGACTCACCACATGCAACCGAAGTTCGATGATAGCCCAGCTTGTTGCGCGGTTTGTTGCTTGTTGGCGACAGGTCGCCGGGGTTGGTAAGAGCTAGGTGACGCATGTGTGGAGTCGAGGTGGACTTGCGAAGCTCTCCAGATGCTTTGGTTTTGGGAGAGCGTTTTTTCTTGCTCGCGTTGATGTTAGGTTGAGCAGTAGGTTCCTGGCTAGTTAAGCTGTCTTGGAAGGGCTCGGTTCGTTCTGTGGGGCTTGGTGTGGTGGTGGTGGTGGTCTCGGCGGCATGGGAGTGATTAAACCCAGGAGTTTGGTTCGAGGGGTTGAAGGGCATGGCGTCTTGAACAGGTTGTAAAAGCAACGAGTGTTCGAGTCGAGATACCGTTTTCTTCGCGCGGCGTTCTGTAACTACAGCCATGTGTAATATTGTCGCAAGACCCGAGTGTCAGTGCCCAAAACCTGGTGGCGCATTGAAGGACCTAAGGATATAAGCATCAAATGTTTAAAGTTCAGCAAGGGCCCCACAACAGGAGATTGTTGGAAAGGGAGCTAAACGGCGATACATACCTTGAAGGTAGGGCAAAGCGACTTCTCAAACGTTGGAGCCGGCACTACGATCTGGTGTGCGGGAGTAGTTGGCGGGACACTTGCTGATCTACCGAGCCATGGGAATCCTGATCTAATCAATACTTTCGTAAACGCACTGACAGGCCGGGGCTGAGAATGAGGAGTAGTCAAGGGCCTGGGCAAATAAAACGACGTGGTAGGAAAGCGAGGATGAAGCAGTTGCGCACTGACACTAATAAGTGACGGGTAGTTTGGCACTTAGTCGTTTGTACAGCAAGCTGTGCCTCAGCGGGGGTGTATTGAAATGTTCAGAGTAGAGAGGGCGCCAAAAGCAATGGCTGCATACGACCGAGGACGAGTAGGGTCCGCATATAGAAATTTAGACGACGCTGTTTGGTTGAATGCGTGGATGATTAAAAGTGGCGAGGTATGTCGACGACGCTACTACGCGACGGGACTGTTGCGTTAGGGCGCCTTTTTTTGCACCAAAGGATTTCACAGGGTTCAACAGCCCTCCTTCCTCACAAGCACAAGATCATCTTTGCGAGGCCAGGTTGCTGTTGGTGGGCCTGCATGAGCCAAGTGATGTGCGGGTATGGATGGAAGGGTGTGAAGACGGACGAGGGCTAGAGTCCAAGCGTCATGACCTGTTGGCTCTCGGACCCCTTTGGACGTGTGTGGTGCTTGGGACACTCTGCCTGTCATGTCTCGACGGTGTGATGCGATGACAGCCAGCGGTAGCCGCCTAGCGTCAGCGGCGGCGTGATCCACTTGTATTTGCGACGCTTGGAGGGGGGTGCTCAAGCCACGATAATTTCCTACTTAAGTCTAGTGGAGCAAACTATACGATAATGTGTCGTTGGGTCCGATGCTATATAAGGGCCGTATTCATGGTGGCGCACTGTAAGTAGGAGCCGTCAATCCGTCAAGCATATGGACAGGCTGCGTGAAGTTAATTTAGAAAGTCTCTGTGCACGCGAACGTTGAGGAGGGGGAAGGGGTGGGCAAGTGGTGGTGGTAGTTGAGCTAGCTAGGGCTGGCTGGGATTTGAGCAGTGGTGTCGGGGATCTCAGATGACGAGGACAAGAGGAGGACTCAGGGCCGGATGGAGACAGGGCCGAAGTGCCTTGTGCCCACACGAGAGAGACAGAGGGAGCTGACGCAGGCTCCAGGGCCGGAGAGTTTGGTTTGCGCAAATGAGAGCATGTGTGGCTCTGGCAAGAGGGTAGTGACGTGACATGGTCGGTAGCGAATGCCCGCTGCGATGATCCCCCGACACTGGCTGGAGGTGTCGAGGCGCTGCAAGGTGCGTGGCCGCAGGGATAAGGCCGACGTGAACTGCTGGCGGCGTCATGGTATGCTAGCGTCTGCGACAAATTGGCTGCGACAGCGCGTCCTTCTCCACATTGTTCATCTCGCTAGCAGGCCCTGGCGAAGCTCGAGTCTTGTCCAGTCGCGTCATGGTGATTAAGGACAGCCAGCGTTTCCACAGCCGGGTTGCACAAGGGCTGGTCCGGGGTGTGGATGTCACTGGCCAAGTCTAGCAAGTGGATTTGAATACGTGATGAGGGCCAGTGGTCGATTAATGCGCGCGAAGCCTGACCCGGCGCTGTGGCTGTGGTCTTGGTGCATGACCTGCACTCCAATAGCCCGGACGGTAGTCCAAGCCTGGCGATTGCACGTGGGAGTCGCGATCTGATACAAAATCCTTTCGGTCCTTCTGAGGCGTCTCGATTTTTCCCTCGCCATCTGTGCGGCATCTATCGTACCGCCACCAGGTGGGGGGCAAGGGTGGTGTTGGTTGGTGAGGCGTGGAGGGTATCGCCTGGGCAGCCTGTCTGCTGGCCTCGGAGGTCGTGGATGTCTAGCAGCTGGAGCAGCCAAGGCTACGTCGGCGAGTGCCCTGTCCATGTCATGTCGCCTGTTCGTGACGGCGGAGTGAAGGCATTGGGTGCTCGAAGCTTTTTTTCTCCTTGCTTTGGTTTGGACCAGGTGTCTGGTATTGCCTTAGTCTAGCTCATGTCGGGACATTGGCTTGCGCAGCTGCAAAGATACAGCAGGGCACTAGTGCGGCCATTGTGTGCATTTTGGCTAAATGGTTGTGTAGTGTAGTTGTATCTGAAACGCTCCGGACTTCAACCGATCGATGGAGGGCCCTGGGAGTCGAGGGTGCACGATCGTAGGTTGGTGTGGGCGGGCACTCGCAGGCGAGAGGCGCTGCTGGTCCCGCTGGCTGGTGAACGGGCTCAGTGCAGCTGGCGTTGGCATTGGCGTTGGCCATGGTGGGCGGTGCCTTTCCCCTGGCCGCTCGCCGTCCTTGGCCGCTCGCTTAGTCGCGACTTCCGTGCCTTGGGGGTTCGCGATGTGTGCCTGCCGGTTGCAGTAGCAGCCAGAGTGCCATGGCAGGAGCAGGAGCAGGAGCGACGACATCTTACGCCGCCACAACTCTAAGTAGTGTATGTATGTATTTAGATACTCAGCATCAAAGCTCGGCCAGTGCACCCCGGCTGATTGGCTGTGGCGTA